AAAGAACCAAAAATCCTTTAGGTGTCTGATCATATAACTGTGACTTCCAGATCCCTTGAAAATAATTTTTACAATGGGATACGGCTTCCACGCCTCTTTAAAAATATAATCCTGCTCTTTACTTACCTAATCATTTCCAACCATTTTTAAAGTTTCGCGGAATAGAAAATAATCAGAATATCGACGAAAATAATCAGAATATAGCCAAAAAGCGCTCCAAAACCCGCAGAATCGACAGAAAAATAGATAAAGAATAGCCGGGCGGCGTGTTCCGCGACGCTCCTCACCACGGAATATAAGCCGGGGGCGGTGGCCGCGTGAGAAAACTACTCATTTATGGGGCGAGGCCCCGAGCAATATTGTCCCTTGGCCGGCCCATTGGTGTGTATGGATAGTTGTCGGTCGGAAAAAACGGCGAGCAGGAATTGGGGGACAAAGAAACTGGGGTCGTACTCCCCGCGGAAAGGAGGTGAGGATTATTGGGTTCTGGGGGGATTATTTAGGACGGAGCTACTCATCAGAAAGAATTCGGCACGCTTTCAAAGGGACTGGGAAGTCAAAATATCAAGGCAGAATAGCGCAAAAATTAAAGCATCATTTAAACGAACTCGAAAATTGCCTGATTTTACAAAAAAAAACAAAAACAAAACAAAACAAAATAAACTAAAATCTTCTAAAGCTTAAATTATGCCCCGCATAGGCCGGTTTTCGAACCGTGAGTCTTCGATGACGCCGTTTTGTGGATATTCACTCAAAAAGATAGTTTTATCCGGTTTTCACCTTATTGTTGGTTTGTCCGTAGCATTTCCGCGTAGACGCATCCACATGTTTGATAAAATGAACTTTGGAAAAGGAAAACTAATCAAAACGTATACTTTATTGGCGATTGGTTGGGCTTTTCGAGGAAAAAAATCACGTTTGGCTCTTATTTATACTTTCCTGATATTAGAATGTTGTTTCTCTATGATTTCGACAAGAGAACAATATACAAAAGCACAAAACGTTTATTAAGTAGTGTATTAGCAGCAGCAAGGCGAATTAGCTGTAAAAACATATATCCGGCGAAAACCGGCCTATCCGCGGGATAATTTAAGCTTTAGAAGACTTTAGTTAGCATCAATCATTTTTAAAACTGGGAAAAGGCAATGAAAACTGCTATTTTATATGCCTTTTCTCTTTTTTTCTTGCGAAAGTTGCTCTCTTGTCGTTTTGGCCTGTTTGCTTAAAAGTCGCAGTTGCTCACTTGTCGTTTTGCCCGAGTTGCTCAAATGTCGCTGCTAACCTGTCATGGTCCCAAAAAACTATCTCCCCAGTTCCAATTATTCCATTTCATGGCGTAATCAAATCGATAAACCCAATTTTCGGCCGAATTAAGCTTTGTAAGCACTAAAATTGCAGGTAAAAATCTCCACAAACCCTGTATTTTGCTAGATTACCATTTGCCGAATTCAAAAGGTAAGAATTAAAATAGATAAATGAAAAATATTAAAAACAGTTTTAACAGTTTAAACCAAACCACCCACTTTCTTCATGGCCTCGCCGGCGAGAAACGGCGTGTACGGCGCCATCCCCTTCCCCTCCTCTTCGTCCATAGGAGCTGAACGGAAATAGATTGTTTAATGGGGAGACAAGCAATATCTTGAGAAGAACAGAAAGGTATCGAAAAAATAGATCTGAATGCAAGGAGCACGAACTCCCATTAATATCTAAAATTTAAATCTTTATACCGATGATTAATTTTAGGATCTTTCCCTATAATTTAGCCAAATACAAAGTCGAAATCAGAATTACACAGACTTATACGAATTACGACCCTCTACCACTGGGTATCAGCTTCAAGTGGGCCGGCGGCGCATTTTTTCCGGTGCCCGACCGGCTTGAGGACCCGTGTGAATTTGGCCGCCCGTTCCCCTGACCAAAAATATAAATAAACGTTCGATTCTGGGTACGACACCAAATTTCGCGCATTTTTCGGTAAAATAAAAACCTGGGAACCCGGAAAGCGGGCCTAATGACGTGCTTGAAGCTCTAAATTTCAACTGACGCGTTAAAAAGTGTTTGTAACCTAAAAATTAACCTAATAAAACTTAGAGAAAAATTTACTGCATTAACATCTGCATATACATATACATATACATATGTTTGAATGCGAAAAAGAATCCTAATGTCATGAGCTTCCAAAGATCCCCAATTCGTTAATGGTTTTTACAGTCACAAGATGAAAAACCTCCTTCATCAAGGCCTCAAAACTCAAAGATGTCATCAACGGGGGAAAGGTTGGGATCGGCGAGAGAGAGAAAGAGAGAGAGAGAGAGAGAGAGAGAGAGAGCGAGAGAGAGAGACTGATGAACAAAAAGATATTAGAAAAAGTCGAACAAAAAAACGTGGATCCGAGCGGGGTAATAGAGGGATTAGTGGGTGGATCCGGCGGGGTGGAAGGGGCGCCACTTCGTTTTTAGTTCCAAATTTGGTATACGGGAGGCGTGCAGATTTTAAAATTAAACTTGGAGAGGAATGGAGGGAGATAGAGAGCGAGAGTGAGAGAGAGAGAGAGAGCGAGAGAGTGAGTGAGACAGAGAGAAACAGACAGAACCAGCCGTCTTGATGAGTCATTAATGCGTCTACCAGCCCCCTATTATCCCTCCTCCTGTCAAGAGGAAGTTTTCGTAGCGCATTTGCTGATATTTTCGTTTGGTTTTACCGGATTTTCAGCAATAATGGCCACGCGGATCCGCTTAGAGCGCTGCGGTTTTTGCGAAAATCCCGACGAATCCACCGGACTGGGTTTACTGCGGTTTTTCAGCCATGAAAAAATTTTGCTCGCTTGAGGGCCAAAATCGGCTTGGCTTAGGCTTGGCTTAGGCTTGGCTTTATCTAGGCTTGGCTTTGAAGCTGGCATCTCCAAAAATCCTGGCAAAAAGTCAAAAAATTCTGGTGTCCTGATTATACAGATACCGCCACCCCCCGCCTGCGGGTCCCATGGGGAAAACATTGCGTCAATGGAAAGTCGCCCGGGCCCAGCTTTTTGGCCACAATTAAAGGTGGTGGTAAACGAGGGGGGCGTGATCACGCGGTGATGTCATGAGCTTCCCAATGTACCTATATGCATTCATCGGAATTTTTAGGAAAATGTAGCCTGAATAGCGCAAGAATCGGCGTCAAATTCGTGTCGTCTACATCTATTTTCTGTGACGAAAGAGATTCGATTAAACTATACAAAAGTAGAAACCATACAGAAACAGAGAAAAAATTTAGGCGCTTGTGCATTATCGGGGGGGGGGGTTTGCTTTTTCCTTAGAATCCAATGAATTAGAGGAAGTGTTTCAAAACTGTTTTATATTGATAAATATAAAAACTTACAAATCGTGACAATGTGAAAATATGAAAAATACAGATTTTTCGTCCAAAATTGCCAATTTTTTATCAAAATTTCGAATTGTTGAAAATTTTAAAAGGCTAAGGACAGTTTTTCCATTGAAATATAGTTAAATTATACTAAAAACACTATAAAAACCCGCTTACAGACATTTCTGGACTTATAAAAAAAAGAAAATCGGCCTCCCCCGATAATGCGAGAGAACCTGAAAATCAGATGAGTATGAGTAAACGAAAAAATATAGAAAAGCTCACAGCTATTAGAATTATTAATACAGAGCCAAACAGAAAAATGCGACCACAAGAATCCGGGGCTAAATCCGGGGTCCCTCATTGTACCATTAATGAGCCAAACCGGCCCGCAAAATGGAGACCGAGACAAAAGACAATATAGAAGAAGCGGGGGAGAAGGTGGCCTTGGAAACCGAACGACTTCTTCTTCTTCTTCTTCCAGTCTTCTCCAGCCCAACCTGCTCGAGCCAGCCGGGAGGCGAAACCCCGAATTTTGATGGGGAGGGCCTACCTCCCTCCAGTGCACAATAGGGAAGCTCTAGAAAGTTATCCCCGAGGGCCCCGGCGGCATTGATTACGCATGAAATTCGGGGAATGGTTTTGGTGAAAGGAAAGAAACAAAGGTCTTCGTTGTAAAAAATCAAATACAAAAAATGGCTGACCTTTGAAACCATAGAATTTCGGGGTCTACTGGATTTAAAAGCTGATATCTCGGAAATCGAACTTTACCGGTTTCAGAACGAAATTTAATACGAATTACCGGTTTTTTCAGACGCATAAAGCTCAAACTTCAGAAAATGGCTTATTTAGTAGGCTAGGACTTAATTTATTAGGTAAGAAACCACTTTTAATACAACAATGCCCTTTTTCGGGCGCTTAAAGCATAAAAAACAACATCCGAAAAGCTAGGCACATGTTAGGCTCGAAATCTACCTACCCGATAGTCATTAAAACCTTATAAACCCTGAAAACTGCCTTTCTAGCCTGAGGGTAATAACCCGGACGGTCGATGCAAAGGCACCCCGCCAGGTATGTGGCGATAGGGCTAAAAAGAGCACACTGAATGGCCGTAAAAATCTGACGAGAAGCCGCCCGGGGCTCCTCGCCGGAATGTAATGGCTGATCGATAGATCAGATAACAGCCGATGATGTGGTCAAAAGGTGAGGTTTTTTACCGGAAATTCGGCTTTTCCTAGCTCACCTCGTTTTTAGGCTATGGTGCGCAGGAAAACCCGAGAAAAAGCTTACAGATCAAAGGTTCCCAGACGTCCGACGGCGACGCTTCAACGATTGTGTCTGAATCATCACCCTCTTGGCCTCGCCCCGCGCGACGCCACCTAACAATCTGATTTATAAAAAGCGCAGCACCTGAAAGATTGCATTTTCCGCGCCATTACACCGGATAACCAAAAAATTTATTGTCAAAACCAATAGCTAGCGGAGATGAGGAGAGGTGATGGTCCACAAATATGCTCAAAATGGAAACAAGAATCGAAAAAAAAAAACAAGAGGGAAAGGCAGTGCATCGACGATAAAGAGGAATTGCGAATGCTTTTGGAATTATTGACAGAAATTGGGGGAGAAAAATAGCATGGGAATTCCAGCGATGCTTATTGGATCTGGATTCCGGTCAGCTCGAGGTCGCCGGCAATCTGGAGGCCCGAGATGTCGTTGGGGTCAGAGCGGTGGGCGAAGGTGCAGAAACGCTCTCCGTTCACGAACACCTGGAAAAAGGGATTTTAACAAACTAATAAAACAAAAGATCTATGGAGATAGCAGGGAGCGGAAAAAACTTTTTCATTAGAATCCAATTTTCCTATTGTTTTTAACACCGGTTTTTTGCTATTATGCAAAGTTTAATGAAAAACAAAAATATCGGTTATCCGAACAAAGTCCAATTTTTCTGCGTTATCTAAACTGTTTTCCAACCAGAAATCTGTTAGGAAAAAATTTGGCTCCCCCCGATAACGCCAAAGCACCTAAAATAGTAAAAAGCAAGTATACCTGGAAGGCGTAGGGCTCATTCGTGATGGCCAGATCGAAGCCGACTCCCTTCTCGAAGGGCAGCTTGCCCTCGCGCTCCTCGTTGCCCCACTCGTTGGCGGCCAGCGCGTTGCGGATAACGTGCTAAAACAGAAAGATTGAAAGATTGTTATAAAAGCTACCTTCTCATCAAAACGAGGGTTGAGGTGCAGGGCGATGTCGCCGTTCTTGCGGAGGAGGTTGACGTGGAAGCTAAAAATAAAATAAATGATAAAAGCTCCAAAAAAATTCCAACCGCTTGGCCTTCTTCTCGACGGCGCCGAAGATGAGCAGGGACTGGCCGACGGGGAATCCGGCGGCGATTCCTGACTCGTAGGGGACCGGCTGGAAAAGCCATTTAATTTGAAACTTGTTGAAGTCGAAGTGTTCTCCCCAATTTTGGGGCAATTTCGCATCAATTATATTGCATATGTTTTTACTTAAAGTCGTTAGTTTGCCTGAATTTTTCTCCCCAAACTGGCAAAAATTTTGCAACACTCCTACTGTATAATTCCTTATTTAAAGTATTCGTCATTTTTATCCACATTTTAAGGGAAATTTTGCAGCAGTCTTCCTGTACGTATGAGTCTTAGTTAAAGTAGCTTGACCCCCATGTTTTCTCCCCATTTTTTAACATGATTTCGCAACAATTTTACTGCAGGAATTCCTGTTTATTTCCCCAGGTTGGTCCCTCACTGCCCCGGCTTTTGGCTGCGAAAAACTGCTGAGCCAACACATAGGCCAGCCCGCGACAAACAACCTTGGGGGGAAAATGGAAAAGAGGCATTCGCGAAAGAGAGCGAAAGAGAGTAAGAGCGGCGGGACACACACAGCCATTTTTTTCCTCGATTTTCTCTCTCTCTCTGCCTCTCTCTCTCTCTCTCTCTCTCTCTCTCTCTCTCTCCCTCTCACCACTAGCGAGCCACGACACAACAACGGCCCGCCGGCCACTGGCCGAATCGCCGGCCGGGCAATGGGCAATTCGAGGAGATGGCAGAGACAGCGCGCCTGGGCGTCGACCCGTTCAAAATTCCGCCCCGGTCCACACTCACACTCACACAAACACAATTTCCCTGGGCCTCGCGGATCAATCGCTGGGATGGGGGCAGCGCGGGGCGGTGCCCCGGAAAATTCCAGACTTTTGAATTTTGAAAGGAAAATCTAGTGGATTCGACTGGGGCTATTTTTAATGGGGCAAAAACCCGGTGCCGGCGCTAGACTGTCAGTGCCTGCAACCACTATTTTCAACTTTAAAACCCCAAAACTCACGTAGTACTTGCCGCCCCAGTGCACATGGTTCAGGTAGAGGTCGCCATCAATCGAAAGGTGGCTCACCTAAACCGAAAGGGATCTTTGAAAATTGCCAGAATTACTCACCGAGGTGACCGGCAGGCGGTGCTCGTAGTCCTTGAACTCCTTGTGGTCGATGATGACCTGGTAGCGGTCATTGTGGACGCGGATGCGGATGTCGAACGAGTCGCCCTTCTTGATCGGGTTCGACTTGCGCTCCTCTTTTCCCCATTCGCCGTTCATGAAGGAGTTCATGACAATCTGGAAAAGTTCGGATACATAAAGGTTCGTTCTTTTCCAATATCGGGGGGGGATCGAATCCTTCTTTGGAACAAATTTTTCACATCGATAGAGGAACTTTTTAAAACGGTTTTTTACTATTCCTAAACGTAAAAAGTTTAGACATTTTAGTAAAAATAGAAACAATGAAAAGATCTCGGTTTTCTCGATATTGCAAAAGCAACAGTTTTAAAAAATTTACCTTTCCCTCATCGAAGCGGACGGAGATGTGAAGAGGCACATCATTTCCGGAGAAGTCGGCCGACTTGGTGTGCAGGTTGATCGTGAACCTAAAAAGAGAATTAACAAAAATAATTTTAAGTTACCTCTGGCTCTCATCGATCGTGGATCCCTTGACGATCAGCGTCTGACCGGGCTCGATCTTCTCCTGCAGCTGGCTGCGGTAGGGGACGGGCTGAAGAAAGTACATGATAGGCTGAAGCGCACGCGTCAACTAACGTATTTGTATTTGGATTCCATTTTTTGTGCCCTAGGAAACGATGAAAGTTACGATTGCGCTGGCCGTGAAATGGCCCCCGCGCCGCTTCAAAAGCACGCCAAAAGACAAATAGAGGCCGGGGCGCCGCTCGTAAATAGCGTCAACTCGCAGAAATCCGGGCGCAGTTTTTGAAGTTCAAGTGAGATCCATTACTATGAAAAAAGGATCTGGACTGTTAGCGGGGGGGGGGGAACTAAATAACGTAAAAATAACATTCTAAATGCTAAATAAAAAGTCGTCCCCAAAAGCGTAAAAATCTACGTTTCGGCAATTATTTTCCAAAAATCAAAATTTTTGAACATTTTCGCTATCGTTCAAGAACTTTCTTTACCTACCAAAGAGGTAAGACGGTATGAAAATACAGAATTAGCCCCTCGCCTCCGCTAACAGTATAGTACCTAAAAAATCAGGCGGCTCACCATTTCTGTAGCGTGTATGACAAAAATTTTAAGTATCGTCAACATCCATTTGCCAAAGTACTAGTCGGCGCAATATTTTTGGCTGTCTGGGACCTTAGGCTGATTTGGGTCCCAAGATAGCCCCCTATCCCCCACAGCTTCTGCAAGCCGACGACCCTGGGACACCCAAAAAAAGTGGAAATCGATGGCGTATACTTCCGGAAACCCAGCTCGAACGCTTCAACTAAACAACAAAATTTAGCTTATCACAGACCATTTCAGAGATCGTCTCCATCGCAGCTAGCTAGCGAGTACTATTTGATAGACTGCGGGACCCGTCAAAATTTTTAGCTAAATCCCGCGACCCGTTTTTAGTAATGGGGGATTTGTCGGCGCGGCAATTTTCACAGCGCCAAACAGAAAAAGCACGTCGCAGCTGCGCACACGTCGCATCGGGGTGCATGATCAACCGCATTGATTCATAACCGCAAAAACTAACCCAATGCATTTTCTGCGCCATTTTGTAACAGTAAAGCCAGCAAAGTTTGGGGGCAAACTGTGCGGGCATGCCAAAAATTCGAGCTTTATTGCTTGCGCTGACTCAGGGCCTATTCACCGTGCCCAGAACTTTCGGGGCCCGGCCCTCCAAACCAAACCTTTATAGAAAATCAATCAAGTAGCCAACAAAAATAAAGAAAACTCACGTAGGACTTCTCGTCAGTCATCGTGGTGTCGGGTTTTAGACGGGTTGTTGTAGGTCTGAAAAAAATGGATGAATTGACGGGTGGCGACGCGAATATAAAAGGTGGGGAGAAGAAAACAACAATCAGGGCATCCAGAATATTCAAGGAGGGCAAACAAGAAGTGAAAAACGCGAAGTTCATGAGTACTTTTGCCCGGCGCCTCGATAAACAAGGATCCGGCGTGGCTGCATAAAAAACAATAAGGAGAAATAATGACTCAGCATAGACATTTGCCACAATAGCCGGAAAAATGTCTGTTTTGGATTCTATAATGTAGCAAAACAATAGTGAATCAACGGTTCCAGAAATCAGAATTTTCCCCGTTTACCCATATCAAAATTTGCTTTCTGACTAACTAATAAACAAAAAAATGAGGGCTGAACGCCCCGCGCGTTTTCTGCTGATAACTCGGAATTTTTGGGCGTTCTCGGCAATGCCGCTTTAGGTGGAGCCGTCGTAAACAAGCTCTCGAAAGGGCCCAATAACCCTTGGACTCGACGGGTATAACGCCAGCCAGGGGGTCCTTTATGCGAACAGATAGCGGGCCATTCCCGAAGAGAAATGGGATCCCTCAACGAAGTACGTGTGGTACTGGAGTGTTAGCGGGGGGGAGGCTCTATAGCGTTTTATAGTGCGTTTAAATTTTTTAAGCAGTTTTGTTTACAAAAAAAAGAAAGAAAAATTTCAAATTATTGACAATTTCCCCAAATTTTCAACCAAAAACCAAATTTTACACATTTTTATCAACTTTCGATACGTACAAACGGAGGCAAAAACTTAGATAAGTGGCGTTTTAGGGCCAAATCGGGACCTTACAGGGAGATGTCACCCCCCGCTAACAGCTCAGCTCCGCAAAGTGAGCTCCAGATGTGCAGATCGCTTCGACTATCCGTAAAGTGGAGCAGATATGGGAGGATTGCTCCCGCCACAGGGTGTCAGCTAGCGAGAGCATAAGTGTTCTAGAGAGCGGATGTTGCATTCATGAGCGCCGACTCTGCTGAGGGCGAGGCAAGGCATGTGTCATCCCGGGGCGAGTGCGGTCCCCAAGCGAAGGTCACTCTCAATCCCCGCGAGACTCGTCAACCAGAATAAATACGGGCTCGAGAATGCCCGGACAAGATGGGAAAAACTTGAGGAAATTGCGCCCGGCCGTCTGTGGCGCGACACACAGCCACAAACAGCTATTTCCTCAGGTATGCAAACAGCAAAGCCGCGCGATGAAAAAGTAAACAACCCGCGTGGGACCGGGGGCAGCTGCCACTACTTTGTGGTTATGACAAGGATGGAGATGTAGCTGGAAATTTGGATAATGCGTTAGATCAGAACGAAATTTAGCTAGATTTTAACGAAAGTCGCGTAGACCCCAGTCTTCAAAGTTTAAAAATTTCGCTAGGTCTAAATTCAAACACTAGACCCGTTTGTCAACCCTGAAAATTCTTTGATATGAGGAAACATTTCTCTAGTTTTGAACGAAAGCCATGTAAAGCGGCGCTTTTGAAAAAGTAAAAGAACTCCCCGGATCAAAATTATTAGCTTAACTAATTCGTGTCGTTAGAAAGTTCACCTAGAACTGTGGCAGCACCTTGGTACTCTATGAAGCGAAAATTTCAAGAAAGCCGTAATCCAAACAAATGCCTCCAGCCCGACCCTGCCTGCGAAAGACAGTCGGCTGTAAACAGCGCAACGGGGGCTACAAACCCAACCCCGGGTCGCCTTACTCCCTCAAAAACATCTGGCGCCAGCTTGAGAGGGATAAAGCTATACGTTCGACCGCGGCGCATCTTGGAGAGCTCTGAAAAATGAGCTTCAGAATAGCTTCTAGAAGCCCTGAAAAGAGAAATCATGAATTTTTACACCCTTTAAAAATTAGTAAATGACAAATTTTGACGTTTTGGCACATGTCTATGATTAAAAAATTATCTCAAAATATGGTGACTAAGCCCAGCGATTCCTAAACCCCAATTTTGAAGATACCTAATAATATCCTGAAAATAAAGCAAAACCGGCATACATGGCCGTGACTATTTGAAACTCATGCAGCTCATAAAAGTCGTGACTACCCCCTCCGATTCATAAACCCCAACAAGAGCCCTCTCTATTTACACGCGCCAACATAAAAGCGAGAATCGCCAAAATCGAGCCTATAGTAGGGGGTGGGTGGCGCACACAACCACACACAGCCACATGCGGCTAGTTTCCGTCGTTGGCTGCATTCGCACCCGCGGGCCAGCCCCCTTTACGCATGGTGGACATGGGTCTCCTTCTCTTCTCCGGCCAGTATCGATCCTCAAAGCCCGTAAACAGCAACAACAACCGCCGAGGAGGCCCCCCTCTCAACGACGCCCACATCGCGCTACCCCTAGTGACAGCCGCTGCCTAGCAGAAATAAAAAAAAGAGTTGGTCAAAACAGGGGCGCAGACCCCGGCGGGCGGACCGCCCCAAATCGGGCACCGGCATCACAAACAATTATAGCTACAATGTGCCCGTCGTTTCGGGCTTATCATTTTTGGGGGAAAACAGAACCGCCGCCGACCCGCCAGTGCGGTTGTTTTTCCCGGATTTTTGACCTATGCCCGAATTGGCTATCTGGAATTGGCATTGGAATTAGGTCTATTGTCGCCATTTTTGTCAAAATCAGAAGTTGCACTTGGTTTCTACGCTTTACCGGGCCCTAAAAACATAAAGATCTACCGAAAAAACTTTGTATGCTTCCAATAAAGAGAGAAAATAAGTTTTTTTGCATCTTGAAAACTTTGAGAAAAGTAAAATCCCGACAGCTTGACCTACTTACTTCGGTGTCAACGGTGGTGCTTCAGAATCTAAAGCTGGAAGCAGGAAAAGTAAAAACTTCAAAAAATTAAAAAAAAATCGAATTTTCCGATTTTCCGGAACACTACACTTTTCTTGGAGTCTAAAACGTGTACGTTACCGTAACGCCGGCTTGGTCGGTCCTCGAACATTCGCGAATGTCAATTTTTCACTTCGTGGCTGCTCATTATATTTTTTAGACCTTCACGATCTTCAAAGTTGTTTTGGAAACATTTGTGCTAGGCTAGATTTCTTTTGCTAGTATATTCAGTCTTCTCGCGCGTTTTTTCTTTGCTGGCAGGCCTCCGGCGCCCCTTTCCCCTTCCCAAAACCTTGCCGCCTATCCCGTGGACCGCCCCGCGCTCAACTACTGTAGCTAGGGTCTGCCGGGAAAAATATCTTCGAATTTTCCCGATAGATTTACGTTTTTTTTAGTCATCATTTTATCTCGTTCGTCTCACCAATTTAGCTTACTAATTTTCCCCATTTTCAGGTAACTCGACTACTCGGTGAATATGCCTCGCCCGCAAGTCTTCTTCGACATCACCGTCGGTGGCAAGGCCATCGGCCGCGTCGTCATGGAGCTCTACAACGACATCGTGCCCAAGACCGCCGAGAACTTCCGCTGCCTGTGCACTGGAGAGAAGGGAACCGGCAAGTCTGGCAAGGCCCTCCACTTCAAGGGATCCAAGTTCCACCGTGTCATCCCAAACTTCATGCTCCAGGTTTGATTGTGTGAACGTTCGTTTATTTCTTTTAGGGAGGTGACTTCACCCGAGGAAACGGTACTGGAGGTGAATCCATCTACGGCGAGAAGTTCGCCGACGAGAACTTCAAGGAGCGTCACACTGGCCCCGGAGTCCTCTCCATGGTGAGTTATTTACTTTTATTTGGCTTGTGAGATTTTTACAACGGTTTCTCACATGCTGCCGAAAATTTTCGTTGATATCCAATTCAGTGCTAATCATTTACTTTAGGCTAACGCCGGGCCCAACACCAACGGCTCCCAGTTCTTCATCTGCACCGTCAAGACTGACTGGCTCGATGGCAAGCACGTCGTCTTCGGCCGCATCACCGATGGAATGGACGTCGTCAAGACCGTCGAATCGTACGGAAGCCAATCTGGCAAGACCAGTGCCGAGGTGTCGATTGCCGATTGCGGGCAACTGGCTTAAATGTTCCGATCTCTTTTTCTTAAACGTTGTGTTTTTTCGCTAAATTATTTTCATTGGATTGCGATCTTTATATAAGAATAAAGTTGATTCAGCGTCTTATATGATGGTTCATCTAGATCTCGCGTTGACATTGTAAGGAATGGTCGCACCGGTGTAAAACCGAGAATGCAGCAAGACAAGGTAGTGCTGAAGGCAAAAGCCCCCAAACAATACAGCTTTTCGTTGATGGTTTTTTGGGCCTTGAGGTGAAATGCCTGCCTTTTTTCCACGATTTCGAGCTCGGGCTTCTCCCCTCCCCTTACGTTGGAATCGAACAAAACAAGGATTGACGGATATCCATTTCATCAAGACGGATCGAAGCCAAACAGCTGGCTGAAGACTGTCGCGTCAACATCATGTTTTTCTTGCCAGATGCTACTCCGATTCGCCCTGTGCCCTCCGGGGGGCTATTTGTGCGCCGGCAGAGTGCAGGATCCGTGGGAGTTGTTGGTGAAGTGGCTGCTGTTGCGACTGTCGTCCTGCACATTCACCCCAAGGGCATGGGCCGATCTAAAATTTATGCGCGTCAGGTGGTCTCAGATCGCGGCACATTGGCCCCGCCGGCTTGTCAACAACATGTAGTGCGGCGGTGGAGCTTGAGTCATTTTGGCTCCACCTTCGTCGGTAGGAGGTGGTGGCTCTTGCTTCAGTTGAGTCTTGCACTACTCCTTGAGTTGCCGTCTTGATCGGAGCCTTTGTAGCAAGGCCGTGGCTTTAGTGTCTTAGCAAAGTAGCCTACAAACCCTTCGCTTCTGGCAAACCTTCCTTTTGCCTCGGCGCGATCATGGACTGAAGCCGAGGGCCCATAACGTAGCCGGTCATTAAACAGCTCCCCCCATTCGCATTGGCCCTCACATCCTTTTCCACATGTCCACCACGATTTCTAAGCTTTAAAAACAATACACTTCTGTTTCAGAATCGTAACATCGAGTTGCGAACCGAAGATGTGGCAGTGTAAGTTGAAGCTTTTCTTTGGATCGGGAAAATACGGTCTAAATAGAATAGTGCTACTTTAAAGTCTTGAAATACTTGGAAGCTGGTTAATAAGGGCTTATTTCAGTGCTTTTATTATTGGCGGCGTCGGCGGCGGCGCGGCCCGAGGAGACGTCCACGACCAAGGAGGTCAACTACCGCAAATATATCGGCGAGCAGGATTATGTAAGTTTTCAAGACCTAGAGAATATAACGATATGGACTTTTAGAAATTGCCCCTGCTCACCCGGCTAGTCGAGCCTCTCGTCATTGGCCAAACGATCCACACCGTCGGAACGTTGAAGGCCGAGCCCAAGAGGTAATTTCTGATAATAGGAATAGAATAGTAGCTGTTTAGGGTCGACTTCAACTTCCTGAAGGGCGGCGCTAAGGATGCCGACATGCCCCTCCACTTCTCCATCCGTTTTGATGAGGGTAGGAGAAAAATGTTACTTTTAATGCTATTTTCTTTTTAAGCCGGTCTGTTCAGCAACGGCAAATTCGTCTACAACACGTACCAGAACGGAAACTGGAGCGAGAACGAGCAGCGCATGAGCAACCCCTTCAAGGTAGGACCTAGAAAGTTGAAACCTGAGAATTCGGTAGCTTTAAAAGTTACATATACCATTTTTAGGCCTCCGAGGAGTTTGACCTGCGCGTCCGCATCCTCGATGGAAAGTACCACGTAAGTTTCTTTTCTTTTTCTGAACTTGCACGATTTTTTGAGGCTAGATCTAGAATTATAACGCCTTAAACCGAATCTAGTTGCATTTTTCCAGGTGTTCGCCAACCGCAAGGAGCTCGGCTTCTTCGAGCAGCGCCAGGACCTCAAGGGCGTAAGTGTCGCGTAGCGTAGCTTATTTTAAGGTGCCTTTAGATCGATCACGTCTCGATCCGCGGTGACTTGGTGAAGCTGCGCCTGTTCCACTATGGTGGCCGCATTTTCCCGAACCCCTACACCGCGGTGGCGCCACTGAAGCCCGGCAAGCGTCTTGATGTTTCCGGATTGGCCACTGGTGAGTTTAAAAAGTTACCTGATCCTTGGAAAACGCATTATAAACCTTAAACAAATAATATAATCGAAAAATAAGGTGGCTTTGGCAGCGAGAACCCTTATTTATGAGTTTTTAGAATATTTATAGTTTTAAAAAATTTTATTATATAACTTTTTCTATACTTTAGAAAAAATTTATAAAGTAATTATACCTTTTAGGCAAGCGCTTCAACGTCAACCTCTACAAGGAGAACAAGGAGTTCGCTCTCCAGGTGCGGTTATAAGTTTAAAAATTAGTTTTGACGTATCATAGGACTTTTAATAGCTTAGATTTTAATAGAAACAACTAATCCCTGAATTGCAGATCTCTGTCCGTTTCGATGAGGGCGCCGTTGTCAGGAATGCGATGACGAACAACGTCTGGGGCAAGGAGGAGCGCGAGGGAGCCTTCCCGCTTGAGAAGGGACAGATGTAAGTTTTCAAAGCAACTTTTAATGTTAAGGCAAGCTAGCAGGGACTTTAAGCAATTTTAAAGCTATTTAAGCTGTATTTCGGGATTCTTAAATCGTCATGTGTTCAGCTTCGACCTGACCATCATCAACGAGGAGTACTCGTTCCAAATCTTCTTCAACGGCAAGCGATTCGCCACTTTTGCCCACCGCGGATCCCCGTCGGATCTGAAGACGATCGGCATCGACGGCGACCTCGAGGTGGGCGCTTTTTTTGGGTAAAATACGCCCGGAAATTTTGAAAAATATTTTTTTCGTAATTTCTAACAATTAAAACCCACAAAAAACGATAAAATTTTAAGTAATAGGCTTAAACACCGATTTCTGTTAATAAAAATGCATTAAATTACAATTTCAGATCCACGCCGTCAACTTCAACGACGCCCCCGGCATCTAATTTCCCCTCCCACTATTTTATTGCGCACATTGTATAATATTTTACGTTTGTATTTTCGATAATAAATTTTGCAAATTATTGATTGATTAGATGATTAATGCCCCTTATTTTCGGTATCCGGATGATAATATAGCGAAACAGCTAGGAAAATCCCGTTGATCATCAAGGAGACGCCGAAAAAGATGCGCGAGAGCCAGAGGTGCTTCTAAAAATGGGGAATTTTAATTATTTTAATGGCTTAATAACGATAACTTAATTCTAGTAATTTTCGACAAAAAGAGCTTAAACTTAGTTTAAAAAAATTAGAAAACCCACATAAATTTCGTCGGAAAACTTGCAAACATGAGCAAAAGTGGCTAGTTCCAAAACAGCTTCCGCCAGCATCGCCATTACATATATCTTTGCGGATAGTCTGGAAAGTAATTATATGGACTAGAATTGCATAATTAATTTTCTAAATCAAAGATAAAAATCAGAAAAGGTTTTATAAAGCTATCGGCATCAATTAGAATGCTAACAACGACGTACAACGCGCAAATTACGCTCATCATCCGCACGCTGGCCGCTTGCCCAAAGTAGCTGGCCAACAGCGTCGCTAATTTCCCGGTGGCGATCATCGTGTAGATGGCGGCCAGGATTACTAAAATCTGATATTTCTGGCTTTAAAGGGCCTTTAAAGGCAATAAAGCGTAAAGAGGTGTACCGTGTAGTTTTGCGATAAATTGGACCACTTGGGAGCACTCGATGGAAATGGCTTTCCAGGATAGAAAGAGTAGAAGCGCCGCCACGGCGTGGGCTGCGTGAGAAACTGCGTGGGCGGAGAGGAGTACTTGGAAGAACTCTGAACGGAATGTTTTGGAAAGTCGACATTTAGATCCCTGCTATATTCGATCCGCTTCTTTACCTTACATAACTACGTTTCACTAAAGTACGATTTTTTGGGCATCGCTACGTTTCGCTACTCTTTGCCAAACTCCATTACGCCTCGCTGCAATTTGCTACATTATTCTACATGTCGTTACGTTTCAATACGTTTTCTACGTTTCGTTATGTATCGTTACCGTATGCTACGTTTTGCTACGCATCACCACGTCGCGCTACGCTTTGCTAAACCTCGTTAAACTCCGCTACTATCTGCTGCCTTTTGTATGGTTTGTCCCATGTCACATCTTACGTTAAAGTATTCTACGTTTCGCTACGATTTGCTACGTCTTGCCACCCATTTTCGCGCTAGGCTACGTTCGCTAGGTATGACTTTTGATCAATGCTTGTTTGGAGCATTTTTTTAGCCGTTTTCAGGCTACTTATTCCATATTCTTCAAGTTCCGCGTCGCTACTTTTTACACCTCAAAAAACCCACTCCTCCCCTGCAAACATCCCGTCTTTTCGGGCCGACGCAATTCCAGCGCATCCTCCACCCGCTTCGGCGAATATCGCTGCGCCATAGCTTCTGCTGCAAAGAAATAAATTGAGTTCCGGGTCCGGGAAATGGCTCAAAAGAGCATGGAAATTATAATTAAAGGCCTTAGTGAGCAAAAAGCAAAACGAAGGGCGCCGCCGGGGATCGAACTCTGGCTACTCGGGCCAAAATCTACCTTCTGCCAACTGCGCCAAATGGTTTTTGCGGTTGGTTTAACCGTGGCTATAAAATTGAGCTCGAGGTTAAAGCTAAATAAAGTTGACTTTAAGCAAAAAGCAAAACAAAGGGCCTCGCCGGGAACGGAACCATGGTCTCGTAGGTGAAAGCTGGTCTCTAACCAACTGCGACAAGCAAATATCGCAAGTTTTCTGTGCCTAATTCGGGAAATGATGGTGAAAAAGACTTATAAAAGTGGTAAAACCCCTGTGGAGCAAAAAGCAAAAGGAAAACCAGCCGGGAATCGAACCCAGGCATTCGACTGAACCTTTTTTGAAGATTTTTTAGGGAGAAGCACCGAAATTTAACAAAAACTCGAATGCGGAAAGGAAAACAATAGCCCCAAGCAGGGAGGGGGTGTGACAAGGAACCGGTACCGTTATCTCCAGGTTGTTTTGGGGTAAAAGGTGTAAAATTTACGGACTTCGAGGGGGTACTGCTAGGTGCCGGGTAAATAGCCATTCCGAAACTGGTGAAGCGAATTGGAAGCATTAATTTTTGACGATTTTGGGGTGTTGGGAGGTGGTGTTCGGAATTAATTCCCGGATGTCAAATGGCCGGGCGGACGGTATAATCCAATTATCGATTTTCCACGATGCTCCGCTTCGGCGATTTGTTGATAGGATTACCGCGTAGAAACAAAACCAAAAAAGATCCTCAAGGTAATTAAGGATTAGCTTCAAAAATTAATGTGTTTTTTTGCTGTTTTTTTTTGTTTCTGGGTGCTTTAAGTCAAGATTTGCATAAAAACGATCTTAAAAAACACGGTAGATGCAAGAAAACATCTAAAAATTATTAATTTTTCGAAGTTTCAATTTTATAACAAATTTGAATGTTTTGAATTTTATTTTAATCCCATTTTTTATGCATTTATGTATTTTGCACCTTGATAATTCTGTCAAACAATTTATGCAAATTCCACAACTATCATGTCTACAAAATTCGACGACCAAACATTATGGCAGGCTAGACAAAAATCTTGATAAATTTTGGTGAATGGTAAAAATTTTGGACCGGTTTTTCGAAGGCTTCTGTTCAGGGTATAAAAATAGCCCCCAAGCAATTATTTAATGGTGTAGATAGGCTAGAAATGGAATCGCTGGCCGGGGCTGCGGACGACAAAATCGGAGAGGCTCGTCTTGGAGGCCGGTTGGCCGGCATGGTGCCGGAAACGGTTGGTGGGGTGGCGGAAGCTGAAAAATAGGTATAAGTCGATCTCTCCCTGTCTCTCTCCCACTCTCTCTCCTCTCACACTCTCTCTCCTCTCTTTCTCTCTCTCTCTCTCTCTCTCTCTCTCTCTCTCTCTCTTTCTCCTGACCTCCTAAACTTACCCATCGGCCGCTTCAAATGTGATAGAATTCGAGAAGGAGGGTCGCGTGAGTGGAGTGACGGAAAAGCGGAGCGATCCGGACTGGATGACCGGCTGAAAGAATTTTTTAAAGTGAGCGGGCAGCTTGGAGAAATTAAACCCATCATGTTTTACAACAAAAATAGAAATTTAATTGCAGCTGGTATTTTTATAAGAAAATTAGGTTTTTAAGATTTTTAACAAAATTAGGGGTTCCGTAATTGCCTCAAATCTCAAAGTTGAAAGCCCTCAAGTGACAATGAAGTTCAACTTCGGAATCAGCACAAAAAACTGGTCCAGTATATGCTTAAAAATATGCGAAAAATCTCGGTCTCGACAACCACGTGTCGCCTCAAAAACCGTTTGAAGCTCGTTGAAATCCCCAAAAATTAGGCGAATTTTGGGTTTTGGAGTGATACGTAACTTTCGAGAACTAATAGATTTGATTCGCCGGTTTGTGCGCTTGCCAGCCCCTTTAAATTCCTCACCTCAACGACTGAAGATGGTTCCTCAATGGACGCTGCTCGTCTCATCTGCCTTGGCCTGTCCTTCCCCTCATCGTCGGTATTATCGATAGACAATGGATGCCAGGGACGACCCCTAGGCGTCAAATAGAATAACGGCCGGCCGCCGATTTCTTGGTCCTCGAATGGGCGACCCTCGACTACGCATGCCAACGCGATGACGGCTGCGATACGGAGCATACCTGGAAGGATACGTTAAATGCTAAAAGGAAATCTTCTGGAAAAAACCATTATATCGAGAAATAGTGGGTTTTATGACACCATCCCTTTAAAGGGAACGGCAAGTCTTGGCTATGGATAATGGGGCTTTTTTGGATTTTGCGGGATCCGCGATACGCAACGCGAAAGCCTAGCCTGAATACCTTCTAGGCGTCATAATGCACCGTTTCGTGGTCGTTGCGTGTCGTGGTCGCGGTAACTATTTAGACATCTGGGCCCACTCTAGAATAAACCCAAATTCTGACGCGGAATCCTACGCGTCGACTGCTATTTCGGGTCCAAAACAAGCTAATCCAATCCAATCCAGCCCGCGCCAGTCATCGCCAACAGGCGCGTAGCGTAGCGGAAACGTGTTAAAATAGCCCATTCCAGGCATTGACGATTCTGACACTGGACGACGACGTCAAGGAAATCCCCAAAATGGGGTTGGGCCCCCCGGAATGGATGGCACAGGGGGGAGGGGTTGATGAGCCGGGATGAGTGCCCCGATGGAGGCGATCTAATTTATGCCCACTGGCAGAGACTGGCAAAAAGTAGACAGACATATAGACAGACAGACAGACCGAAAAAAGGCTAAATTGAGTAGCTGAATTTCCATTATGCTGCCCTTTGTGGGAGGAATTCAATGGGGAAAAGCCAGGCTTAAATCTAGGCTTTAGAGACGCTGAGGAGCTCGAGCTATAGCTCTAGTAGTTTGTAGCACTCTCTTAAAAAAAAACCTCTTACTTTCATCGAAAATTTAGCCTGGTTTGGAATTCTAAAGGTCTCTGAACTTAGAACCGCTAAAACACCCAAATACCCCCATCGCTCATCCCGTCCCATTAGGTCAACCCTGGAAAATACGGAAGTTTTGGTTCGCTGGCTATTCATTCCCTCAATGCTGACCATTCAGCGGGCTGGTCGCGCTGGAAAGTTCGAGTTTTGACGTTCCAAAGGGTGTCTTTTTGGGATCAAAATATTTATTGGGAGGTTGTGGGTGTCCTTCTTTCTCTCTCTCACTCTCTCTCTATCTCTCTCTCTCCACCTCTCTGTCTTTCTCGCACTCTCTCTCACGCTGTCTCTCGCTGTCTCTTGTGCTCTCACGCTTCTCTCGTTCGCTGTCTCTCTCTCTGTCGCTCTCGCGCTCTCTCGCTGTCTCTCCCCCTATCGCTCGCTTCGAATACTGGACCCTTATAAAATACGCCCTACAAGGAAAATTCAGCAAATTCAAAATATGAATGTTCAGCTAAAAATAAATTGGAAATTTTTGAAAACTAAACAAATATACAATTGTCTGGGGGTGGAGTGTGTCTCCTTATCCATTCCAAATAGGTGAATGGGCGCCGGATTGAATATTCCTTCCTCTGAGAAAATATGTATTTCCGTGTCCTGCAGACGATGAGGGGCAAAAAGTGCCACTCGCTCTCCCCAGAATGGGTATGTAAATCGGAATCCAGCGGAATGGGTGAAGGCGCCAAAGATCGGGGGAAATTAGGATAGGCGTGGCTTGGCTTAGGCTTGGCTTAGGCTAGGCTTAGGCTAGGATAAGGCTTGGCTTATGCTTAGCTCAGTAGCCGCTTCAGACCGGGGATCTATGAATTTACATCTTCAAAAATCTACTGGCTTTCACCCGATTTTTAGACAGGTGAAATCACCCAAAAATCAAATCAATCTTACCCGTAAATTGCATCAATTCGGAGTCTAATTATGGCTCCAAAAGCACAAGGGGAAATTTTCCGGTTTTTACGGGATTACGGTCAATACAAGCTATACTTTATGACCTGCAAAATAGAAATTAGAAGACAGAAGTGAATGGCTTAATAAAATAATTTCTGCCAAACTTTCTTAGCGCCTCAAACGACAATTTTCAGCATGAAAACGAACAAATATTTGAAAAAATGAAGTCATAAAAATTCAGAAGCGAATGACGCTCGAATTTTTGAACCTGAAGCTCAAATTTCTGGCCTAGATGAGTTCTTGGTTCTGAGAACCTCCTGAAAACTGACCTGGACGCTCACACACCTCCATTTCACCTGAGAACGAGGGGAGGAGCTCGAACCGCGCGGCTCCTGAATTCTGAATGAATATGCAAGAATTGGGTGCAGAGGTCAACCGGGGATGAAACAATGGGGGGGATTGTCCGAAAGCATATACCCGGAAAAGTTGCAGGGTTAAATTTGGAACGCGCGTCACGAGGAGGTGAGAGGGGGAGAAAGAGAGAGAGACAGAGAGTGAGAGAGAAAGAAAGAAAGCGGTAGATGGACACCATCCCGAAAAAGACACCATCCCGAAAAATTTGCATGCGAAAGGTCAGCTCTACTATAGAAAAAGGAGCTATTTTTCTATGCTAATGAAGTTTTCGCATGCAAATTTTTCGGGATGGTGTCTTTCGGAATGGTGTCTTTTCGGGATGGTGTCCATAATTCAAGAAAGCTACACCTACACCAGAATCTATTCCTACTTTTTGAACAGCAATGGTTGGAAAATCAATTAATGAGAGACAATGCGAGAGTGAGAGAAAACATGGAATTTAAACCGGCGTACTGTGAGGAGATTTGAGATTATTACCAAGTTCTCGTAACTTTAGTGCTAAATGCTACTATTTTCTAACTTTTTGTTTATCTCTCCCTCTCTCTCTCTCTCTCTCTCTCTCTCTCTCTCTCTCTTTCTCTCTGTTCTCTCTCTAACTCGCTTTCTCTCTCTCTCTCTCTCTCTCTCTCTCTCTCTCTCTCTCTCTCTCTCTCTCTCTGACTCAGCCTTCTCACTTTCGCTCTCTCTCCCTCTCTCTCAGTCTCTCGCTCTCTCTCTCGCCCTTTTTATCTCTCGACTGCATTTTTCTCACAGAATTTGATCAGACCCGGTCTGAAAGTTACCGAACAGATTTTTCTGTCTCACTCCCTTTAAAACATTACCATGTTCTGCAGCAAATTTTCTCTTTTTTTGTGTAGCTATGCCAACTTCCAAACGCCGAATTTCCGAGTTTTTCGTGTTTATTGTTGTCATGGGAAGGGGAGGGCCGGGCTGTCTTTTCGGAGGGTGAGAGAGAGAGAGAAAGAGAAAGAGAGAGAGAGAGCGGGGCTATAGAATGATTATAGAGATCCGAGAGAGAGGCGACAAACAGAGACACACACCTCAGCCCCGCACAGCCGGCTGTCTCCAGCCCCCCTTTTGCTCCCCTTTGCAAACCGAGGTTCTATGCTCCGCCCGAATTCGATTATGCCAATAAAGATTTATTAAGCAATTTTGAGTAATTTTTATGTTTAGTAGTATAATTTTGATGTCATTTTCTTTAATTATGAGGCCTAATCTTCCTTAAAACCTTCGCGGCCCAGATGGACAACCCATTTTTTTTCCAGCACGAAGTTTATTTTGAAAATAAATATATTTGGAGCTATTTTTCTGTAGTTTTAACGGTGATTAATATAAGGATAATGTCGTATTTTTCATTTACAAAACCTTATTTTTGAAAAATTGAAGGCAACGCCCTAAAAAAAGTCGGAAAATTAGAATTATTGATGTGAACGTGCTCTCTCTCTGGCTCTCTCTCTCACTCTCGCCCTCTCTCTCGCCCTCTCTCTCTCATTTCCCCCTCCCTCGCTTACATTTATGTAAAATTTATGTTTTTTTCAGGAAATGAGCAAGGCGCTCGACCTCAGCTGGCTGCAGCACCAATTTACCGAGCTGCCCGGATGGGGTAGCGTCAAATACAATTTGTTTGAAAATAAAATTCAGGAAAAGCGGCAATTGGCGTCGGCGCGGGTCTGCTACTGTATATTCCGTTGCGATACCTGACGACCCGGCCGAGGAAAAGCCCTTATAAGGAGGATTTTAAGCCAAGTAAGCTTCAAACCAAGCTAAGCCGAAGCTAAACCCAAGTTAAGCTTAAGCCAAGCCTAAGGCTAAGCTAAGCCCAAGTCAAGCCAAGCCAGCTTCTTAATTGCACGGAACACCGGGTGTAGTCCTCAGAAACGTCAACAGAAGAAACCCCCCTTGATTCATGTCCTTTCCCTGGAGCTTTATTTGCCAAGCCACTCAAAGTGAGGGCACGCAACTGAACGCCAGAAATTGAGCGGAAATTATTGGGCTTTCTCTATCCGTCTCTCTCTCTCTCTCTCTCTCTCTCTCTCTCTCTGGCCTTTAACCCCCGAAACCTTGTATCAACCCACAAAAACTTCATGACCCACGATACCCCTCAAATATTTGGGGCGGTGTCGAGCGGCCGTTTGGATTTATGGCTTTTGTCGGGAAGATGACCTTGAGAAGCCGGGGAAAGGTGGGGGTCGGCAACGCGTGAATGACAACGTGCACCTAAAAGGCTAGGAAACGGTAGAAAAAAGTCATAAAAGCGGCGACGAGAGAGAGATAGGGAGAGACAGAGAGAGAGAGAGCGAGATAGAGAGAGAGAGCAAGAGAGAGCCAAAATTACAACAAGCTTTCCGACTCTGTTGGTCTGAACTTGTTGATGTCGTCTTTCAGATGTCGTCTACCTCTATCAGTTCCCGCGTACGAAATTCGTCCCTAACGCCTCGACCTATTGCCTCAAGCTGGAAACGTGGCTAAGGATGGCTGATGTGAATTATGAGGTAATCTCTCTCTCTCTCTCTCTCTCTCTCTCTCTCTCTAATTCCCACATCCCCCCTAGATCGTCCCTGCCCAATTCGTCATGTCAAAAGAAGGCACTCTGCCCTTCGTCGAGTTGGATGGTGTGGAGTATTACGATTCGACCTTTATTATCAGGTATTTTGAAGTATTTGATACTAGAATTAATGATAGGGCAACGTCCACAAGTTTCTTTGCTAGATTGCCGTTTTAGGGACCTCTCCGAAGCACTGAGAATCAACCTCGAAGATCATCTCACGGATGAGCAGCGAGCGGTTGCGAGGGCATTTGAGAAGATGATGGGTGGGTTCATAAGCTTAAGTTTTAGCCCTAAGCTCAACAAGCAAAGCCCAAGCCCAACCCTAACAAAAGCCCAGCCCTTGTAAGCTAAACCTAAGCCGAAGCCAAGCCCATCATAATTATTTCAGAACTCTCCTTTGGCATCTCTCACCTCCGCGTGAAGATGGAACACCTCGATGAGGTAATATTGATGATCACTATCTCTCTCTGTCTCTCTCTCACTCTCTTCTCTCCTCTCTCCTCTCTCTGGCTCCCTCTGCCATCCTCCAATTTCCAGGTTGTCGCAGCATTTCCGGACCACATGTTTGGCGCCTTGGGACCGATTATCAAATATTTCCTCGGCTCAAAAATGCTCAATAAAGTGGGCTTATAAACGGAATTTCTATTATTTGAATCTTACAGTACACCAGCGTGTTGGCAACCTCTAGCTACGGGAAGCATACTCGTGAGGAAACGGTAAGAATTTCCTGAAGAATTTCGAACTCTCTCGCTGTGTCGCTTGCTCTCTCTCTCTCTCTCTCTCTCTCTCTCTCTCTCTCTGTCTCTCTCTCCCTCACCTTATCCCCAATTTTCAGATTCAAATCGGATGCGACGATTTGAAGGCGATTTCCGCCTTCCTCGGCAACAAACACTTCCTCACCGGCTTCAAGCCGACCAGGGTGGGTTACTGTACATAATTTGCCTGGATCTTAGGTTATTTTGTTTTTCTAGCGTAATCGTATGCAAATTAGGGATTCTCAAATCTAAACTAATCAAATTTGCTCCAGATCGACGCGTGCCTCTTCGGCTTCCTCGCCCAGATCGTCTACCCCGCCTACAGTAACCCGCACACCGATTTCGTCAACGAGAATTGCGGGAATTTGGTGGAATACGTGGCCCGGATACGGACAAGGTAGGAGAGATATTTGCATACGGCTCCGTATGGTTATGTCCTAATTAGCATATGTCTCATTTTCTGCCAATTTTTGAGAATTGCTAGCTGATCAGCATATTTTCAATTTTTTTACGATTTTCCTAATTACAGTAGGGTTTAGTGGTTATGGTAATTTACAAAAATCGCAGGAATTTGGAGTTTTTGTAAGATTTTTGGACCCCTTTTTTAGGGCCTGCATTAAGTTAATTACTGAATAAGCTAATTAGCATATGCTGAATTTTTATAAAACCTTTCTAAGCTTTTTACGATAAAAATTGGCATAAGATTCTAAAGTTAATCAGACGAATGACGTAAACCAATTAAAAATTTTTTTGGATTCTGATTCCTTGCCAAAATCTATGCAAATTACGCAAATTTAAGATTCTGGCCGGATTGGGACGAGCTGACGACAACGTTCGCCACCGACACCCAATGGCGCAAAAAGGGACCGAATGGGGGCAGCCGAGCTGGCTCGCACCGCGGATCCGCCACCAGCTCATTAATGCATTCACCCAGGGCCCAGTAGAACGATTTTAAAGGGACTGGGAAGGCAGGGATTATGCACATTTTTGCATGTTTTTCGATAAAGCATGAAATTCTGCACCAGATGCAAATTTCCAAATTTTTTTTGGCTGACTATGGTAGTGGAAAAAATCATTTTAACGCTGATTTTTAAGGACTACAGCAATCACTAAAAATTGTCTGAAATTTGCATCGTATGAATATTATTATCTATCTAATCACTTATTTTTCTTGACAAAACAAAAATTTAGAAAATTTCCAAAACCCGAAATTAGCATATTTTTGCCTTGCCCGTCCCGTTAAATCGGATCTTCAATTACGATGTGCTAATCTGTATTTATACACCGTTTCCTAAAATCGCCCATTTTCCTATTTCATGCCCCGACTACCGTACCCCGGTGGATGCTGAAAAAAAGCCCAGTGGACCACCAGTTACCGTACCCCGACCTCGAGCGAACCGCGCCCGCTGCAGGACCCCCAGAGTCGAGCTTAGCCAGAGATGCTAGATATTCGTCATTTTTCTATGTTATACTGTATATTTTACAATATTTCATTTATATACTGTACCCCAGAATCTCAAAAAATAAATCCCAAATTCTGCAAATTTGATGAAAAATTGTCGATTTTTTTAATCGATTACGATCGAAAAAAACGAAGCATTGTGGCGGGTTGCCCCGTACTTGTCGAATAAATTGTCCATAGTTGAAGAGCGGAATATGCAAATTAGGGGTCGGACAGAGAGGAAGCGGCTTATTTTCGTGCGGCCGAAATATCGACCCGCTCTTGGCGCGCAAATTTCTATGAATTTTCGATGGCTTTTTAGGCTAATTTTCGGCTACACTTTGCTACAAATTACATGCACTGTAGGTACGGCAATCGGTGTTTTAAAGGAGCGTTGAAGGCAAAAACTGAAATGACAAAAAAATCGCTTTTCCAGTCAATTTAAAAAAATTAGGGATACTGTAACCAGGGGCGTAGCCAGAAAAAAATTTCGGGGGGGCCCCCAAAATTTTTTTCCAAAAAACTCAAAACATTAACGAGAAAACAGCGCCGCAGGCAAAATTTTTTGAAAAAAGGTTACATAGCTCTACAAATAGCCGTAAAAAAGTGAAAAAATAGCGCCGCAGGCAGCAAAATTTTTGAGAAAATGAAAATCATAAGGGTCCCCCCTTATGAAATTTTCGGGCCCCGGCCGATTTCGGGGGGGGGGGGGGGCCGGGCCCCCGGGGCCGGTATTACGCTACGTCCCTGACTGTAACGTTATGGTAATTGGCGGTTTAATGGAGCATTGAAGTGCTTCAAAAACGCGTAAGACGCTAAAAAACTTTTTTCTTTTCTTTGTTTTTCTAAAAAAATTTTCTAACTTTTTCGAGCTACGCAGTGCTACAAATTACGCGTACTGTAGTGTAGTGTACTGTACGTTTTTAAGGACCCAGAAAGGCATATGAAAATGAATTTTACATTTAATTAATTAATTTTACATTTTTTAACACATTTTTAAGGACCCGTCACTTTACAAGAAAACGACAAATACTTGTATGGAAATGAGCGTCAACCGGAGACGACGACGTTGTTAGACAGTGACGACGATGGGTAAGACTCTTTCGTGGAGGGCTATTTTACGTACTCCAGCGGCTTGTCATTAATACGCCCCTAAAAATTGGCTTGATTACGGTATACCAGCCGCAGTTTAGGATCCCGGATTTCGACGAGGGCCTCTATACGAATGTCGTAGCGTCAGAAGTCGGCGGGTGGTTCAGCAACAGGTCCAGCTTTTCGTGCCCTCGTGTTAAGGTATAGAATTTTGTTTTATGGAAATTTGTGCAATTTTTGTATGCATTACAGTATTTGTCGATATTTTTCGATATTTTTCGACTTTTGCGGATTTTCCCTCATTTATTAGCAGTTTTTCGGGTATTTTGACATATATTCTAAGATTTTCCGGTGTACTACGGTAGGTGTCGGTATATTTTCGATATTTGTCGGCCTTTTTCGAAAAGCTACCGTATTACCGTTACCGTTACCGTATCTGCAAAGGTGATCTGGCCGTTGGATTACGTATTTCCAAGAATTTGCTTTTTTAGCCTGATCTTCATACCGGAGATACCGTAGCCACGCTATCGCCAGAAGATATTGAGATTGTAGCTGCTATGGGCGGTTCCTTAGCGGTAGATCGGCTAGAATACGGTAATGAAGACACGATTTAGGCAGGCCAAGGCCTCTGGGACCCGTGGTTTATCGAGTTCCGCGGCGCTTCTTTTGCCATCGGAGGCGACTCGAATTTTGATGGACTCGTGACGATACCGAGTACGTTTTGACGCAAAACTAACTAGAACCGCATGCAATATGAAATTGATCAAAAATCAAGGTCAAACATTTCAAATTTTTGAAGATATTCTGCTGCAATTCAACGATCGCCTGCAGGGTGTCTCGCACGGAATGGGTACCGTAGACCAACTGCCACATTACCAATTCAACATGGCCGAAAGCAAAGCAACCACGAGGGATATGCCACAGCAGGTAGGTGAATTCTAGGATTTCCGATAGCTTTTAAAGATCTCTAAAGGGACTGTTTGGAGATCTCTTATGGGATTTCGCTGCATCGGCAATTGAGAACGCAGACGCATGATCGCGTCGCGTATCACGTTATGCTCCGCATTGCGTATCGCGTTACATATCTCGTTGCATCTAGCGTAGCGTAGCGCGTTTCGTCTAGCGTTGCGTATCAGGTGGCGTATTGCGTTGCGTATCACGTTTCCTATGGCGCTACGTATAGCGTCGTGTTTCGCGCCGCGTATCGCGTTGCGTGTAGCGTTGCGTATATTGTTATATTGTATCGCAAGCGTTGAATTCCGCCTAGCGTGTGCGTAATGGTCGCCTTTGCGTAACGTTGCGTCTCTCGTTACGTTCTGCGTGACTTTGCATTGCGTGCGGATCAATAGCAATGCTCTGTCATTTCCCTAAAAACCGGTCTCTGGCTTCCTGCTAGCTATCGTTTTTCAGGCCAAAGAACTTGTCTCCCGCCTGCAGGGCCAAATGCCGTACAAAGTCCTGGCCAAACGCTGGGTGCTGCTCATCATGCAAGTCGGCACCGAGGAGGTCGGCATTAAGCTTATGCAAATTTCGAGTTTCGCATCTATAGATGTGTTCCTGCCAGGCACCATCATCCTCCGATCTTCGGCATGCTATCGGAATTTTGAGGTTAAACTCAAACCCGTTCAAAAAATTTATTGGCCTTTTTCCTGCTGATTTTCTAGTCTCTTTAAAAACCGGAAACAATGTTAAAGTCTCGAAACAAATCGTCAAAAATTCGTTTATCAATTTTAGCTATATTTCCTGTGGATTTTCGTAAAAATTTTACTTCCAATTGCCTTTAGCCGCTAGAAAAGGCTCTAAAGAAGAATTTTCATTACGAATAATGTCTAAAATGCCTTAAAATACCTATCGAAAAATTATGTGGGCGTGGATCGACTCCCAACCCCTTTAAAATCTTCAAATATTGTCGCAATTGTAGAAAAGGCATCCCGCGCTGCCTTGTCGTGGTCGTCGGCCCAATCCACGTCGCCTCGTCCTATTCCCAAAATGTCAATATTTTGAGGGGGTACGGTAGCTTTTTATTGTAGTCTTAACGCTATTTTTTGCAGAGAATCCTGCCAATGCCTTCAGGACGTCACCAAATCCGAATACGTGCAGCTGACCCGGGATTGGCACGACATGTTGCATGCTGTTGAGGCAAGGGGTTTTATAATTTTTGTATCGTTTTGCAAATTAGGATGTCTTAAATCGATTTTTACGCCTTTTTATGCAAATTGGGTGTTTTTACTCATTTCACGCATAATTCGAATTTTTTAGCTGATTTTTTTTAATTTTTTTTGCTGAAATTTTAAATTTTTAAAGCTATTTTAAATTTTTGCAATGTTATTACCTTAATCATGTCTATTTTTTGAACTTTTAAAGGGACCGTGCCAGCTAACTGCCCCTACAACCCCGAGATTTAGTCAGAAATCAATAACCTGCACTACCCGACTTTTGGGGTGTACGCCATGACGCAGTTGGACATCCACTCGCGAGATCCACAGTCTCTGATCGTCCCCGGGCATCCGTTGCTGAACAGGTTAGAATTCGGTTTGGCTTAGGCTTGGCTTAGGCTTAGCTTAGGCTTACCTTAGACTTGACTTAGACTTGACTTAGGCGTAGCTACTGTATCCATCCACACTTTAGGAAAGGCCATAGCTACGCTGCGAAGTATGTCTGGAATCGACTGATGGCGGGGCCAAAATTTGACACGGATAAGCTCGTCTTTTCGGAAGATTCGTACTTTTGTCCTTCGGTGGTGAGAGGCATAGCTTTTGGCTTGAATTAGCTTTAGGCTAGGATGTGCTTAGGCTTGGCTTAGGCTTCGGCTTGGCTTCGGCTTGTCTTAGGAGCGACTTAGGCTTGGCTTAGGCTTGGCTTGATCTTGGGCTCATGCTCAAGTAGAGACTCCATTTTCCAGGGCTGCCCCTACTTCCGTACCCCTCTCAACTTCAACAGCTGCACGATCCAGACCGAATTCGAGTACCAGCAGTACTTGGCGAACACGCCGAGCCCAAGCACTCCGAGGCCAACAAGGTTAAATTTAAGATATAACGTTATATGCTAATTTTTTCAAATTTCAGGGTGGAAACGATGCAGCGGAACCTTGGGACGATCATCGTCTCGGTGACGGCGCTGAGCATCTGCTCTGGTAGGCAAGGCAGCAGAGACGATTTGGGACTTTCAGTCTCGATCCTCGGCACGATTTTCTACTGCCACGGGCTGCGCGCGACGAAGGGGCGTTTTGAGAACGTACAGGGTGTTTAAAATCCAAGCTAAAAATCGGATGAAGATATTCAAACGTTTTAGGAGTTTATGGCAACAGAAATAAAACATCCGTATACATATGCTTAGGCTTCGCTTAGGCTTGGTTTAGGCCTGGCTTAGGCTTAGGCTTGGCTCAGGCTTAAAGTTCGTCTTTTCCGATTTTTTTCAAACCAACGTCTTCAAGCAATAAACGGAATTCACGGAGCGATTTTTATTCGACAAGTACAAGCACAAAATCACAGGGCCCCGAAAGTATCCAATGACGGCAGCGGCGAGTTCATTAAAATTGCTATTCGACGGGTAAAGCTCATTAACGAAAGGGTGAATTAAGGAATGTTAAGGGTAATCGTAGGAGTGTTCGCGTGGCTCATCTCCAGTCCGGCGCGCCCCGCAGCAGTTCCCTCGCAAACAGATCGTACTCGTACGCGAAATCGCCCTCCAGTATTTCTACGGCACTGGAGGATAGGTGCTTGCCCTAAAAAAAGTTGGCTAGCAAAGTTAGTTAGCAAATTTCATAGGCTTTTCATATTTGTAATCAAAAATTGCGTTCTGTTTTCGTTTTTTTTGCTAACTTTGTAAAAATAGCTCCTCGATTGATTTTAGAAAAACGAAATCCCTACAAACAATTTGTTCGCTCGTTAATGCAAAAGTACCGTAGTGTTCGACATTTTGAAAATAACTCCTACCGACCCGCTTGAGATGTTGAAGGAGCAGCATGTGCACGTAGACGTACTGTGCCTCCGTTTCGATCAATTCTGTCCGTTCCTTACGAACCGCCGCCAAACTCCATAAGGCGGGAAGAGAACGTGGGAGATCGTTGCGTTTCTCCAGATCCTCCACATCTACGGCGTACGCGAAAAACACGAACACACCCGCCCAACCAACGCCAGAAGAATCGTGGACCATGATCGGGCCACTGCCAGCGCTACAAAGGCCATACGAAAAACATCCCAGAAAAACGCCTCCCTAATAATACTTTTGTCAAAAACCGTAAGATAAAAGTCGCGAAACCGATAAAAACCTGATAAAAATCGGTGAAATTGGTCACTTTTTGGTTAAAAATGGATTAAAAAAAGTGACGGTTCTGGACTGTCAGTGGGGGAAACCACTTTTTGTTTTTCCACCTATACCTATTTGTTGAGGGGTAGGGGCCGGAATCTCAAAATTCTTGAATCTCGAAATTTCGGAATCTCGAAATGGTGAGAATATTGGCGGCTTCCTGGAAGTAAAATTATTATGTAGAATTCCAATGTATCGAGATTCAAAACCAAGATTTCCGATAAAACGAAAAGTAAAAAAGTGTTTATCAAACTTGCCGTTTCAAGGGCTTTCGGATGGTATAACTATCATCCCGATCCGACCCTTCTCCGTCAAGCTAGAGGGGATGTGTTCTTCTTGCGGGATCATCAATATTTGAATTTCGATAGATTCGAATATTTGCATATGGGTATCTCCAATATTTTCAGAGTGTCGAGATCCCGAAATGTCGAGATTCCGCCATTTCGAGATTCAGAAATTTCAAGTTTTCGACTATCACCCCTTGTTGAGGATAATATACAGGGTGTCCCAAAAAAAGTACCCCCCCCCCCTAGCGGCGAGTAGGAAGCTCGGATCAGGCTGATTTTTACACCATTCGAAGGCTCTCGAAAAGACGAGAAAACAATCCGTTTTCGTTTTTTAAGATTTCAGCTGATTTCATCGCCATTCAACGTTTTTTCAAAAAAGAGGGTAAATTTTCAACAGGAATTTTTCAATTAGCATGCAAATCTTGCGTAAATCAGTGGGTTTCATGGTTTTGGGACGTAAAATGCGCAAATAAAAATACATAATAAAGAAAATGACGCTCCTTGTTTTCTCGCCTTTTCGAGAGCTTTCGATAGATACCTAAATCGTGACAATCGGACATCACTACGCGCCGCTAGAGGGGGGTACTTTTTTGGGGCACCCTGTATAACGAATTTCTATAGTGTTTTTTATTGCTATAAAGTTACCAAAAATATTTATAAAAATTTGGAAAATCCGAAAATACTGACCCTGTTTTGGTCACATTTTCAGTCAAAATTTATCAAATCAATTCAAAATTTTTCATTTTTTTATTTTTTTTCTATCTAAAAACTTTTTAAAAGGCCATAAAATGGGTGATATTTTTTGTTATAGGGCCTTAGATAATCACAGGAAAACTACCCCCCCCCCCGCTAACAGTCCAGAACCCAAAAATGACCAAAAATTTAGACCCCTCCCACACAAACACGGACGCCATGAGCAGCTCGTAGGCGGCCAGTTCGACAGGGGGCAGCCCGCGCTCGGGCAGATTGATCCAGTGGTAGTGGATGACTTCTTGCACGCTCTTGCCATCCTTGAATACCTCCAACGTCGAGGTATTGACGATGGCTTTGAACTGGCGTTTCCATTTGAACTGTAGAAACATTATATTTCGTCTAAATTCTGCAGCAACCTTCGCCGTCTTGATGAGTTTGATGGTAAAGGGGCCAAAGGTCATCTCCGGTTTGTCGGTGGTCGGGATGTATTCGGAGCACTTTTCTTTCCCGTCCACCATGTAGTCGCACAGCATCACGATGGAGTACACCTTCTCTTGCACGATCATCCTATAATCCGAGGGGTGTTATTATTGCGCCCCGCCTGCTAATAATATATATACATATATATATATATATATATATACATATATATATATATATACAGGGTGTCCCAATAAAAAAGGTCACGCTGGCATTTTGTCATTTCAAATCCGATCGACCTGAAATTTGGAACAGAGCTGCGGAAGGGAATTCAAAATGTTCACAGAAACTTTCAGCCGGATCGGTACAGTAGTTTTCGAGTTATAGCGAAAATAAACTTTATTTTACGTTTTTAACCTGGATTTCGCCGGAATTGAGACTTGGAATGTATGGCAAAAAAGAAGCGCCGACTCTTTTTTACCCCAGAAAATTTTTTATTTCGAAAAATTCGTCTTGGAAATAGGTTGTTTAAGTAATTTTAACAAGCTGTTATCATCCCCGATGTTAAGAAGAATGAGGGATTTGGGGTCGAAATTGATGGTAATTGATGCAAAGTCCAAAAAGATAGCCGAAAAATGGAAGCAAAAGTGTTGATAAAGCAGTATTTTTGTTATAACTCGAAAACTACTGTACCGATCGGGCTGAAAGTTTCTGTGAACATTTTGAATTCCCTTCCGCAGCTCTGTTCAAAATTTCAGAACGAACAGATTTGAAATGGCGAAATGCCAGCGTGACCTTTTTTATTGGGACACCCTGTATATATATATATATCCTACTATATATAAAAAAATAGTGTGTGTGTGTCTGTGTAGATTTGCATCCACTTCCGGATGTATGTTCCGCTCATAACGGGTCAGGGAAGACGTTTTCGGACATGTTTGATACGTCATTTGATGCGTAATGGAGTGGAGATGACTGCCGACGTATTAGATTTTTCAAAATATACGATTTACGACATTAAATTTAGGGTTTTGTGAAAGGACCTTTGTTAGGCAAAATTTGCATGCGCCGGAAGTGGATATTGCCTGGTATATAAAAAAAATAGTGTCTGTGTGTGTGTCACTTTGCATGCAACTTCGGTCCGTATGTTCCAGTCGTATCTCAATAGGAGGGGAAGTTAAAAGTACGTATGATACGTCGGCTACGCGGGGGGGGGGGGGGGAAATTTTACGCGGGGGGACGGACTGTTGGGGTCGAGCTAACTATTTTTTTTGCGTTTCTTTTTGCTACAAACAAAACTCTTGGTATATTTTTTGACGCTCTGTCGAATGGCACTAAAGAAATTTTGTAAAAATCTCGAAAATGTCGAAAACTTGATTTCCTTCTACATCCTCCATGAAAACAACGTTTAAAGGGATGCCGACGGCACAGTCAATCGGTTACGCGCGGAAAAGAAAATGTCTCTGCGCCTCTCCCCGGGACGCGCTCTCTGCTCTGTTGGCTACTTGCCAATTTGTTGATGGGGGGGGATCGACACATGCCGTCGGCAGTCCTTTAATACTTGTTTTTGTTATCACTATTTTATATTACATTATTTTGAGCTAAAATTAAAACTCTTAGTATATTTTTGGATGCTCTATCGAATGGCATGATTAAAATGTCGAAAAAATAGCGCGAATATCGAAAAACAGCCGCTCAAACCGATTTTCAAAGCTTATTTTTGTATTTGCCATAACTTTTTTATATTACACTAATTTTAGCTAAAACAAAAACTTTTAATATATTTTTCGATGCTCTATCGAATGCCGTTGCGAAAATTCCGAGAAAATAACGAAAACAGCCAAAAAGGCCTGCCTGTCCCGTCCCCCCCCGCGTAAAATCCCCCCCCCGCGTAGCCGACATATACCAAAAGTACGTATGATACGTCATTAGATGCGTAATGGTCATGACACGACTGCACGCATATGAGATTTTTAAAAATCAGCTGTTTTCGATATTAAAATTAAGTTTTTGTGAAAATCTCGCTCGACCTCTTTGTTAGGAAACAATTAGCATGCGCCGGAAGTGGGTGAAGCCTATATAATGGGTGAGAGGACGCGCTTTTCATTTTTCTGCACAGGAATTCAGGTGTTTATGTAAAGTGATGCAGTATTAGGGTGAGACGGGGCCAGGGTTGAAAAGTCGCGAAGCTGCTTTTCAACCCTTATATATATATATATATCAATATCTATATATACAGCCTTTTACAGTGCCCTTTAATAGCTTAAAAAAAATAAAATTTTGAGAAACGGAAAACTTTTCGACGTTTTGCTAAATTTTCTGATATTTGGACCGCAAATTCGAAAAAGCTCCAATTTTTCCAATTTATAAGTGCTTTTTCTATCTAAGAAAAATAGTAAAAATTTATATTGTTGTCTGATCTACTAGTATCTAATCTAGTATCTAATCCGATTGTTGTTTGACCGGTCATCTAGATGCTTGTTTCCCCTGTTTTTTTTTGGTTGTTCTACACTATTTTGAGCTGAAATTAAAACTCTGGGGATATTTTTTGACGCACTATCGAATTGCGTGCTACCAAGCTTGTTCCCGATGATATGTTGAAATGATAGATGCTTGATACCCTACCTCCAATGATCAACGACTGTCTCCTTCAGCGGCGCCTGGCAGCAGATGAAGCGGTTGTCGCCGCCCTTGGAAAGTGGGAATCTTCTGGATCTTTTTTGAAAGCCTGCAGATGCACGTAACGATGAAATCGGCGAAAAAGCAAAGAATTTTGCAGCGCGCGAGCGCCGAACCAGGGATGGTTCTCGCCAAAGCCCCACGTTAGCCAGACCCGGAAACAGCCCGTGGAAAATCCCCTAGGTGATTTTGAGGGCTTTTCGCTGGTCGGGCGGTTGGCGCCATGGTGTACTGGTTAACACGCTGGCTGTGGGGTGGCCATCGCTGGTTCGATTCCGGCCCGCAGCAAAATTCTATGCTTTTTCGCGAAATCTATCTTTCTCGAGCCCTTTAAGCTCCACCATCAAAGCTGTTCTTGAAAAAGCTCCTGAACGAAAAAGCCCCAGACTTTTGTACCACCCAATATTTATTTTTTTTATTACCCATTTTCGATTCGGAATCGGCGAGCGAAAAGCGCATGGTTGGTGTGATTTATTAAGGCATCCCGTAGAACTGTTTACGTTCCGATTCGCCGCGAAGAGGAGGGTTACCGGCGTGGCAAAGTAGTTGGCGTGGATGTAGTCGTTGCCGCCGTCTTCGAGGACGACACGCGTCTCGTCAAGACATGGCACATCTTTGTACCGATTCTTCCCCATATTCAGCAGAAACGCCTGCGTCTCGCTCTTGTCGACCACGCTGAGAATGGCGCGTGTCTCCAGAGCATAGGAGGTAAAATCACCCCCCCCCGCTAACAGTCCAGCCCCGTGCATTACACCCAGGTGTTCCGTACCTTTTGCAGGCTCTGAAATCAGCTCGCAACCCGGAGACGTTGCATCGAAAAATCCAGCTGACCACCCCGGACCAGACGTCTATGAGTGGTCGCGGTGGTGGCCTGACAGAGGGTGTTAGTCGGAATCTCCAAAGGTTAGATAGAGTATGTACAGTCTCCCCCCCAGCCGGCACCCAACTTTTGGATCTCCGCTCCCTGTTCATCTAAAGGTGTGTAAGGTATACCAACATGTTCGACTTGCTCTGGCGAATATTTTGGTATACTTTACGCACCTGTAGATGAACAGAGAACCGAGATACGGTGGGTGGGGGGTCGGCGAGGGGAGGGGAGGGGGTAAACTGCGCTTAAAGGGCTAGTTCAACTTTTAGAGCTTGGGCTGGTACCCTGGGAAACTATGGACGTAGGCACAGTGCGCCCGAACAGTCCCCCATTACAATAACTATTAGAGATCGGGGAAATGAAAGAGGCGCAGACACAAAAACGCAGAGAGGGTTCGACTCCTGGCCGCGGAAATTCTTTTGTTTTATTGGCTGAACTAGCCCTTTAAGGCTCTCCAAATTTCGAAATCGTTGGAGACCAGGGTTGAAAAGACCGTTACGCGGCTTTTCCCCCTAGACATTGTGCGGGAATCCAAAAAATTTTTGCGCTTTGCATAACTGGGCCGAATTTCCACACGCAAGGATAACACAAGCAACCGGCTGCGTGCGCGGCAAAATCCGAAATGAATCCTCTAACGCCTCGTATGCAAATGAGGATGTTTCAATAGATTTTAAAATCGCTAAAATAAGGCATTAATCGTCATTTCATTAAAAATCCGATAAGTGTGCTGTAATCTATGCCTTCGACTACCCGTAGCGACCTTTTGACCGGACCTGAAAATTGTTCCCCTGGTAAGAGTTTACTTTACCCCCCCCCACAGCCGAAGGGTCTCAAAGTTGTCGGTATTTTCGCTTATTTTGTCGGGATTTTTGCAACGCCATTCGATAGAGCGTCGAAAAATATACTAAGAGTTTTAATTTGAGCCTACAATAATGTAAAATAAAAAAGTTATAGCCAAAAACTTCCGGCTGGGGGGGGGTAAAGTAAACCGTAGCCCTATTGGTAATAGTAGGGCTCCAAAATGCCAAGCTTCCGGCCCCAACCTATTGACAGCATAGCCGGATGGTCGGGGACGTAAACGCCATTTAGCGCGGGGCAGCGATGACGGCCTCCGGCGCGGCATCACTGTCGACCGGCCGCAGCTAGAATCCAATAGACGAAACTCAATACTATTTTCGGTGCACTGTAAACTTACGCCGGTTTTAAGCAAATTTTTATGCAATTACAAGATACGCTAAAGTAGCGCACCCCACAACTCCAGGCCGAAAACTGACGCTTCCATCTTTATCATTTGTCGGTCCTTTCGCATTAGCGGGGGGGGGATTTCTCGGCGTGATCCGATCGAGAAAACAAGAGGCCCGGGACTGAGTTTTTGGAGCGGCGGTTTTTGGCCCCTGAAAAATTGACGAAAAAGCTAAAATCGCTAATGAATAGAGTCGATAGTGTAGTTTGATTCGGTTTTGCTAAGGATATGTTGGCCGAATCAAATAGAAATTCAACAAAATGCTCCGCTAGGCCTTCCCATGATTCCCAAATAATCACTGCGAGCTAGCTCGGCACGTGTCACTCGATTTTATATAGTTTTAATACCGACCCAGCGAGTTCTTTTTGGTTGTCGAAAATTAGAACGTCAAATTGCTATTTTGTCAAAATTTCAGAATGCCGAAATGTTGAAATGAAGGATGCTTAGCTTGGGCTTGTCCTGGGCTTGGATTAGGCTTGCTTAGGCTTGGCTTATACTTAGCTTAGGCTTGGCTTAAAGTTCGCATAGGCTTGAGATTGGCTTAGGTGTGGCTTAGGTGTGGACGAGGCTTGGTCTAGGCTGGGTTTAGACTTGGCTTGGGCCTGGCTTAGACTTGGCTAGGATGTGGCTTAGGCTTGCTTAGCCTAGGCTAGGGCTCCGGCTTGGCTTAGGTTTGCCTTGACCTTGACTTAGTTTGGGCTTAGCCTTAGGATAAGGCTTGGCTTGATCTGAAGCTCAGGCTCAAGTAACCCTTTTTCAGGGCTGCCCCTACTTCCGTACCCCTCTCAATTTCAATAGCTGCACGATTCAGACGGAATTCGAGTACCAGCAATATTTGGCGAACAAGCCGAGCCCGAGCACACCAAGGCCAACAAGGCAAAAATTGATGAGCGAACATTATATGCTAATTTTTCGAATTTCAGGGTAGAAACGATGCAGCGGAACCTTGGGACGATCATCGTCTCGGTGACGGCGCTGAGCATCTGCTCGGGTAGGCAAGCTAGCAGAGACGATCTGGGATTTTCAGTCTCGATCCTTGGCACGATCTTCTACTGCCACGGGCTGCGCGCGACGAAGGGGCGTTTTGAGAGCGTACTGGGTGTTTAAAATACAAGATAAAACATGGATCAGGAATTTAAAAGTTATAGGGATCTATTGCAACATCAATCAAAGTTCCGTATACATTGGCGTAGGCTTGGCTTGGGCTTGGCTTAGGCTTGGCTTAGGCTTGGTTTAGCCTTGGCTTAGGCTTGGTTTAGGCTTGGCTTGGGCTTGGCTTAGGCTTGGTTTAGGCTTGGTTTAGGCTTGGCTTAGGCTTGGCTTAGGCTTGGCTTAGGCTTGGCTTGGGCTTGGCTTGGGTTTGGCTTGGGCTTGGCCAGGCTTGGCTTAGGTTTTTTCCGGTAACTATTTTTAAATCTTCCGTGTGTAACATATAAATTTCCTGTTTATTAGATCGAATCGTTCATTCATTCATGGCGGGACCAGCTTTGTCAAGGGGCAATTTTTTCGTATCTGATAAACGTGTGCTCCTGCATGCCGTGCGTAAGGGTTTCCATGTGTAGCCGCGCCTGTAGCGTGTTCCTGTCCAGCAGGGTCCACTCGCGGACTAGCTGAAAAGGCATAAATTTATAATTTAACTTACAAAAACTAATTTAGTTTAGATTATAAAATGATATTTTAGTTATTTAGCTGTTTTTACTTACATCATGCACCGGGAGATCCCTCGAAAACGAGATGCGCCCAATGTCGCGCAACGAAAACTTGATATAGGATGTGGAGACTTTGCCCTCTTCGACGGTCACGAAGCCTGGAAATTAAAGTAGATTTTAAAAGCTGCTGTCCTCTGACCATTGTTCATCACCGTCGTCAGCGCCAACTCCTTGGTGTTCGGCTTGACGGCAATGTATCCGTATTCCGAGTGCAGCTCGTCCTTGTCGTTGATCGACCAGGCGAACGCGCTGCAACAAATCACGTAATCACGTAACGCCTATTTTGGTGGATTTATCGGTTTTTTTAAGCATACTTTCCAAAAAATATCGCAAGATTTTTAAAGATTTTTCAACAAGGAAATTTTTGCTAGAAATATCTTAACAAAGGAGGCCTACAAATCTTTTATGCCTTGAGATACCGAAAATCATGGAAATTGTATGTTTTTCAACAAATTTTTCGTGGCTTTATCGTAATTCGGATCATCCGGTATCAAGAAAAAATACCTCAGATTTTTAAAACGGCCGTGATGATTGGGTAATCTTTTTTGAGATATGCTAAATTTCTCTTTAACGTAGCCTAAAGCAGCAATTTTGGACGCTTATTTGGCTGAACTCCAGATACCCCCCCCGAGCTGACCCCAACCGGCTCCCTGTTCATCTACAGGTTTGTAAAGTATACCAAAATATTCGCCAGAGCAAGACGAACATTTTGGTATACTCAGACATGGCAATCGGCCGGGCCGCGCGGCTTTTTCGGCCGCAAAAATTAGAATGCGGCCGGGCCGCGCGGCTTGGCCGCACTTCCGGTGCGGCCGCGGCTTTTTTCCGTTTTGAGGCCGCACGGCGGCCAAGCCGCGCGGCTTTTAAGGCCGCATCCAAATGAGTTTTGAGAACTTCCGGTACGCAAATCCGAGATGTAATGGGTATTTAGCTTGCTAACGAGGAGGATTTATTTTCGACAGCCTTAATTTTTTCATTTCCATTTCCATTTCGCATGAAATTCGCGGATTTTTGGTATGTAGAAGAGCTACTTCCGGTTTGCGGCTTGGCCGCGGCGGCCCGGCCGAGCCGCGATGAAAATGCGGCTCGGCCGCGAAGCCGCGTTTCCGGAAGTAACTAATTACGGCGGCTCGTAGGGGGCCGCGTTTTTTATGGAAATTAGGCCGCCGGCCCGGCCGCGCGGCTCGGCCGATCGGAATTGCCATGTCTGGGTATACTTGACACACCTGTAGCTGCACAGGCGACCGAGATACAAAAGTTGGAGGCCGGCTGGGGGGGTATCTGGAGTCTTACCGTTTATTTCTCGGGCTGCGATACAATCAATAAGAGGTGTTGTCAATAGACTGTTTTCAAACTCACGTGTAGTTTATAGCCTTGACCGCTTGCATCTTCTCATCGGGGACCGTGAATTCGATCTCTTCGCCGTACGTAAATTTCGGGATCGTTGGGAAGATGGCCTGAAAAAACTCGGAATTAGGAAAATTGTGGACGCTCAGATTTCTTCATCACTGAATTTTTCGGCCATGGATTTCCCGCGATACGCAACGCGGATGCTGTTTTGGCTCAATAAAGGGTCGTAATCGATTACGCTGCGAAAAGGCGGCCGAAAATCGATGGAAAATCCATTGCCCTACCTTTCCGGTTCCTTTAAACCGCGCCCACCTTTCCGCCATGCTCACTCCTCCATTTCCCAATCAGCCATGACAGCGGCGCGAGGTCGGGCGTCAACCGCGTCACGTCGTATTCTAAAATTTATCGGTTTAAAGGTACTGGGAAGTGGGCTATAGTACTCGAATCGCCTCCTCCCCCGCAATGGCCACAGGATAGTGGGCAGTGCGATCGGATGTAGTCTGTAGTTGAACACGTCTGCGGGTCCGACCCGACCCAGTCGCGACAATTCGGGTCAATGTCGCGACAACCTAAAAATGATGATTTTTGCGCATTAATGGCAATTTGAAGATTTTATTAACATCTCGTAATGGGTTCCGGTCGCTAATTTAGCCGCGTAATCGGATATGCCGGTTTTTAGGAGTTTTTTGATGCCGTTGAAAGCGCTCGAATATACTCAAAAGTTCATTACAGTTTAAGAAAGCCTCAATTAAATGGCGTAATCGACTACGGTAGTTTTTATAGCTATTTTTATAGGGTAATCGGTTGTAGCTGACTCTAGGCATATGGCCAGCCATTACCGTCTCGACATCTTGAAAACTCACTTGCCGCGTCGACAACGGCGTGGAGGAGAAACGCAAAAAATGCAGCTAGGACCCGTTGTGTAAGCATCTTTGGGCTGCAAAAAATGGCCTATAAAAGTGCAAGGTAAGGCTAAAAAAGTCGAAAAATAAAAATCTTTCTTCATCGCAATTTGGAACGTGATGAAACGCGCATATAGGCAAAGAGGTATGGAGGAAACAGACAAGTTGCGCAGGGCAATCTAGCAAAGATCTTTGAGAAGCAGGGTAGAAAAAACACAGTTTTTTGCCTGTCAAGCTCCTGTAAAGCCTGAAAAATTGCTGTGACCGGAAGACTGGCTTCGGAGCGGAGTGGAATCGGCGAGCAAGAAGAGAAACTTCGGGAATTAAACAATTTCTGAGAAGGCAAGCTAGCAGAGAACTTTGAGGAGGGAATCTAGTGGAGATAATTGAGGATCGGGCTCCCATAAGTGGGCAATCTAGCAGAAAAACATATGAAATCAGCTCCCGAGTGAAAGGCAAGCTCGCAGGGAATTTTGAGGTATCAAAGAAAGCCTGCTAGCAGAAATTCCTGCGTATGATTGAAAAATCAGCTTTTGCCTTCCGAGTCCCTTTAAAACTTCGAAATTGGCGCCAGGCAGCTAGGGCTGGCCTCTAAAAAGCGAAAACACGCGCCCTTGGGCTACGGCCACGTAAAGAGTTGTGTGCCGGAGGGCAAAACCGAAAAAATCCGGAGGGGAAAGGCAGGTGGAAGGAGGGGTGAGGCGGAATGAGGAGGAGCACGAGCTTGGGAAGAGGAGATCGGCATCCGGAGAGGAAGATCTTCATGAGATGGATATCTTCTTGAGGATGCACCCCGACAGGGGGATACCCACCTTTTAGGAAACAGAACAAGAAGAAGAAGAAGAAGCTACACGCTCACAAATCATCGCTGGCCTGGCAACTTGGAGCGGTGCGGAATTGGGTGAACTGGCAGTGGTTCTTTGGGAATTTAAGGCATGAGAGGGCAGGCTGGCAGCGATTCTTCAGGACTGAGGGAAAGAGGGCGATCTAGCAGAGATTATTGAGGAAAGGTTCGATTCAGAGGAAGGCAATCTAGCAGAGACCCTTGAGGAACTGGTGGATTTTTAGGAGGCAAGCTTGCAGAAAGTCTTGGGGACATTGACGAGCTCAGGCATAGGCAAGCGAGCAGAGAAATTTTCGGAATCAAGTTAGAGCATGGCGAACTAGCAGAGAATCTTGAGGAACCGATCGATTTTATGGGATTCAAGCCTTCAAGGGAGATTTTTAGCCGGTGGCGAACTAGCAGAGAATCTTGGGGAATCGCCGGATCCTGGAAAAGGATGTCATAATTGGTTTTAAATTGAACTTTAATTTTTTTTGAATCGCTCAAATTGAGGCCCGGCGAGCTGGCAGAGATTCTTGAGGAAAAAAAACATAAAAATGCAGAGTTTTGTTGGTTTTCAAGCCTAAAGGGAGTCAAAAAACGTGGATTTTTAGAAAAATGTGGATTTCTAGTTTTAAGGCTTCTTGTAATTCCGGATCTTTTTAAAATGCTAGTTAGCCATTCCCGAAAACGCCGGGTGTCAATAGGAGTGAAGTGGACAGAGAGACAGACAAGCGGAACGCGCGACTCGACAAGGGTTGCTGCCCGGCTAAAATGGACAAACTGGTTCGCCGGAGGGGGGAGAGTCCGGCAAAAGCGAAAAAAAGAGGGGGAAAGAGGAGGTGTCGATAGGACCATCCTGTTGCCATTCCACCCCATGCCCTCCGGTCACAATGGGGGGCACGCGTTGGCAAAAAAACGATGTGCTTTGCATATTGATCTGGAGTGGGGGTTTTTAAAGGGACTGGCAAGGGAAAAATTGCGATTCTGGATAATTTCCAAGGCTCCAAAAACAGCCTAAAAGGCCTAATGGCTCCTTTAAAGGAACTTGCAAGTCAAACATCGATAACTTCAGCCGGTTGGCAAAGAGCAACAAGTTTAAAATATGCTAATTAGGCTGCAAAAAGGCTTACAAAATGCAGATCAAAAAAACTAAAACGGTCCAAATATCCTTTCGAGGATTTTAAAGGGACTTGCGAGGCAAAAAACCGAATCAGCACGGTATAGCAGGAGAAGTTAATTTTAGTTTTTGTTCTATTAAAAAAAACTAAAAAAAAAATAAGCATGCTTTTGAAAATATATCATGCATTTTTGTAGTGTTTTTGTAGTTTTGGATCGGTAGAAATTTTCATAAAATATTTTTAAAAATGTTTGGGATTTATTTTCTATAAAAAAACAGTGTAAAATGCAATAAAAATTGCCTATCTTTGATTCTCTCTACCGAATTACTCGAAAAATTGTTTCCCGCCGCCAAAATCTCCCTCCCCCGCTAATACTCCAGTGCCTTATAAATCAGTTTGTGACTTGCATGCCCCTTTAAAATAATCGTAAAAGTACAATGGCAAAAAGCTGGTGCTCAGGTGATGATGCTCATGATTTGTCGAGTTCTAGGGGTCATCCGCCCACCAGCAGCCATGGGCAGCCAGCCCGTTGATAGGATTGGCGCGCAACTCTCGAGACAGACAAAACCGCCGAAGGAAAGAGAGATAGATAGATAGATAGATAGCCCGTGCCAAAATGAGCACCAGCCCACAGGGGAGGAGCAGGGGGGACAAAGAAAATAGAAAAATCGGAAAATATCGGAATGGCCAATGGGAATTTATCGATTTTTGGGAGTTTTAAGGGATTTTGAAGGGAGATGTGATTTTCAAGCTCCTTTGATAAATGGAATAAAAAAACGGCATCGATAAATCAATAATAATTTAGTGAATTAGCGACAAACAAAGAAGGTTAAAATGTCGGATTATCTTATTTATCATTTTTAAATTAAATTGAAGCGATTTGGAAAGAGTTATTGCGAATCTTCCGGACTACGATAATTTTAAACTGCGCTTGAAAAATAGATATTAAACTATTTTCCGAATTTTTTTTCCGCAGAAATCCTTCAAAACGGTGTTTTTAATAATCATAAAAGGACGTTAATTTAGAAGTCTATAAAATTTATGAATTACTGCGCTGGTTTATTTTGCGCAGAATCAAAATATGGGGATTTTTATTCAGAATTTAAAGAGATTAAAGGGACCTGCAAGGCAAAAAAGTTACGGATGAAAAACGTGGAGCAAGCCGTTCGAAGAGAATTCAGAAATCTGGGGCAATAAAACGAAAAATGTTTATCGTTTTCTAACATTGAAAAGCTTAACAACATGTAAAAGGAAGTACAACTTTGGAATATTTTGGTGAAATCAGCGAGCTGTCGAGTACCCGGAACCAACTGGGAGACTCGGCTGCCCCGGCAAGCAAAGTCAGAAACCGTGCAGTCCGCGCGGCAACGGATAGATAGCCGAAAAATGGATACCCCCGGCTAGAAAAAGCCAATCGGAATGGATAGGTAGGGATCGGGATGAGCCCACAGGATACCCTGGATTCGAAGAGGGAAACATTTTCAAATAAATTGACTTTTTAGCTTTCATATTTCTGTCTGCTTCTGAATAGGCCTAGGCTTAGGCTTAAACTTTGGCGTAGGCTTCGGCTCAGACTTGAGCTAGGCTTAGGCTCCGGCTTAGGCTTGGCTTTTACTTGGCTTCGGCTTAGACTTAGACTTAGGCTTAGCTTCCGCTTAGCTGATGCTTGGCTTATAGTTTGGCAGTTTAGTTATGTTAGTGCTGGCTTAATTCCGCTCCACCCCCTTTAGCCGGGAGTGTGCTGTGGATGGAAGTGGATTTGAGGATTTCGAGCTTGTTGCTCTCTCTCCTTGTCTCTCGCTCGCTCGCTCTCTCTCTCTCTCTCGTTCCCGCTCTCTGTCCTCCCATCCATCCATTTTCTGCAATGCCAATCTGATCAAAAATGGGCCGGATCCATGCGCGCCACGCCCCGCGGGGGTGCCACCCAAAAACCGGAAGCGAGGGGGTGCACCTGGAATCCAGGTGTGAATTTGTGTGTCTGTCAGTCTGCCTGTCTGTCTGTCTGTATGTGTTGACAGCCACAACAAGCAATGCACAATTATCTCAAAGACAAATTTATCAAAAAACGGATTATTGAATTAATTCTAAGCAATAAAGCATTGAAAAAATGCTTTTCTAGACCTCTTGAGCCGGCTCCTGGCATTTGGAGGTCCACTCCGGGTCGAATTTGGCGCGAGCGGATGTCGAATCCTTGTGACAGTCGATGATGGCACTAAAATTTCCTCTCTCTCACTCTCTCTCTCCCTCTCTCTCTTTCTCTCTTGCTCTCACTTTCTCTCTCTCGCACTCGCTCCCTCTCTCTCGCTCTCTCGCTCTCTCTCTCTCTCTCTCTCTATCTCTCTCTCTCTCTTTCTCAAGAACCCTTGCGTATCGTAACGTACTCGAGGTAAAGCAGACATTCCTGCAGCCCATCCAGCGTCCGTCGCCCGCAATCAATTTCGATCCCAGAACAGAATTGATGGCATTTCTCCGGCACCCCTAAAGGCGTTCCATTTCAAATTACGCAAAAATGTAGGCTACAAGCTACGTACTTTTCGCCGCACAACACCCCGTGGAATCCTGGCCATCGGAGAGGCAGTAGATCCAATTTGGAAGTTGTGCAGCACAGCTGACGGCAAGTGGGGACGACATCTAGAAGTGCGAAAACGATAGGGAGCGCGAGAGAGAGGGTGAGCGAGAGAAAGAGAGAGAGATAGAGAGAGGCGGTGAGAGAAAGAGAGAGAGAGAGAGAGAGAGAGAGAGAGAGAGAGAGACTATTCTTACTCTCACCTGCTGATTCGTAATATTATAACCGCACAACGGGCTACAGGAACTGAGCGCGGGCGGCGTCACGGCCGCGCAGCAGCGCTGGATTCGCGAGTAGAGCGTCTATTTTTCAATGATATTATCACTATAGATAGAATTTAGATATTGTATCGATTTTAAAGGATAAAATTAAGGTTTGCGTACCAATTGGCAAGAACAGGGGCAATCCGTGCGCAAAACTCGGGCCGGAAGCGACGCCCCAAAACATTCACCCTAAAATAAGCTTAAAACTACAAAAATTCACCAAAATAATTAAATTCAAACTATCGTACCTGCTTGGCCTTGAGCGCACAGTAAGACTTGTCACCCGGGCATTCCTCTTCAATTTTTTGCAGCGATACGGTGAGAATTGAGCCCACCAGCAAAGTATTAATCAGAATATGCTGCAGCATTTTCCCCCAAGCGTTGCTTTTGAGAATATATAAAATATCGAAGATCTGCTTTGAAAAGCCCGCTTTACAATCTGCACGCCCGTATTGTCACGGAACGTGTGTAAACAGGCGTATAATGGAACGGGTACACCGTGTTTATTGTTGCGCGGAAAAGCGGTGCTTCACAAAGCGTCTGGCTATCTTATAGAAAAGCCGGGCGGCTCTAGGGAAAATTACAAAATGGCTAGAATGCTTGAGAAGATGGTCTCAGGCAAAACGCAAACGCCAATGCACCGCTGGGAATCGAACCGTCGAGGCTCAGACTATGAGACAGCCGCTCTACCAGCTGCGCCAAAGTGCGACGCCGCCAGGATCGGTTTAAAAGTAAGCTTAAAGTTTCTATAGTCCTTCACAAGACCTTAGTCCCTTGAAAACGCAACAAAAAGGAAATTTATTGTCTAAATTTCATTTAATTTTTCCTTTAAATGCATAATGCGATGTGCTTTCAAAAATCGATCCAAAAATATTCCCTTCTTTATATGACGACGCACGGAAAATACAAACTACACGGTCTTGGCGATCAGTTGGTTGAGCAAGAAGAAGAACACACGAAAAATTACACAAGTCCCATCGAGAAGCGGAAAACTAGCAAAAAAAAAACAATGTCATAAGAAAAAAAAGAAACGTACAAAAATCGGACCCAACTTTTTGGTGTAAGCGCAATGGGCTCAAAATCACAACTTTTCTTTCGCGTTTTTCTTGTTTTGATTAGCTACCGTATTTGCGTATCGCGTGTATTTGGACAATGGTGGAAACTCGACGGATGAGAAGAGAAAGAAAGAGAAGATGATGGGGTGCTCTCTCTGCGTTTAAAACTAGAAAAAACTTTTCGAGGTTTTGGATGCGTTTTAGAGGGCCTCTAGCCTACAAAATCACTTTTCCAAGATGCGTGCGAGGTAAGGAATCCAGCGTAGACCAGCTCTGGCTACGCAACGTTCCAATGGACGAGTTTCAAACATTTTTAAACGTACCAATCCTAAAAAAATTTCTAGAGCACCCCATAAAAACATAAACATCGAAAAGCTCGGCGTTCTAAAGGAAAATGGGAATGATGTCGGGTGGTGGTGGTTGGAATAAACGGGATATGCTTCTCACAACGTTCAGAGTTCAGTCAAATCAATAAATAGAAAGCGGGTGACATATATCATATTAAGTGAAGGTGAGGGTGGAATAAATGGAGTGCTTGTGTTGAGAAAGTGTGTGTTTTTGTGCAAAGTGAGCGGGCCCAGAGTGGGAAAGAGACACACACAGCAATAAGCGTTGAAAAATCGAGGAGGAGGGACCGAAGATGGCGGGCGGTGCTTTGGCAATATCGGGGGGGGGGGTCCGAAGCATCCGGATATTCTTAGTAACGTAATCCCCAGTATTTTAACAGCAATTTTCGAAAATCGCAATATTTCCAGGCAAAAACCTAAATAAAAAGCTTTAAAAACCTAAAATCGTCATAAAATCGGCCGTTTTTAATTGAAAAGCTATATTTTTGTATTTTTCAATGAAAACTGGTATGGGATTTACGTTTTGGAACGGTAAAAAACAGGGTACTTCCTTACTAAAAAATTTGAGTCTAAGGGCCCCCCCTGATATTGTACAAGAACCGAAAAAACGAAGACTACCAAAAAAGAAGTATAAAATGGCTAGAAAGACCGAGGGATCGTAGGAGTGGGTGGCGGAGCACAGCGTGGAAGAGGTACAAAGCTGTCAATACACAAAAATGTATTTCGAGAGGACCGTGAGGCTGGTGGACGGCTAGCAGAGATTTTTGCGGAAATTCAGGATTTCGGCTTCACGGTACCGTCTAGAAAACCTGGGGCAATATCAGCAAAGAGGAGTTATGTGCACAAAGTCATGGCTGTAATTTGACGGGTCCTTGGAGGGATTCCAACGCCGAGCCTTCTTTTAGCAGGAATTCCACGATTCGACCCTGCATTATCATCCGGAAGGCGAGGTGCGAATTTGAGGCGGCCGGAGGAGGGGGTTCTTCCTGAAAAGCGGCGTATTAAAATTGTATCAGTTGATATAAATAATACTCATCCAAATTTCCAAAATTGTGCTAAAAATACAAAGAAACACCAATTTTTCGATCAAAATTATTTTTTAAAAACAGACTTTAGCATTTTTCAAAGATTCTAAATAGTTTTCCACTTGAAATCTATCCCCTAATTTTGCTAAACACGCCGCTGAATAGTTGCTATTGCGCTAATGGAAATACGGAAAAATTTTCGGTCGCTCCCCCCCCGTTAATGCAAAAGAACCGAAACCGCTCAAAATCTAACCAACCTTTCCCTTTTTCTTCTTATCCTTTGGCTTCTTGTCCTTGCTGCCCGCCGCAGGCCGCTCGTCGCCAGTTTGAAAAAGCGTCGGGCCGAACATCAGCGCCAAGTTGTGAATTTGCATACGATTTTCGGCCGAGTGCTTGTCCACACTAGAAATAAAATAGATGTAAAGCCGAAGTTTTAAAAGTTTGAAAACGTTGAGATCAAAGAATCTCAAAGTTTTTCTAAAAAAAGTTCTCCAAAATTGTTTTTTAAAAGAAGATTCAACGTTCGAAAGTTTTTAAAAAACCAACAGGCATAAATGTCGCAAGAGCATTTTGAGCGTCTCGCGATTCTCGGGCGGCAACTGCTTCAACAGCTCGTTCAGCCGCTTCAGCTTCTGGGGCGTCGTGGCGAGCTGCATGGTGGCGATGAACTCCTTCGACATCTTGGTGGGAAAGACGGGCTCGGCGAGTTCACGGAAGAATAACTAAAAGCAGTCATTTATATCGAGATTGCAACTTTATCTACGAGATTTTGCTACTGAGTTGTTAGCGGGGGGGGTAGTGGCCTATCGCCCTATCGGGTTCCAATAATGAACGGCGCACAATTTATTCAGATAGTCAGATAGCCCTTTCTAAGTATAAAATATCAATAAAAATTAATATGTTTCGAAAAAGCCTGGTTTTTTGTTCCAAAACGGATGAAATGGTCAAAAAGGTTCGATAAAAATGCTATACTATATAACTCCCACGCTAACAGCACAAATTTCTAACATACCTTAAGCGCTCCGGTAAGTACATGAATGTCATCTTCCGCTACCAGGGCCTGGTATCGATTCTGGTCGACGTGGCATCGAATCTTTTGCACGGACGATAGATTGCCGCTGACCCTGTAGAGCCCGTCGACCTAAAGAAATCAAACTCGTTAAAAAAAATACTTAAATTAAATTTAACTTGTATTTTTAAAGTATACAAAATACCTCAAGTCCCTTGCTCTCAATCAGCTCGATGACCACCTGGATGAAGCGAGGCACCAGCGAGTTTTCGAGCTGGCAGATGGCACTCAACGTCGAGCCGAACACCGGTTCCGCTGCAATACAAAGTTACGATAATTGGAAGGTTGTTTACGTTTGTAGATGCCCTTCTCTTTTAGTGATTCGACGGTCGGGCGTGAGCGAAGGAATCTGGAAAGTTTTAAAGTTTATTTGGTTCGTTCGTAAACTTTTTTCATTAGCATCTAATTTCTCTCATATCATGGAGGCCTATATAGTGTTAAAAATTTTACCAGTTATCAAGACAAACAGAAAAATATTGATTTTTCGACCAAAAGAGTCGATTTTCGGGCTAATTTCAAAAATCTCAGGCATTTTCCGCTTGAAACAGCGCTTAATAGCTAAATGTCACCAAGAACTCAATGAAAATATTACCTATTACAGCCTTAAACATTTTTAATTTATGGAAAAATCGCGAAAAAGAAAAACAGAAACTACTCACTTGAGCAATTTGTTGATGATCGTCTGCTTGGAGGGGGCCGGATCATTTGAGGTAGGAGGGGGAGGAGCAAGCGAAGATGGCGGCGCCTCGTAGGCCGACGCGCTCATCGGGTCCATTCTAAAATGACGAGAAATTAAACACGTTGAATACAATACAAACATATGAAATAAATAAAAATAAAACCCCCACCTCGGATCGCGCTTCTTTGTGGAGACGTTATACGTTGAATGGGGGCGCTGCATCAGCGAGGCGCTGGGGTTCTTGATGACGGAGGTGGGCAGAACCATCGTAGAGGGGCCGGACGCTGCATCGATGGTTGGCTGGAAAAAAGGGGGATGTTATTGAGGGGGGCGAAGGGCAACAATTCCTCGAAAAATCCGCGCCATTTCCATGATTTTTCGGATTTCATCCAATTTTTGGCTTTAGTATTTGCGGGGGCACCAAATTATCCTTAAAAGTTCAGAAACGCATATTAAATAATCCCTTATGTAAAATTAAACTATCTCAAATCTAGAATTGACAAAAAATTAGAAATAAATCTAAAATCCAAAAGTTCATCGTAAAACCTAAAATGTTTAGCACCTCTAATCAACTTCATAAAGTTTATACGTTTGAGATATATCGTTCGAAAAAATTGAGTTTACTTCACGTCGGAAACCCCGTAAAACAGTTAGAAAATGCACAAAATGTGAAATCTTCAGCGAAAATTGGTCAATTTTGTCGAAAAATCGATAGTTTCCGTATTTTTCATTGATTTGTCAGAAAAAATTGCGTCCATGGATAATAAAACAAGTGGAAACACGCTTCCTTCATGCATAGTAGGAAAATTCGATCCTACAGACAAAACTTTGATCCCCTGGAAATATTAAGAACCCTCCGTTGTTCGAATAGGCTTTTATTAGAGTTGATTTCCGGCCACCCAGCACCTTCTTATCCTTGTTCTCCCGAAATCTGTACAAATTCTTGATAGAAACGGTCATGCTCCTCATCAGCTTCGGTCGTTCTCCCGTCGAGTGGCTTTTTCGTACGGGGTCCGGGCTGGCCGCGATCGACGATAACGAGGTCGTGCTCTTCGGCTTGGCCATCCCGTTTCGAACAATATTCGTAGCGGGATCTCCGGTCGACATTGAATGTAGCAGCTTAGGGCGTAGACTTCGTATTTCGTCTATAGGCGGCAGAATGGGCGGTCCGGAAGGCACGGAGATCTTTTTCACAGGTCGATCCATGCCCATCGAAATGTGGGCAATCGGTTCTCGCCAAAAGGTTATTTAACCGCCCGGTATGGGGCGGTCGGCCGCCAATTTTCAGCTCAGCCGCCACGCGCTCGCACTCTGCCCTTTCTCGCTTCGGGGTAAGGAAATCGAGACATCGCGAGACCCATTGCCAAATGTTCTTTCGTCTTCTCCACTATTCGGGAGGCCTGAATGGTCATCAAGCCTCGCGCCTTTTGATCTATTATTCACCGGTTGCCGGTTGTTTTTCCGCTTTCTGATCGAGAGCTCAAACTCGTTCATTTTATCAAATTTTGGTGCTTTCGCATGATCGGGGGGGCTTTTCCTAAGCATAACATTTTTCGAAAATAATGAAGGCAGCGTTTCCACGACGAAAATTCCGTTGCAAAATGTTATTCAAAGGAATTTCAAAATGCTATGCATATCTGGACCTATTTGGAAAATGAAAAAAAAATAATTTTTATAGTAAAACGAACCAGATGCGCGATGACCTGGCGGATGGCGTCGAACCACTGCTCGGTGAGCACGTCAGATTGCGAGCGCAGCAGCAGCGGGGAAGGGTTCGACAGTGCCGGGATCCAAGGTGGCAGTACGAGCTGTAACACGTTTCTATCAGTAAATTCTAGAAAAAAAATGCGAACCTGGAAGACTCTTCGTTTCCGCTTCTCCCGCTCGACCACCCAGCTGATGGAGGCGCCTCGCAAATCGATCGCTAACAACGGTGCGTCATAGTGTTTTCCTTGTTTCTAAACGGAGGTTGTTGTTTTGCTATTTGATTAGCATAGCAAAGCGAAGAACAATATTTTTCAAAATTTTAATTATTTAAACTCACTAAAATGTATTCTTCAATTTAAAAGCTGTTTTAAAGTTAGTTTTTGTCTACTTTTGCCTTCGTTTTGTCTCAGAAGCCAAAAACTTGCCTCTGCACTCCGCTGATCCTTGTACACAAGCAAATGGGCCGTGGAGAGGAAGAAGTAGCACGACGCCCATTCCCTTTTACGCGCCTTTTCCGAGACCTAAATGTAGGCGATGTTTGTTCTGCCCGGGAAAAAGGTTACGATGCAAATAAGGGAGATCGATTTGGGATAGAAGAATAAAGCAAAAAAAATCTGCCCCATAAAAGGGATCGAAAAATTTACCATTCTCTCCATAGAGCCTTGTCTTACGGGCCGGGGCACGTCGATATTAGCCAGCGCATCATCCCGGGGTGGATAGCTCGAAGATGGGGTCTAAAAAGCTGTTTTGCTTCCTGGTTAAACTAATTACATCGTAGTCCGCGGTCCCGGAAGTGGAAGGTATAGATATTTTTGCAGATGGAACCTAAATTCATCGTTCTATTCAGCTCTTAAATAAAATCCTACCTCGGGTGGGAAAACCTGCTTCAACGACCCTCGATTTCGTGTAACAAATGACGGCGGTCGCCCGTCGGTAAAATTTGGATTGTGGAGCAGCATGTGCTAAAAAAAGGAATATCTAAAAGTCTGGGCGGAAATACTTTGATTTCGCCGCTATCCTTTCGCGCCACTTCAACAACGTCCTCTTGGTCAGCTAAAAGAATCTACTATGCTTGAAAACGCGCCAACTGACATGCTCCCTTAATGATCGACTCTTCCAGGGCTCCGCGGGCATCCAGTGGACTGACCTCTTCGAAATCCGTATCACTGGCCACCGAGTCGAACGATTCTAGATAAGGATTATCATCTGCGACGTTGGCTTTTGTAAAATACGCTCACCATCAATTGAACATTTTGGGAGGGCGTCATCTAGGTGTTTTGTAGCATCAAGGAACGCCTGAATTTGCATTAAAATTAGTGAATACAGCAAAAATGCACCTTCACTTCTGATGGTGATCGCATTAGTCGTGGTGGGCACCATTGACATTGCGCCGTTTCGGCGTTGAAGAAATATGGTCTAAAATTAACGAATTTTTACGATTTTAGCGTCTTTAGCGTAACGATAACAACATTTGACTTAGAAACTTCAAAACGTAACAGAAAACTTCAAAAAGTTAGCGTGAACAAACCTTCCGCCCTCACTCATATATTCCGCCCATCCATTCAGCAAAACCCGTCTCAGTTGATCGCACGGCCCCGGCTTCGGCGTGTCGGGCAGAAAACCCATCGGTCTTGCGGGCATCTCGGCTAGGTTGGCGTAGACCGGTTCATCTAAAAAGAACTTGATAAAGCTTTTCGAAAACTACCATCTTCGAGTACTACGCTTTCGTCCTTCACAGCGCCTTCCGGTGACATTGACGCCGAATCATGAGCCTGAAATCCTTCATTAGTGATTTTTGAAATAATCATTACCGAATTTGCCTCCGGGGATGAAGAAGCCCTGCTTCGAGAGCTGGCGTCAAGCACCGCCTCAGAATCCTGAAAAAAAAGTTTTTAGAGAAACATGAAATCGCTTACATCGGTGAGAAACAATTCGGGATTCGGCTCGTAGGGGGACGCGTAGACGCTGGCCGTGTTCATCTCATATCCTGGAAGCAGAAGCTGTTCGTAAATGCCACAAGCAAAAGGAAGGAGGGCTCAAATATTCATAAAAATTCGGGGTGCCCGAGGTCGGCGCGAAATTGATGAATTCATTCTCGGGGTTTCGGTACGCCAAAGAAAGGGAAGTTGTTGATAAACAATCCGAAAAGGCCCGAAATGAGAAATACCGAAACTAAAAGGAATTGGCTTCAATAGAGTTTCCAGAACAGAAAAAAAGCTTAAACGTTTGTGAAAGCTTACAAAACTACACCCAGATGCATCAATTGTCTTATAAAACGAATTCTGGATCACAGAACTTCTAAAGAGTTCACTTCAACCGGGCTTCCAGTTTTGAAAAAGAAAGTCTAAAGCAATGTTTTGAAAGGGATTGCCAGAAGCACGTCTGGTTCAGAGAATTCGCTTCAACGGAGCACCTGCTTTCAAAAAGGCGTTTGATTCAAAAATGACCTGCACCAAAACTCGTTTCAAGCCTACAACTTTGTGAAACCCTCCAAAAACTCTCGTAAAGTTTCCTCCCGATGAATCAAGCTCTTATGAAAGAAATTCTGAAGCGGGTGACGCTATTTTGCAAGCAAGCCCCGCTGGGCCGGCAAATCGAAGCCAATGTTGACGGGGGCAGAAGGACGGAGAGTGGAGGGGGATGGATGAACCACATAAGATGAGTCACGGTGGGATGCGTAATCGACTCTGTCTGTCGGTCTGCCATGCGTGTCGTGTGTGTCTCTGTATGTCTGTATGTCCCTTACAAGTCGTGTGTGTCCTTCCGTCCTTTGTTAGAGCGCCCCGGTGAGGCCGCGGTGCGACCGCCTCGCAGTCGGAACACCCAAGCCCCACCCCCTCTAGCATACACAACATCTAACCCGGGGCACCTGAAGCGAACGGACGAAGGGGGAGGCCATGCTTGAATGTTTGGACTAGCACCCACACTATTGGGCCCCCGGCTTCTCCGTTTCGCGATATAAACACTCATAAATCTTTTAACCCTCTCGATGGCTCGCGTTTCAAGTGGTGTCTGAATATGAAAATTGTTGTACCTGTTAATTATATTAGTTCTATATTTTTTAAATATGAAAATAAAATCTGTGCTCTAAATTCCAAGAAACACGAATTTACGCTTGAAACCGATATTAACGTACACTTCGTACCAAGACCGTTCCGTAATTTGTTTTGATGCGTAGGGGAAAAACTAAAATGAATTTTTTTTGAAATGGAAAGTGATATTTTTTGTGGTTATAGTTATATTTTGTTTTCCGTACTCGCTAAAGCTCGTTTTTCAGAGATTTCAAAGATTCATTGCTTTTAGGCGCCTCATGGCAGACGAGGAAGCTTCACGCTCGGCCCCGTCCGAACCAAATGAGGAAGACGAGGATTTTGAGGCACAAGACGATGGAGTAGATGATGAGGGTAAGTAAAATGAGCGTTTGGCGATTTTAATTGTGGAGCTTCAGGTACAATGGACGAGGAAGAAGCTTTTTACGGCGAGGAGGCCGACGACGAGTTGGCCGCGTTGGAAGAGGAGGGAGATCTGGATATAGAAGTAGGATCTTGTGTCATAAAGTTGCGAAAGCATCAGAGAAAAGTATCAAAAGATAGAGTTAATATTATACTTATGTTCAAGTCAATTTCCAGGAATTGCGCAAACGATATGGCTATGGTGCTGACTTCGAATGCGAAGAAAATGGCGAAGCTTCAACTTCAACAGCCTTGGAGGAGCCCTCCGACTCTCCCGACCCTCCCGTAGCATCATGTACGTCTTTTAAAGCTAATTAAAAGTTTTCTACTCTATGTAAAAACTAAGTTGAACATTATTACAACTGATTCAATCAGATGTCGTTGAAAATATGCGTTTTCAGCTTCAACGATGCGCCTGCTCAATTTCTATGACCATGGCGATCAGCAGGACGAGGAGGAAGACAAGGACTACGTTCCGTACGACAAACGGGAGGTAAATTTAAATTTTTAAAACTGAACTAAAGATTTCCAGGTCCGGATCGACCCTGTGCTTTACCAAATCACGGTGCCAAAAGAAACATTGCCGAATGGGACACCGGTGGACGATTACCCGTGTACGACGTTGTGGAAACCTAGCGAGAATCTGGGTGCGTTTTTAGTTTTGTTTTCGTTAATTATGTAATTTTTAGCTGACGACCAACTGCTGCTGATCCAAGAGCGAATGCGGGCCAAAGACGCGAGCATACCGCTGGAGAATTGTTCTGCCACGTTGGCTGTGATGGATGCGGTAAGTTTGGAAGCAGATCTGCCATGTGATCTGTTTTTTTAGCCTTGTAATAAAGCCGTTTCAGCCTGGTGACAACGAAGATCTGCTCTATACGCTTCACAAGGTCGATAACAATGGAAACAAAGCCGTCCAGGAGGCCGCTGAAAATCGAATCCGACACGCTAATCTGCCAACCTTCACGGTATGTGGTATTCCTCATATTTAAATATAACTTTATTTAGTGGTCTCGAACATATCCAGTTGATGGCAGTTTCGACCACACGGTTGTCCTTGATGAAACTGAAACGCAGGAATTTGAGGCCGGCTTCCACGAATTTGGCAAAGATTTCTATCAGATTCAAAAGAATAAGGTATGATTGGCATTATCAGGTATATGTCGGCTACGCGGGGGGGAAAATTTTACGCGGGGGGGACGGACTATTGGGGCCGAGCTAACTATTTTTTTCCTTTTCATTTTGCTACAAACAAAACTCTTAGTATATTTTTTGACGCTCTGTCGACTGGTATTAAAGAAATTTTGTAAAAATGTCGAAAATGTCGAAAATTTGATTTCCTTCTATATCCTCCATGAAAACAACGTTTAATACTTGTTTTTGTTATAACTATTTTATATTACATTATTTTGAGCTAAAATTAAAACTCTTAGTATATTTTTGGATGCTCTATCGAATGGCATCTTTAAAATGTCGAAAAAATAGCGCGAATATCGAAAAACAGCGGCTCAAACCGAATTTCAAAGCTTATTTTTGTATTTGCCATAACTTTTTTATATTACACTAATTTTAGCTAAAACAAAAACCCTTAGTATATTTTTCGATGCTCTATCGAATGCCGTTGCAAAAATCCCGAGAAAATAACGAAAACATCCAAAAAGGCCTGCCTGTCCCGTCCCCCCGCGTAAAATTTCCCCCCCGCGTAGCCGACATATACCGCATTATCACTATCAACCTATGTTTTATTTAGCTGGGAAAGCGGAAACTTGGCGAGCTTGTCGAGTTTTACTATCGATCTTGGAAGAAGTCTGGACGGTAAGTACCAATTAGGGAATGATTAAAAATGTATGCAAGTATTAAAGTAGTTTGCAGCCTGATTTCATCACATCAGAACACAATTTCATGACATCAAATCAAAAACAACAAGTTTTCAGCTATGATAAATTCGTACACCGGAAGCGAATTGGCGGTGAACGAGAGGAGCTAAAAGACATAAAGGAAGCGGTGAGAAAAGTTTTCAGGAAAGCGGAAATCGAACCCGACCCTACAATTGACACACCCAACACCGCAACAGAAATCTTAAACACAAAAACTGGATATAAAAAGTAAATTTTATCTGTTTAGATCCATCATCAACTTAACACGATTGGCCGAAGCCGCCGAGCTCGAGAAGTTGAAAGCGCAGGAGCGCGAACGGGCGGAGAGTGAAGGACCGTCGTGATTTTCAGTATTTTGGGTGCTTCCAGGTTATCGGGGGTCGGTTATTTTAGCGGGGGTCGGTCGCGAACTTTTTTTTCTATAATATCGTGCGGCTCGGCTAATTAAAAGCTGGCCGTTTTTATAGACTTGTGCGCCGTTTGAAATGGTTCTGAACTGTTAGCGGGGGAGAAGACATTAAGAAAAACGTCATAAAACCTGTAGAAAAATTTTTTTCTTTTTCGGTCTAACGTATATGAAAATGACTAAAATCGCGCTATAACCCTAGATTTCGTGACGATCGGCTAAAAATTTTTATAATTTTTGATTACCGGAAGCTACTAAAAACAGTATTAAAATAAACTACAACCAGCGCTGACCCCCCCGCTCCGCGGGGGTTCAGCGCTGGCCCTCCCGGGGGGAAAAAGTAATAATAAATAGTAATAAATCAACATCCCATACACCAAAATCCCGAAATCCCGAAACGCCCCGGCTCCCGGACCCGTCCGAACCGGTCCTGGGGGTCCCGCAGCGATCCGTACGGACGGACGGTCGGGCGCACGGACATTAGCAATTTATATATAAGTGATTTATCACTAGCCAGGTATAGGCTAAACGAAAAGAAGATGCCAACCGACCCCCGCTAAAATAACCGACCCCCGATAACCTGGAAGCACCGTATTTTGCTGTTAGGTGTCGATTTACCTTGTATTCAAATGGTTTTTACAACGTATGCTTTACCCGCAAATCCAACGCTATCTCATCCCATTACCTCCGATCTTGCAATTACACTTTATATACATTTCCTCCAAACTGCCTCGAAAATCTCAACTCCTCGAAAGATCTGCCGTTTGATTGTTTATGTGCATTTTCTTGTTTTAATGTTGTTTGACCTTTTTGATAAAGTTTGTAACCTTTTTCAAGCGCGACAAAGCCGCGTTGAAACGGAGATTATTTACAAAGGTTTATTTACGCAGGAGGCCATCCTAAAGTCTTTTTAGAATGCTCCCAGGAGCTATTTCGTAATAATGGACATTTTCGAGGAGCTCGACGGCACCTCAACACGTAAAAATTCTCATAAAAATACATAATTTCGTTTTTAGCCGATGAGCAGCACCAGCCCGGCTCGGTTTTTCGTGGGCAAATTGAAGACGGCGTTGATTTTGAACAGTATTTACACTATTAAAGCGCTATGCGGTCTTCTAGAACTAATATCGACGATGTTGACGTCTTTCCCGGTGAAGAGCAGGGCTATGATGATGCTTTTGCATCTCCGGAAAAGCCGACAGAACCCTCTCTAAAACCCTTAGAAGGAATCCGCCTTCAAATCGGCCAGAAAATCTTTCGATATAAGGTTTGTTTTGTAGCTAGCGTTTTATAGTTCTTGATTAGCTAGTCGACGTCGCCACGATTTCCAGCTACGAAACCGAGCAGCTTGCCGATGATTCTGAAGGTGCGTTCCTTTGTTTTGCTATACGGTTTTTCTGCAGAAGTTTGGCAGCCGGAATGCGCAGAACCGGAACCGGTTCCCGACTCGTACAAAGCTCCCGATCTTTCGAAAAATCGCTACGAGTAGGGGGAATTTGTTTAGATGTTTAGTTTTTTAGCTGTAATGATTGCTCGGCAGCCTTCTCGACGAAGCGGCAGTTGAGGAGCCATGTGTCGACGCATACTGTAAATAAGTGAGTTGATGATCGGAATATATCCAAAATAAGATGATTTTTATAGTTTTTTGCATAAATTCCTCTTAAAAGGCTTCAGATTGCACGTTTAAGTCTAGAAATTTTCAAAATGCTGAAAAAGCTATTTTCAGACCTTTCCATTGTCGTTTCCGGGAATGTGGCAAATCATTCACAACTGTCGAGGGCCAAAAGATACACGAAAAGCTGCATTTGGGTAGGTTTTTCACGGGTTTTTTTACTTAAAGTTCGTTAAAGAGCTGTTATCAAACCCATTACGACACTAATTTCAGAAGGAAAGCAGTTTGAGTGCGAGATTTGCACGAAAACCTTCTCTCGCCACCACAACCTGCTCACCCACCTGCGGCTGCACCAGAGCGGCAAGCGCCACTTTTGCACGTGCTGCGGAAAGTGGTTCCACACGTACTCGCAGATGTACGAGCACCAGGTAGGGCTTTTCGCCGAAATTTTAGAAATGAATTTTGTAAATGAAATTTTTGTAGTCTATTTGCTCCTCGCGCGTACCTGGTGAGGCGCCAACGTCGGAACGGCCGCTACGCTTCAAGTGCGGGTATTGCGATCGAATGTTTCATCATCGGCGTGACAAGGTGGGCGTAAAGGGTTGGCAAATGGAACCCACTATTTTCCTTGGTATCCAATTTGTTCTAAGTAGTTTTCACGATGCCAAAGTGTACCATTTTTTTAATATTTTTTTTATTTGCAGAAATGTACCATTTTTTTATTTTGAAAAAGTGCCAAAATACGGTTTTTCGACCAAAACAGGCCTATTTCGGCCGAAAGAACGGCAACAATTCCTCTATTCATATTAAACAAATTGGAATCAAACGCAAATGCTAAAGAAGCAGATAAGTGTTTAGCATTTTGATATCAACTATAATAAAAAAGTAGTGGTGTCCGTCTGTCTGTCCGTCGTGTCCCGGATTCAACTCGAAGGGGAAAGGAGCTCGAGCTTAGCTCTCTTCGGATTTGGATAGAGCGTGGTCAGAAACCCCCAAACTGATAAAAAAATTACCAAAAAGTTTTAGTTTAAATTATTAAAATTAACTTTGAAAGTTATTTCCTTAGTAAAAGGGGTGGGGGACGGAGGTTGGGGTGATTTTGGAGATAGTGAGCCAGGTCGCGCGCGTTTCGGCGATGAGGAGGGAGCGCAAGGGGGTAGCCCGAAGCCAACCGCTTGCAGCGGCGAAGCCGCTGTAAGCGACTGGTTTTAATACTAAAAAAAGTTAATCTAGGTAATCCATGAGCGCGTGCACACCGGCGAGCGGCCGTACGCTTGTGGATACTGCGGCAAGGGATTCACCCAATCTCAGGCGAGTAGCTTTAACCATAAAACTTAACTAGGGCGTGATGTTTTGAAAATACAATTTGATTTCAGGCCCTAACGATCCACATTCGGCTCCACACCGGCGAGAAGCCGTATCCATGTACACAGTGCGGGGAGGCGTTTCGGGATTCGTAAGTGTTTTGTAAATAATTTATCTATTTGATGTAAATAATTTATCTTATTACTTGTCTTTATTAGATAAATAGAGACAAGTAATAACTTACTATATTTAATTAGAAGTAAAAAATAAAAACGTTTTAGGTCTGCACTTCGAAAACACGAGTTTGCGCGCCATCTCCAGCCTCCCAGCTACAGCCCCTATCAGATTGACGACCAGTGATTTCCCTCTTAATTGATCTCATCCCCCAAATTCCAGTGTGCTGCCCTCACGATTAGTCAAAAACTCTGCATAAACGTGTATGTTTTCTGGCTGATTCATCGGACATAAAAGACGAGAGAGAGAGAGAGAGAGAGAGAGAGAGAGCGAGAGCGAGGAGAGAGAGAGAGGGGGAGAAACAGACAGAATGACTTTAAAGGCTCAAATCCTGCAAAGAAAACGACGATTTATAACGACGCATAAATAGCGCATAGATGGCACATGCATAGGAAGAGCGCGTAGCTGGCCTTGACGCTACGCTAGATTCCTAGGTACTATTGATTCCCCCCAAAATGCTGATTTTTACCTTTAAAAGGATTATAACATACGTGTAAATTGGAATCCTGCGTAGCGACCCCTACGCTACGCCGGATTCCTCTGACCTCATCCGTATTCTGCGCGCTTAACGCCGAAATACAGGTGGGCCGGCGCGTAAACTGGAATCCTGCGTGGTTGAAACTTACGCTACGCTGAGCTCCTTAAACAATTTGCAATTTTTCTAAAATTCAGTCCTTTTTTCTTTTTTCTTACCTTTTCAGTCCCAAGCCAAACCCACGCGATCAAGAAGCCAAAAACCACAGAGCACCCCCGATTTCACACCTTCCCCAATTCTCATTTCCGAAATTTCCTAATTCCGATGCTTGACCATTATCCCGGTATTGTCCATTTTTGGAGTGGGAGGGAAAAGCCGGCCGGGAATGGGGTAACAACACCTTTTCTTCTTCTTTCCGCCCCCCAAAAAAGGGATACAATGCCCGGAGGGGGTACGGGAAGAGCGCCTGCTCTCATCTCTCATCCCCCGCCTGGATGGTTGCATGATGTTTTTGTCGGGAAGAGCGGAAAGCGGCAACTTCCCCCTTTTCCGAAACAATACCCCATTTCGGGCCGTGTTTTTTTCTTCTTCGGCGATCGACTAAATTCTGGAAATGGCGGAAAAATGGAACGCCTAGCGCAATTTCTTTTTTTTTGCAAAAGAGTGAGAGAGAGAGTGAGTGCGAGAGAGAAAGAGAAAGAAAGAGAGAGAGCGAGAGAAAGTGAGAGAGAGAGCCTGAAATCTCGCATTTTATTGTTTCCGATAAATGTTTTTTCTTCCAAGAGAAAGAGTATGTAATTTTTTTTGCGATTACGGTAGCAAAATTACTGTTTAGCTTTCGGTCAAGATTTTCCGAGCTAAAATTAGGATTACCAAATATTATCAAATTTAGCCGTAACCAGGGTTGAAAAGCCGCTTCGCGACTTTTCAACCCTGGCCCCCGTCTAGCCCCGTGAGGGTTCTCAATTTGCATAAATTTCGCAGATTCCGGTGGCAAAAAAATGAAAAACGCGGCTTCGTTCCCATTATATAGGATACGCCCACTTCCGGTGTATGCTAATAGATTCCTAACAAAGAGGTCGAGCGAGATTTTAACAAAAACCTAATTTTAATATCGAAAACAGCTGATTTTTCAAAATCTGATAGGTGTGCAGTCGTGTCATGATCATGACGCACCTAATGACGTATCATACATACCCTTAACTTCCTCCCCTATTGAGATACGACTGGAACATACGGACGGAAGTTGCATGCAAATGCACACACACACACACACACACACAAACACTATTTTTTTATATATAGTAGGATTTGTGAACCTTAAAAATCGTAGCGGCTTTAGCAATGATATACGGCTTGGGGTACGGTAGGGCAGCGAGTGTTAGCAGATCGGATGAGTACAAATGAGGAAAATACGCTAATCACGTTTTTCATTTTTTATGGAATTTTACAGTAATGGATTGCTATTTTTATACAATATGATAGCTGTCACAGAAGTTTTTCGATTAACATTTTTAAGGATTTTTTCCCGTAGTCAGGCCAGCTTTCTACGTTATGGAAGGCCATTTTTATCTAGTCTAAACGATAACCCAGCTACAGTAACTTTTTTTGAGCAAAAAAAGTCGCTGGTGTTCCTCCATTTCCACCAAATCCGGCCCTGGCAACACAAGCATTCAGTGGCATGCATAATCCGGACATGAAGTGAGTAGGGGGCTATTTTTTGGGCTAACCAGTTGTATGTGGGTGGAGAGAGAGAGAGGGAGAGAGAGGGAGAGAGATATAGAGAGAGAGAGAGAGATAGAGAGAGAGAGAGGGGGGAGGGAGAGAGAGAGGGAGAGAGAGTGAGAGTGGGAGAAAGAGACGATCGAATGTCATTTTGTACCTGTGCGTATCAATAGAGACACGGCTGTGTTCCTCCTTTCTGTAAAAAACGAGACATTCCGGCCCAGGGCTGTCTCCGGGCAATCTCTAGCCGAAGCCACGCCCCTTTTTACCGCCTCGCCACGGTCTGTGGGTGTATAAAACGTGAAATTGAAATTGTCAAAGCTTCTAAGCATTTTGGTAACGAGTGTTGTGCGTTAATTACAATGTCGAAAATGGGATTAGTACTCTCCGAAACGTCGAAAATTTTCTTTATAACTAAAACACTTAAAAACCCTTATGTCTGTAATTTTTTTAATTTTCTGTAAGCTATTTAACAATTTAAACATCTTAAATCATTTATGAAATTGCTATTCAATTTTTCTAAAACTAATTCTTGTTATTTTCGGCGTTTGATCGAAGCTTTGGGACTATTTTCAGCCTTGCCGGTTCCTTTAAAATGATTCACGAGGCGTCAAGTTGTTTGGGGCTATTTGTGCTTTCTGACCGGCAGAAATGTGCCGTAAATAGGCGTAGCGGATCGGAATCTCCCTTTTCGAGGGTCGGAAAATCGGAATTGGCTGCCAACGGCTTGACTTATCCTATCCACGATGAGCTCATAGACCCCGCATTTCGCGTCATGGCCGTCTGTTTTTCGCGGTTTAAAGGGGCTGGCAAGGTGTAGTTTTCGCTTATTTTCTTTTTTTTCACTTTTACGGATTTTTGTTTTTGTTCTATTTTTAAAATGCTTCATATTTGATATTCTGTTTTGAATCTACAAACTACAAAGCACACCGGAATGACAGTTTTTGATTTTTTTCGAGTTATCTTTGAAAAAATTCTATCCAAATTTCCGCTAAAGTACAAACTACAGGGGTTTGCCTAATTTTTTTGAGGTTTATTAACGGGGATTTTTCGTTTGGTTTTTGTATTTGTCATTTCTACTATTTTTCATCGTTTACTGTGACAAAGATCATTAAACTACAAAAACGACTACAAATTCCACTTTCAGAATGCGCGCCCTGTTGACCCTAATTTCCCTGGCCGCCTACCGTTTTGTGGAAGCGGAAAAGCCGTGTAGCCTCCTCACAACTTGCGCTGTCGAAAAATGCCTAAATTACGGTAGATTCCCCGCGACTACGTGCACTCCAAACTACAGACAAAATGCGCGTCGATCTCAGCGCCACCGCGCGGGAGCAGTTTTTCGAGTCGGTCGTCCTGAAGTTTGACATGATGTGTATTGCGGTGAAATGTACAAAGGCGTGTAAGGTACGCTCTATATTTAAGAGATATTTCATTAGCTAAAACTATATTTTTAATGCGAAAATTAATACCAATATAAGATCTATATAATTCAGTTTAAAAGACAGATATTTATTGAATTAATTTGATCAATTTTTTTATAGTCCTGCCGCGCTTGCCACTATGCCCTCGAGCAAATTCAGTCGCTCGTGAAGGGGCGGGATTCTGGTAAGTGGGGAAACGCTACAGACTACAAACTACAGACTACAAAAAGTCAAAGACTATAGCTTGGGCTGCAAACTACAGAGTACAGGCTGCAGGCTGCACTCTAGACTAAAGACCACAGGCCGACTAACAAGGAGATGGTCTCAGCTGGGAATCGAATTCGGATTTGAAAATTTGCACACTTATAGAGCTCGACGAGACAAATCGATTGGTGTAACTTTCAGCTGCTGATACAATAACCACGCCGAGTTATAAGCATTTTAAGTTTTTACACACATTTTGCATTTTTTCGGCCATAGCTTCATAGGCCTTCCCCGCCTCCCCATCACCATGGTCTGGTGGCCTAGTGGTGTAGTAGGCGGCCTCCGGGGAATCTAACTAGGGTTCGAACCCGCTCACGACTTTTATTTTTTGCTTTTTGTCCGAAGGTTCCTCTTTGCTTTCTGAAGACCTTGAATAGCTTTTTACACATTATTTTAACTCCTTTGATGCGCCGACAGCATCGAACTTCACCGCAAAAATTTTTCTTGCTGGGCATCGAGCCCTTGTCCGACCTATGACTCCCATTTCCAAAAAATTATGAAAGTTTTTGTTCGGATAACACACCATTTACCAAAATTACGTTTACTCCACGATTTTTGATATACTTTGAATTTTCAATTTATTTTGGGACCGGCATAGTCCTTTCGGGTAAAAAATCTAAATTTTTTCAAAGAGATGTTTTTTAGCCATTTCGCCCCAGAGGAGTTAAAATAATGTGTAAAAAGCTATTCAAGGTCTTCAGAAAGCAAAGAGGAACCTTGGGACGAAAAAGCAAAAAATAAAAGTTGTGAGCGGGTTCGAACCCTCGTTAGATTCCCCGGAGGCCGCCTACTACACCACTAGACCACCAGACCATGGTGATGGGGAGGCGGGGAAGGCCTATGAAGCTATGGCCGAAAAAATGCAAAATGTGTGTAAAAACTTAAAATGCTTATAACTCGGCGTGGTTATTGTATCAGCAGCTGAAAGTTACACCAATCGATTTGTCTCGTCGAGCTCTATAAGTGTGCAAATTTTCAAATCCGAATTCGATTCCCAGCTGAGACCATCTCCTTGTAAAGTAGACTACATACTACATCCTACACACCATACCTAACCGCTCCGTCTTGCAACTATTGACTACAGCTTCACGACTAGTCGAAAGCGTGAAGACTACAGATTGCACTAGGCTACAGACTACGGATGAGAATGGACTACAGGATACAGACTACAGACTAGACAACAAATCACAGATTAGAATATACGAGACTACATACTACAGGCTGCACTTAACCTCTTCGTCTTGCAACTTCAGACTATAAACTACAAGCAAGCCTTTTAGAAAAACAATTATGCCCGCTGCTCGAGAATTGTGTGGAGACGTGCGTGAAGACGGATGCTGGAAAGGTAGCAAGTTTTTGGAGCTCGAATTTTGTAAATTTTATGATTTTCCAAACCTTTTGGCTGTAAAAATAAGAATTAAACTAATTTCGACATATCTGAATTTCAACTGATTCAAATTAGGCCCTCGCCTGCGTGGCCGACCGTTGCAACATCCACTGCTACGACGGGGATTGCCCGTCGTGCAAGCAGCTCAGCAAGCGCATGTTCTCCCGGGTGTGCAAGGTGGGTTGTTTCGATGATTTCGAAATTCCGACATTTAAAATGCCGGTAGCCGGAGCCTTTAAAGCCAAAATATCGACAAGTCGAAATGCCGACAGGCGAAAGATTACCTTATTTCCAAAATAACACCCCGAAGTGTGTACTTGTCGGCATTTTTTTGCGTCTGAACCTTGGTTTTTGCAGAAATTTCGCTGTGCGCGTTCTAAATGTCGGCATTTTGGCTTTTTTCGTGCATTTTTTGAGGTTTTTTGCCTTGAATACCCAGGAAATAAGCTTAGGACTTTTCAAATCGTGAAAAACTTTTAGGCTAAAAATATTAAAATTACGCTGTCGAAAAAGTAAAATTTTGAAAATGGTTTTAACGTAGTAAGTGGAAATTCATTTTTGCGGTATCCACTTTTACCTATTTTCAGGATCTCTCGCTGACGAAACTCCCCCAAATCGCTTTCCCCGGCGAGTGCCCGGAGCTGTTCCAGGCCATGTCCGACGAGTTTGTCGCCAAGAAGAAGCGGGTTTAATGATCTCAAAAATCGGGTTTAAGCCATCAAAAAATCCTTAGAAAAATTCTACAGTAATTTGGCAGATTGCCACTAATTGGTAGGCATATTTTTCGCTTCCTAGTTCTTTTAAAAGCTAGCCTTCTGCGCCTACCACCGTCATTTGAGAGCCAAAAGGCTCCAAAAAAATTAGCAAAAAATTTACAGTAATTTTCTGGCCATTATTCAAATGCGCCGATGTTTCCGGACCCTTTAAAAGTTAGAAAATAATTTTTTCTCAATTCCGCCACTTTCCTCTTGTCATTTTTGTACATACCGTATCCCCGCGTATCCCCGCGTATCCCCGCGTACAAGCCGCCAAAATCGGGTATTTCCTTCTGTGTATATTTTTTTTGGTCGGAGTAGTGTAACGTATTTTCGGAGGGATTTGCGATTATTGGATAAATTTATGAAACGCATCATCACATGGTAGGGGGGAGGGGCAAAAAGTGCAAAAAAACAAATACAGTATAATACAGTACACCAAATGGAAGTTCGAGCACCTAAATATGCTAATGACATGGTGAGGGAAGGTTTAGGCTTTGGCTTAGCTTAGGCTTAGGCTTAGGCTTAGGCTTAGGCTTAGGCTTAGGCTTAGGTTAGGCTTAAGCCTAGGCTTGGGTCAAGCTTAGGGATAGGCATAGGTTATGCTTAGGCTTGGGCTTAGCTTAGGCTTAGGCTTAAGCTTAGCAAAGTTTTACCCTAAAAAGTGCCATTTTCGAGCGCAAATAACTTACTGAATTTCAAAATGCACCTGGTTGCTCAAATTCGTGATATTACGGTACAGTACGCAGAACGTTCGGAGGTGTCTGACGGAAAGAGCGAGGGCAAGAAACAGGAAACAAAAAAGCGAGAATGAATGGATGAGCAAGTGAGTGGGATACGGTAGTTGGGGCGACATTTAGCAAAACTAAAAAAATTGAGAAAATGACAAGATACGCAGCGTAAAAATGACAAGTACCCGTTTTTTGTGGTGATGAAGGGGCGAGAGATGAGGGGGTGAAAAGTGATAACACTAGACGGTGGACCCGCTACAGTATGACGGGGCTTGGGCGTAGCCTTGGGCATAAATTAGAACTAGGAGAAGGCGGATTGATCGTAGGCGGCCAGGTACTCGACGACCGCCTGAAAAAGGTAAAATTTCACCAAATAAAGGCGAGAAACACAAAAAATTAAGGTAAAATTAGTTGCAAAATTGAATTTTAGCCAAAATTTTAAATCTAAATTTTCGTTAAAAAACAAATCAATGACCTAAAAAATTTGCATTGATTTAAATATAGTAACGCTATTGTATCGATCGCGAAAAAATTGTAATAAAAAATCTAGAATTTTCTGTAAATTGCTCAAAACCATTTAAACGGAAATTGCAATAAACTGTAATGAATATAAATTAGATACAGTACTAGTTACCGTGCTTTTTACATAATTTAGCCAATTTTCTATAATTTTAATATGCGGGTGACGCAAAAATTAGCCCTAAATTTACCTGATACAAAAAGTGGTAGTGCTCCTTGTCGCCGACCATGTTTGAGCGTTGGGTACGGAGCTGTTTGACCTAAAAAGCGACATAATGCTACCGTAATCCCAAAAATTACCGTGGTGAAGACGTCAACAACGTGCTCCTCGTGTATTCTGTCGATGAGGAGAGCGAGGGCGATGAAGACGCCGCTCCTCACAGCTCCACCACCACAATGCACCACCATCGGGCCGACGACACCGAATTGGGCCTTCGTACGGTGCACCTGGAAATTTTGGGGACATAAAACGTAATTAGGAGCACAGCGGAATTGTGAATAACGCTAGTAGGGGTCAGACGAGGAGCTGGGAGCTAGACGCTAATTTTTTATCAAAATACCGACACCTAAAAAATGCCGAAATTCAAAAATCGGACGGCCAAAATGCCGACAGCCAAAATGCCGACAACGACCAGATTTTGGTCAAAATTGATTTGTCGGTGTTTTTGCGGTATTTCGCCAGTTTACCTTAGGAGCTAGCAACCGGAAGCTCATGCGACGCGCACGCTACGCTTGCTCCTGAACTCCAAGCTCCCAGTCCCAGAATCACGTTGTCCGTCGGATTTCCTTTTTAAAGAGACTAGAGAAACCTGATTTTGGGAAGAAATCGCAAGCAGCTAGGGGAGCTGGGAGCTAGGCGCAACGAAGCAGCGACGCGCGAGGAGATCGGGCTCCCAGCTCCCGATCCCGCTCCAAAGCGCTCAAAACTACAATTTAATACCTGCTGGATGAAGTCGAGGAAGGTGTCGGCGGATCGGGGAACGCCCTGCTCCGGCCATTCCGTGTACTGGAAGTGGCGGACGGTGCGCGAGGTGGTCGACTGAAAAAAGGTCTTATAGACGAGAGAAAGAGAGGGAGAGAGAGAGGGAGAGGGAGGGAGAGAGTGAGAGAGCGCGGGAGAGAGTGAGAGAGAGATCGCTCACCTGCGGATCAGATATCCTGAATTCCCGCAGAATATATTGAGGCATGTTGTACTCGGCGACCGGCTCGACGATGACGGCTCCAATCTGGACGCCCGTCTCATGGGGCCAATATTCACAGCTCCATTCCCTGCCCGCCTCCATCGTCTTGGTGAGCATGACCACGATGGCGGCCTCCGTCTCCCAGATCATTCTCCAGAAATCTTCGACGGTGGCTGAGAGGGGGCCTTGGGTACCGATGTACGCGTTCCGTTCCCTGGAAATTGGGGTTTTGGAGGTAAAAATAGGATTCAAAATGAGTTTATGAAGGTTCCTACCAAAAAGCAAAAAGCTTGCCGCGGCTAGGGATCGAACCTGGATCCTACGCTTGGTAGGCCAGGAACCTTACCAATACACTACGAAACGAAGTAGGTTTTCTTCTTTTTAGGATACTTTTCCCATTAAAATACTCACCTATACCCATCCAGCCACGACGCATTAATGTAGTCGCTGCCCTCGACGCCGGGGAACATGTGCAGGATGACGCGTGACGTGTCGTAGGGCACGGCCGCGAATTGGCGATTTTTGTGTCGATTGCAGGCCAGGCTGGCGACGTTCGTTTTTGAGGTGGTCGTCTTCATCGTCGAGAGGTGCTGAATCAGAAAAGTTTACATGTCACTGAAATTAATTTTTATTGGTTATATTTAAACTTTAATTGTTAATTATGAGCTATATTTTACTGAATTTCTTCTTGCTTTTTAATATGGAATATTAGTGTTAAAGTTAAATTGCCCGTTTTTAAAAGCTAATAATTTAAGAAAACGCCTGATTTTCCGCGTAATTCATGGTATTAAAAGTAAAGGAGGAGCCGAATTTTTGAAATAGAAAAAAACGTAGAAAATCGATTTAAGTAAAGTGATTGTACAATTTTTAAGATACTCTTAATGCCAAAATTAAAATATCGAAAAATGACAAGCTAAAATTAAATTTTAAATTTGCATAATTATGACTGAAATTTTGACAACTAAGGGTTCGAAAAAAATAAATTTTAAGCGATCCCAACTTACCCTGTACTCGACGTCAATCCCGGATCCCACGTCCAAATTCTGTGTGTGAGACAGGGCCTGGACGTGCTGGTAGAGCCGATTGGCCGGCACCTCGGTCGAGCCGCTGTTGACCGCGTCCAGGACGGCGTCGTGGATGAACATGTATTGGTCTTCCGTCTAAAGGAAAGTACGGAATTAAATGATTTGGATTAATTTGCAAACCTGGACCATATAACTTCTCTGTCCCCGCAACACCGTCACACACCCATACACATCTACCGTATTTTCATAGCGTAACCGTTCGAGCATGATGTCGATGGCGATGAAGGCGCCGGTGCGGCCGATGCCAGCACTAAAGGTTCGTTTGAAAGGGACTCGGAAGCCAGATTTTCTGTCGTTTAAATGAGTCTAAATCCATTTCCAGAGAAATTCCCAAATTTTCTCTGCCACCTCACCTGCAATGGCTGACGATCGGGCCTGCATCTGGAGGGTTTAGCGTCCGGACTCGCTTCAAGAAAACGAGGAAGGGGGTCGGGTGATCGGGTACGCCGTGATCCGGCCACGCCGTGTACTGTAGTTGTTTGACTTCGCGAATCTGGAAAAAGTGGGATTGGAGAAAAAAGAGGTTTTTCAGGCCGCAAAACTAGCAACAAAAAAACGTAAATTTTGCCTTCAATGGCCCTTGAAAAAGCCCCACGCAGCCAAAAGCAACTACAAAAAATGCCTAAACATCATAGAAAAATTCATAGACTGGAAAGGTGCCAAAACGCGAAATCTAGACCTCCTAAAAGCCGCCCAAAAATGCAAAATAAAAATTTAGACATTCGGAAAAAATAGAGATCTTAGAGAAACTAGTAATTAGAAAAAATTATCGCTATTTTCATAATTTTCGATTTATGGGAAAGGGTAAAAAACTCAGACCCTGATTTCAGCGGCCCTTTAATACCCTTAAAACACCCACCAATGGCTCGCCGACGGCCTGTACGCGGAATGTGCGCAGGGTGTAGTGGGCAAAGACGGACGTGTCGAGGATGGTCACCTAAATTTGTGGAACTAGCCGTTTTTTAAGATAGATTTAAGGTTTTCGAGGCCCCCTTAAGATCGGGTATACGGTAAATAAAACTTTTTTACTTACCTGGATGATACCGTAGGTCATGCTCCCGCGGTTCGGCCAGTATTGGTCACATTTCACTCGGCTTCGCTCTTCCAGGTTTGTGAGCATGACGATCATTGCTGATCCTTCTTCCCAGACCTGAAATTGGCGAGATGGATAGGCTTCGGCTTTGGCTTTGGCTTAGCTTAGGTTTAAGCACAGGAGTAGGCTTCGTTTTGACTTAAGCAAAGGCTTGGCTAAGGTTTAGGGTTAAGCTTGGCTCGGGGTAGGTTAAACCTGGGCTTAGGGCTGAACTTGACTTGTACTGAGGCTTAGGCCTAGGCCAAGGCTTAGGTTTAGGCTTGACTTAAGCTTGGCTTGGGCTTGGCCTGGGCTTGGCTTGGGCTTGGCTAGGGCTTGGCTTGGGCTTGGCTAGGGCTTGGCTTGGGCTTGGCTTGGGTATGGCTTGGGCTTGGCTTGGGCTTGGCTTGGGCTTGGCTTGGGCTTGGCTTGGGCTTGGCTTGGGCTTGGCTTATGCATTTGCTAGTTAGGCCAGGAATCAACCCTTCAAACCACGCACCATTCTCCAGAACGCGTCGAACGTCTCGGGCAACGGCCCCTGCGTGGCGATGTACGCCTTCGGCTTTTCGTACCCGTCGATGTAGTTGGCGTTGATGTAGTCGGAGCCGGGCTGGCCGTCCAGGGAGCACAGGATCACTCTAGAAATTGGATTCGCTGCTTTTTTTCGGGGATCATTGAGGATTTTGGCAACTTGCCAAGCCTTGCTGGCACCCTCCCTTTAAAGTTTAAAGTGGAAAGCCCACCTCGAATGGTCGTAGGCGACCACGTTTGCATATCGGTTTTTGTGTTTGTTGTACTCGTTGTTCGAGTGGTCCCATGAGTATTGTTGGCTCGTGTCGATTGATTCGAATTCCTGAAAAAATTGCAATTGACGAGAGAGAGAGAGTGAGAGAGGGAGAGAGAGAGAGAGAGAGACAGAAAGAGAGAGAGAGAGAGCGAAAGAAAGGGAGAGAGATACAGAGAGAGAAAGTGAGAGAGAGAAAAGAGAGAGAGAGAAAGAGAGAAAGCGAAAGAAAGAAAGAGAGAGAGAGCGAGAGAGAGAGATACAGAGAGAGAAAGAAAGAGAGAGAGAGAGAAATACGGTTTCTAATCATACCTGCTGGAATCCAAGCCCATCATTTCCGCGTAACCTATCGATATGCGGTGCCAGCTGACTGATCGGGATCGCCGAGTGGCTCCCCGATTGACTTGTCGTCACTGAAACCAAGTGTAAAGAGTACACCCCCCGTAGCCCTACTCGTCGGCATCAGCGAGGTGTGTATGGGCAGTGGGGCGTAGTTGTTGATCGTATCCTTGCGTAGCGTGCCGTTTTGCCGACTTTGTAGTGTCATTCCATAATCGTCCATCGTGGATTCCATCTGGCCATTCAACTGGGAGTACGGTAAGAGGGTCAAAACAAGGAATACCTGTTCATACGGATTGACCATCCTTTGCGTCCCATTCCCGTAGACGTCGTTGGGTAGCAATTTGCTGGTCTCGGAGGGAATTCCGTTGATCGGGCCTCCGAGAGCGACTTTTGTGATCGAGCCGTGACGATGGTTAGGGGGGAGGCGTTTCCGGCTGCATCGGAGCCACCTGGAATTTTTTCTAGCTTGGATTTGGCTTGGCTTAGGCTTAGTTTAGGCTTAGCTTAGGATTAGCTTAGGTTGGACTTATGCTAGCTTAGGCTTAACTTAGGCTTAACTCAGGCTTTGCTTCGATTCAGGCTCAAACTTTCAACTCACCAGCACACCAGCATAAACACGATGATGGCGATGACAAATAGCGCAACGGCCGGCCCGATAAACCACATGCCTGTCGCGCCGCGACCCTGAAAATGAATCTCAAATTTTACCTTGATTTAATAGCGTAATTTCATGACGTATTGCGGAAGTTCGGAGCCAAAATTGCATAGAAAAACTCGGAAAAAGCTGTGTCAAATCAGCGCTAAATTTTTAGGTAAACAGGGTAAAACCGCGCGTGGGTCAACAGAGCAGGAGAGCGGTTTTTGACGCTCCAAAAGCAAGCTCTTTTTTAGTTTTTTTTTGATGTTTAAGTGAAATTAGCATAATTTAACTAGGAGCATGGGATCCGGCAAGGCAATTTGCATATTTCGGTGTTTGGATAAATTTAGCAGAATACTGAAAAACAGAACAATTTGCATCCCGAAATCGAGTAAACTTGCCCTAATTTGCATATCAAAAATTGTGAAAGTTACGAAAAATTGTCACCAAATATCGCGGAAATTAGCACGATAGACGCAGGTTTTCTCAGTACGACAAATTAGCGTGATTTCCATACGAAAAAATGCGTAAATTAGCATAAATTGATGCAAATTACTTTAAATTTGGGTATGGGCATTGGTTGACGCTTAATTAGCATGTTTCCACTCCAAAAACTCACAAGGAGTGTCCTTTTGGTATCATCCGCAAAACGGTTCGAGACCCAGCTCATTCGATAGAGAATTGAATTCTGAACAAGACTGTGTTGTTGATTTTTGCGGAATGGCTGTCTCTGATTTTATAGCATTAAAAAACCAAGCGCGAAACCTTAACAACTCGCTCCCCAAGCACCAATGTATGGGCGTCGCCGGCAGTTTTTTAATTTTATAAAATCAGGGACAGCCATTCCGCAAAAATCAACAACACAGTCTTGTTCAGAATTCAATTCTCTATCGAATGAGCTGGATCTCGTATCGTTTTGCCGATGACACCAAAAGGACACTCCTTGTCAGAGAAATCGAGGGCAATTAGCATATTTCAAACCATACCTTGGTGAGGGCTTGCGGCGTGTGAAAGATGTCAGACGGGGGCGAGTCGGTGTACATCTTCAGCGTCTTTTCGGACATGGGCGGGCGGTGTTCCCACTAGAAAATAGGGGTAAGCTACGTAAGTGGCCAAATTACGCAGGGATTTAAGCCTGGGAAAACACCTAAAAACGGACCTTTGGCGCCTTCTGCTCGGCGGCAAACGCTCGCATCATCAGCCGGTATTTCTGGCTGGGCTCCAGCGGGTAGTTCGTGATCCCCTCGTACACCTAGAAGCAAAAAATTAGCATATAAATTTTGAGAAAAATTAGCATAAATTTTGTTTGTAGATTTCGCGAATAAGTTTGCTATTTGCATAAATTGCTTGGTATAATTCACATAAAAATTAGCATAATAATTTTCGCCCAATTAGCATAAATTCCGCTTGGAACTTGCATGAAATAAATATGTCTCGGAATTGGGGTAGTGTCTTTTGTATGACAAGCGCAAAATAAGCATAAATGTTTCCTTGAATTTGCCTAAAAAGGAAGAAAAATGGTTCACGAATTTGCATAAAAAACGGAGTCATATTTTGGACTTTTTTTTTGTAAAATTTTTATCAATCAATTTTCTCTAATTTTACTATGCAAATAAGTTCAAAACTGGAAAAACCAAGGCGAAAAATGGGTATCTAATCAGCATAAAAAGCTGAAATATCGAAAACAGCAGATGCAAACCCCACCTTTTCATCGCCAACGACAAATCGACTGCCGGCCTGATGTAACGACCGCATCGCCTCGGCGTTGATTTTGGCCGTGATATAGACGCCATTTGTGTGCTGAAAATATTATTGATTGGATTTTACGATGTAAAGACAGTTTAAAACAATAAAAGTGTTTTTAAAAATTTTTTTGTTAATTTCTTAATAAGAATTTAATCTTTTAACTCACCGACGACAGCGCCCTCCTCTCTCTCCTGTCCACTTCAGCCGGATATTCATGCGTTTGCACCTCTTCCGAGAATCGTACGTGTTTCTTGATTTTCTTCGTGGGTTGGGCCGATATTTGGCGGGCGAGTTGGGAGCGTTTCTCGTTCGTGGCGAGCTCCATATCCCGGGGTTCCATGTTCGCGACGTGCTCCTGGAAATTGGCGCATTAATGGGAGGGTAGAAAGTCATTTTAAAGGACCGCTGAAGGCAGTATCTTTAGAGCTAAAGAGCGTAGAATTTTTGGCAGCCACGGTATCCTTAATGGGCGTTAAACCGAAAATCGGTGAAGTTTAAAAACCCCGAATTCCTAGCAAGAAATGTCCCTTTAAAGGGCCATTAAAGGGCACGTTCAGGGACGTTTTTGGGCAGGAAAGCAAAAATTTTTGCCGCGGCCGGGGGTCGAACCCGGGCCTCCCGATCGGGAGACGCGGTCGCATACCAGTCAGCCACAGGTGCAACCTGGCGAGGGGCCGAGGGGCGCCCCACCCCGGAAAGAGGGGAATGGCCTCCCACGGCACGAGTAGCTTGCGCGCGCGGTCCCTACGTCCATAGGGTGTATACGTTGGGCAGAGTATACGGCCCCTCCCTGAACGTGCGCTTTAAAGACAAATCCATAGGGCTAAAAAGTCGTATATTAATGGGTGTTTTAAAGCCCTACTACAGGCCAAAGTTTGAAGCTCATAAAGCTTCGAATTCTAGGCTCGAAAAGCTCTCTTTAAAGGGCCAATGAAGGCAAATCCTTAAGCCTAATAATTGATACGTTACTGAAGGGTGGGTCTTTAAAGGGACCATGAAGGCAAAAGATTAAAATTACCTTAAATTTCCACTAAAAGTATGGAAATAAACCATCGAAATCGAGCATGAACTGTAGCTCAACTATTTTAAAGGGTCATTCAAGGCAAGGTCATTCTATTCCTAAAATATTCAAGCGTTAATAGCTAGCCATTTCTGTTCAAAACTGCCAAAAATAGGCCGTAAAGAACGGGAATTCTGGAGGGCCTCGACTAACCCAGCCAGCCGGCCTTCCCTGAATCATTCACTACCCCCGTCGCAGCCATTCCCCCTAGGGGCACCATGTCACACACACCCTCCTCAACGCCCCGAAAAAACCGGCCAAAAAGTGGTTTCCGGCCCCGGGCCGTGAATATTTGAGGAGCCAATTTGGCCTCGACAGGGCACCGGGTCACGAGGGGGGAATAATTAGAGTTTTTCGAGGGGTTGAGAAGCCGGTAAATTGGCTGGATGACTCGGAAATGGCTTGAAAATATTCGTATTGACGGCTTAGAACCTTAGATAAATTATTTAGTAATTTCAGTTCACGTTTTATTACCGAATTCTTTGCTAAAATTACAAAATCATACTGATTTTCCTGATTAAAAGCTGATGGCAAATTCCCATATATCTTCAAAACTAGAAAATTCGAAGTTAGGTGCAATAATTCATAATTAAAGGGCTGCCGACGGCATGTGTCGATCCCCCCTCATCAACAAATTGGCAAGTAGCCAACAGGGGAGAGAGCGCTCCCAGGGGAGAGGCGCAGAGACATTTTCTTTTCCGCGCGTAACCGATTGACTATGCCGTCGGCATCCCTTTAACATTAAAAATAAACACTTTACGATTAAAATAAATAGGTAGATTTATAGAATTTGGCATTACATGAGTAATTTTACAACGAAAAAACTAATCCAACTTACGTAAGAAATATTGCCGGGGATTACGATGATCCAGTAGTGGCTGATCGGGCCGTACTCTTCGCTGGCGGGGCTCGGCGTGATGGCCAGCTAAAAGTATGCCTAAGGTGGTTGTAGACGAGAGAGAGAGAAAGAGTGAGAGAGAGAGAGAGAGATAGTGAGCGAGGGAGAGAGTGAGAGAGTGGGAGAGAAAGAGAGAGTGAGGGAGTGAGAGAGCGGGAGACGTGGACAGAGCGAGAGAAAGCGAGGGAGAGAGAGAGAGAAATAGAGTGAAAGCGATGATGAGAGAGATCGAGAAACGGAGCGAGAGAGATATCCCTCACCTGTCCAGGCTTCACCCATTCCGGCGGCGAATCTATCATTGGTGCGTTGACAAGTGGTGGCCCAGTCGGATCGGTGACGACGATCACCTCCTTTGGCCAGAACTGCTTGGCGCTCTCCCCCCTGACGCCCACTTGGAATGTGTAGCGCATGTACGGTCGCAGGTTGATCCACCTAAAATTCAAAAAAAGATGCTTGATTTTAAGCTTAAACAAATTTTTTAGATATTGCAAATATTTAGTAATTGCGAATTTCAATTAAAAAGTTATTTTTTTAAATGATCCTGTCGCTTACAAATATTCCCGAGCCGCCGGATCCGTTTCATGCCGGAATCCCGGGGTGTAGAGGCTCTTGGCCGCCAGCTGCTGATCGAGGTACTCCTTCTTGCCGGTGTGGTTCAAGTAGAAGCCGGCGAACCGGCCGGGAGGGTCGTAGTCCCACCTAAAAATTGGATTTTTGAGGCAAGAAAAGAAAAAAACCAAAAAGCAAGAAGTTCGAAACCCTGGAGAATCGAACCCGGGCCTCTCGAGTGGGAAGCAAGAGGCTAACCAATCAGCCGCTTTCATTATAATTTGTTAAACTAGCTTTAGGTCCAAAACCACTGCTAAAGGGACAGCGACACCGGAAAACTTACGCCAACATGACCGAGTTGCTGGTCTTCCACTTGACGCGCAGGCTGCGGACCATGTGGGTGGGGGCGAGAGAGGAGATGGTGGCCGGTGGGTCGGAACACGAGCCTTGGCGCTGAAAAAACAACATAAAATTACAGAATTACAGAAGTCTATAGTATGCTTATCGAATTTTGTGGTTTTTTTTGACGGCGGCCTTGAACAGAAATACGTAATACATTTTCTCTCTCTTTTTCTCTCTCTCTCTCCCTCTCTCGCACTCTCTCTCTCGCACTCTCTCTCCCACTCTCTTTCTTTCTCACTTTCTATCTCGCACGATCTCTCCCCTTGTCTCTCTCGTTCTCTCTCTCTCTCGCTCTCTCCCTCTCTCTCTGGTACACATAGGATAGCGGGGGGGAAATAACGGGGGGGCACTCGAACTTTTTATATGATAAAAGTATTTTTAAATATGCTTTTTTCGGGCTGTAAAAAAAAACTCTTAGTTAATTTTTCGGTCCTCTATCGGATGGCATTTTCAAAATATCGAAAATATTCAAAACGCCGAAAAATTTTTCCCCCCCTGTTATCCTATGTGCTGCCCATAGTTTTCAAAAATAGTTTATAGGCTATAAAACTTTTATAATACATTTTTCGCGTTGTAAAAAAATCTCTTAGTATATTTTTTGATGTTCTATCGATTCGCGTTTTCAAAATATCGAAAATCGCAAAAATTTGGCTTTCCCCCCCGTTATCCTATGTGCTGCCCATGGATTTTGATCAATTTTTGTTTATTCGATAAAAAATTTAATTTACATTATTTCGGGCTGAAATTAATTCTCCTAGGGCAGTTTTCAATGCTTTATCGAATGACGTTTTCAAAATACCGAAGATTTCGAAAATTTGACTTCCTCCCCCCCGTTATCCTATGTGCTGCCCATAGATTTTCCTCAATTTTTGTTTATTCAATAAAAAATTTCCATTACATTATTTTGGGCTCAAATTAATTCTCTTAGTATATTTTTCGATGCTCTATCGAATGGCACTCGCAAAATCCCTCAGTAATTGCAAATTTCATAATAATGAGTGCCCCCCCGTTATTTTATTCCCCCCCCGTTATCCTGTGTGTACCCTCTCTCTCTCTCTCTCTCTCTCTCTCTCTCTCTCTCTCTCTCTCTCTCTCTCTGTCTCTCTCACTCTCTCTATCTCTACCCCCCAAAAGTTATTGCAACAACAACAAAGTCCACTATGCTCGCCCAGCTGCCATTTTTCGGGTGAGTACATCTTGCCAAGTGGGCCCAAAAGGGACCACTTGGCCCTTTTTGGGACCCCCGAATGGGGCATGGGGGGATAATTGTTCGTGGAGGGCGATTGTGAGGGTAGTTGTATACTTCCCCCGGTACCCTAGAATTTGCGGCTCACCGTTCCGCTCGGCAAAAAAAAATTAGAAAGATTGTATTCTAATTGTGCATTAATTTGCATTAAAATTTGTATAGCTTATAGATCGATTTAAGATAGCTTTAAGGTATGTAGATCCAGGTAGGTAAGGTAGGCACTTACATTCTGCCGAATCGCCAGCACGCAAAAAGCGTAGGGCTTGTGAGCAGTGAGCTGGCCGATTTCGAGGTGGCGCGCGGAAGGGGACATCACCGTTCGGGCTGTCCATCTGGAAAGAGCGGAATCAGGGGCTGGGATTTTGGTAATGTACCTCTCGGTATCCTTGGTACCCCGGGGCTCGTGGATGTACTTGATGACGAAACCGTCAACCTGGAAAAAAGATTGAAAAATGCAAGTTTAGAAAATTGTTTTATAAAAAAATTTTGGCTTTATGGATGAAACTGTTTTTTGAAAGTAAGAGAAGCGAGAAAAAGACAGCGAGAGAGAGAGCGTGAGTGATTAGTGAGAGAGAAAGGGGGAGAGAAAGGCAGAGAGAGAGGGAGAGAGACGAGAGAGAGAGAGAGAGAGAGAGAGAGAGAGAGAGAGATATCCCACCTGTTCCCCCTCAAAATCCCATTCCACGACGGCTGAACTGTTCGACGTCGCTTGAACTCTGACGTTGGTGGGAGGGCCTACGAGAGCTAAAAATGTTGATAAAACTCGTTAATAAAAGTATTTTAGAATTTATAAACGTTTTTTGGTTCCGCAAAGTTTGCTTGGGATACAGACTACAAGCCACAAACTACACTCACAGGACGATAGACTACAAAATACACCACATAAAAATCGGCATGCAAATATCACATCGGTGAAATGCGATTTGACTGAATACAAACTACAAGCTACAGGCTACAACTCTTTCTGTACCCAGATCAGTATTCAGCAGCCCGCCAACGATAGCCCCAAAAACATTCGAAGGCATCTGGGTCGTGTCGTTGACCGTTCGGAGTAGCGTAGCGTTGTGTGGTTGATGCGGTAGGAGGTAAGCGTTGAGGCCGTGGTCTTCGGCTTCTTCTTGGTCTTCTCCTGCTCCTTCCTCGTCCTCTTGCTCCCCTCGATTATTATCCGGTGGTAAGGGCTGCTTGGGGCGGCGTGGAGGCTCATTCCGCCCCTCATCCGTCAGGCGACCCGCCGGACTACGCGACCTGCCAAATTACGATGTCATTTCATCCGGATTGGGGCGGACTGGAGGTGTATAAGGGACTAGTAAGAATGCCATAATGCTAAAAATTCGCTTTAAAGGGGTCGAGAAGCATTGATTTTTTTCTCAAAAAAATCCACAAAATTGGAAATTTTCGAAATTGGCGAAAAAGCTAAGAAATTACTCTAATATTTTTAAATATTGGAAAGAGGAGAAATTACAGAAAAATGGATTTTCTAAATTTACAAATGCTAAATTTTAAGTTTAAAGGAACCGGGAAGTGCTTTTGACCAAAACCCAAAAAATTCCAAATTTTAAAAAACCTTTCAAACCAAATTTTACATAAAATCTATTTGTGTTTTTAGTTTAAAAGGATTCAAACGGTACTAAATTAGAAAAAATTACAAATTAAAAATAATCAACATTTTAAAAATCGCTAAAATCCACCGAAATCCGCAAAAACCCAAAAATCTACCTCGCCTTCTCGCTCCAGTCAAAATCCCCTCTCGCAAACGGCAATCTCTGGCGGGCGCGGACGCGCTGGCCACGCGTCACGCGCTCCGCGCTGTGTCTGGCGGCCGGGTAAAAGGTCTGGGAATACGGTGGCGGGGCGTCAAATAGGGTAGTATCCGTGGAATTGGCAACATTTAGCATTTGGCCCAACAGCATGCCGTGGATGGGGCCAAGGCCCAGCGCTGCCCCCAGTTCAGGGATGAAGAGGTGGGCCACAAGGACGGCCACCTTAGGGCCCATTGTCCTTTTCCGGGGGGCCCTTTTCTAGGGTTAGTGGGTCCTTAGTGGGGCCCGAAAGGCCTTAGGGCCAAGCCTTGGGGCCTTCGGCAATTCATTGCTAATCGTCTTTTCCGGCTATTCCTTGCGCGCTTCCTTTTCCCGTCTTTTTCTTGGGGCCCCTAATCGGCTTGTCTTTGGCTTGTTTTAGGGCCAGCGAGGGCCGAAATGGGATGTTGCTGCTGTGGTCTGGGGCGCTCCTTAATAGCACTTTTTTTGGGCCCACGACGAGGGCGGCGCGCAACCCGTAATTGGTTGCCGCGCGGAATTGGACGGGTTGGAAAGGGGAAGGTTCGAAAAAAATTGCAATTTTTTGGGATTTTTACAGGGCACGGCTACCGTTTAGCTTAATAAGTTTCCGCGGTCATCCGATAAAGCTGTATTTCGTAGCGTAGCGTAGTGTACAGTAACGTAATACAGCGGCTCAGCGTCGCAAAGAGTAGCGTATCGGGGCGGAATTGCTTGTTTTCTAGCTTACTGTAGGCCTTTTAGCGTAGCCAAACGTAGCGTAATGTAGCGTATCGTAACGCATTGTAACGTAGCGTAATATAGCGTATCGTAGCGTAGTTCTGGCCTGTTTTGACAGATCGCCAAATTCACAGGGCCAGCTGTGGGGGAGTGGATTCGATTGGATCAGTGTGGTGAACAATGGCGTATCGCGTAGCCCTCAATATAAGAGAAGAAGGGAGGCGAATATACCACCCGGGGCAGAGGGTGGTAATGGGCGGAAACAGAGGGAGGTGCAAGGAGGATGGGGATGTATTCAATACTCGAGCACAGCAATTTCGAGCTGGCTAGCGACACCTGGCCCTTCCTCTCCTCCTCCTTCTCCTCCTCGTCCTCCTCCTCTAGGAGCCCCAGATATTTGAGGATTTGCTTCCTGCGGTGTGGGCCCTCTGGAGGGCCCTTCACCCGAATCCATCATGGAGAAGGAGGGGCGTGGATTCTTGAGGAAAACATGGAAAAGCCCCCGAAAAGTCGAATTATCCATGCTCGGCTACCTCTGAGCGGGCTCTCTCTCTCTCTCTCTCTGTCTCTCTCGACTACGCGACGCTACTACTTGCTTGACCACGCGAAGAGTCGGGAATACGAAATCGGACGAAAACGAGCGCGGGAAAATAATATGCAAAAGCCGGAATGGATCAAAACCCTATAATGGAATAGAACTCGATTCTTAGAATTTTCACAAAACTGGCTTAAAGCGCCAGTGAAGTCAAATTAGCTTAAAAACTGGGCAGGCCATTCGCAGATTTGCATAAAGGCTGGTTTTAAAGGGACCGTGAAGGCAAATTTGCTTCACGAAAGCTGTGTTTACGCATGAAATTTGCATAGAACTCGGTTTTTCCAAAGCAGAAAATAATTAGCGTCTAGTGATGGAAAATCCGTATACGGTACTCGTAGAAATTGTCAAAAACTGTCATTTGCAGTGTATCGTAGTCCATCAAAAATTAAGAGTACCCGCACGGGAATGAAAAATGCAAAAACCGGCGGACTACACAGCACTCCAGAAGACGAGGAAATACAGACTACACAACACTGCAAAACCACTAAAAATTTTGCATGCCAGATGCAAATTAGTCTTTACGTAACATCTCGAATCTTTACGTGGTCTCCTCGGGAAATTGACGAGTGCCGGTAGCAGTGGGGTGGTCTCGGGCGGATCCGCCGCTACCGTAACCCCCAGCGGGCCCAGGTCAATAGGCGTCAATCGTAGCTGTGATGTCCCAGGCGTCTTGTGGAGTATCGCGGAAAATATGGCCGCCGTGTCGGCCTCCTCCATGTCGGCCGTCGTCTCCGACAGGATCCGCGTTGACGTCTCCTCGGCTGAACGGGGGATGTCCAGTGGAATCACGCGGAATTCGGGGGGTTTCTGGGCTCTTTTGGGCAATCACGGCCCTCTACCTAGTCGGCGTAAGTCGGTGTGGGAACGGAAAAATCCCGGAATTTCACCCCCGTCGCGGCGGGACCCGAAAAATTCGCCAAAATTTGCATGGCCTGCGTCAACAAGGGAAGGTGCGGAAATTTGAGTTTAAATTAAATAAATAAAAATTTAAATGCAAATTTAAGCTATTTTCCAATTTAATGAAACTAATAAAATAATGGCAAATTAATTAAAAATAAATTTTTAAAGCTTTGCTTTTGACAAAAGAAATTCTGGGCTAGTTATACGGTTTTTGAGGAGTCCAAAGTAATTTTTCTGTCGTTACAGTAATTCGTGTTTAACGTAAAAATACCTTCTAAATAAAGGTTATAAAAACGGATAATTTTAAACACGATTTTTAATTTTGACGTTGAAAAAAGTCAGTTTTGGACACCTACAGTATCTCTTTCGTCCAAAAATAGCATATTTTAACTTTTACCGTGTAAAATTAAGTCTATAAAATACGTTAATTTGAATAGTACGCTTCGAACGGCCCGGAAAGAACACTTGGCGTTTTTTGGAGAGGCCAGGATAGCCCGGGCGGGCCGGAGCGTGAAGCTCATCCATTTCAGGGCACCAGCTAGAAGGCGGCCGACAGAGAGACAAACAGACAGAGAGATAGACACACAAACAGACATACAAACATTTCCTATCCACACCCCCTGGCTGTGCCCGGAATCCCGTTAAGTGATGAAGAGAAATTGGGGCCCGCGGGGGCCCGGGTTTGGCCCCAAAAACAACCCTAACGTTCGGCCGGGGCTAGGGGTCGAGATTTTAGGATTTTTTAAGCTTTTTTCTCTTCTGACTTTAGCTAAATTGCCAAAACACGCACCAATGCCAGGCGGGGACAGTGGGCCCTGGTGGGCCCTGTTGGACGATGAGGGCCCTCCCAGTTTGGCCTTCATGCGAACCTTCTGCTGGGCCCTGGAGAGACCGCCGCGGCCCTTGGTCGCACGAGGGCGTCGTCGCGATTTTTGCAGCATCCTTATTACGGTGGTGGGTTACGGTGGGAGGGTCAAAAGATGGATTAAGTGACAAAAAAGGTATAGAAAAATGTGGGAATTCAATTAGAAAGTAGGCGCATTGATGAGATATCAAAAATTTGGACAGATGCTGCCAGTATCATCGCGTAAACGATTAAAATTTTAGAAAGATATGTAAAAAAGGTCATTGAATTTTTATGATATTTTTAGAAAAGTTTCGCATCACTTGACTTCGGTTTTCATTGCGTAACCGATTAAATAAGCGAAAAATTGTTGTTTTGATAACGTAATTGCTTACACCCGTCAAATTAATTGAGTTTTTCATGCCAAAAACAAGATTTAATTTTGATTAAAGGTGCAAACAAGAACGAAAAGCTGCCAATTTTACTGCGTAATCGATTAAGTCGCCAAAAATACATTTTTTATAGCGAAATGCCTTAATAAGCAAAAACGCGGTTTTTTTAAGGAATTATTTGCTTTCCCATTAAAACCCGATGGCAAAAAAGCGGGTTTCGTGGAATTTTTGGATAGTGTAGACAAACAACGGGATGAAGCAGTGAAATGTGATCCTCGCCTGCCTTGGATGCTTGCGCCGAATAGGGGGGCAGAGAGCCGGAAGGAAAGATGGAAAAAGCCGAAATTCGAAAAAAGGCCCTAGTAAGGGGGGATCGAAATGTGGAAATGCCCTCGGGGCACGCAACATTGACAAAGGGGATGGCAAAAGCGGACAGAAGGGCCTACAAACTGACAAACAGATCGCCTAAAATAATAGAAAAAAGGCTAAAATTCTAATTAGATTTTAGTGCATTCAATTTAAACGCTGCAACTTTTTAAAACGTTAAAAATGTCCTAAAAATTGACCTGGCAAATTTTTTAAATATTTTGTTATAACGTTTAACTGTGTGGAATCATAGTTTTTCAAACGACCTAATTTGCATATATTTTCGTTCCAATAAGCGCATGTTTCGCGGTTTTTCAGATAAATAAAAATTAGCATAAAGCTTTAGGATTAAAAGTAAAAAAATCGAGGACCAGATTTCCGAAAATTATCCTAATTTGCATAACACCTCCTGTATTCAATATAAGCATTAAAAATTTTTGATTTGCATGTTGCTATGCTATGGAATAAGCCTGTGAGGTCTCCAAACGGGAAAAGGAGCGATCCGGAAAGGGCAAAGAATCCGGATGGGTGATTGGAAACATTCTGTTGGGCATTTGTGGCCACGGCGAGAGAGAGAGAGAGAGAGAGAACGAGATAGAGAGAGAGAGAGATGGACAGACATCCGGGCAGACGAATAATTTGGAAATTGAGAGCCATCTCGCCTGATTCGGGGGACAGCTTGCGCGAGAATGGGGTGGGGTGGCTATTGGAATGTGCCGTAGTGGCGGGGTAGTACATGCCGTCATTAGTATCAAAATGGAAATGGAGTCATGGCACTTTCGAGCTAATGGATTCGGTTACGGTAGGAAAACGGGGCATGGGAACGGCCTTTTCCGCTTCTAGGGGTCTTTAAAAAAACTAGTACGAAAAAGTAGATTAGTGAGAAAATCCACTGTTTTGAGTCAGAAACTTTCATTTCCAGGCGCCTTTAAAAGTCAGTTTTGCAAACTATGAAATGCAAAAATACTAATTCCGCTGATCGAGAAATTTTGTAGTTACGGTAGTGCATCCAAATCATAGCCAAAACAGCAGAAATTGAAAAATTTATTCTAAAAAAAACAAAAATTCCCCCTGAGATCGGAGTAGCAAAACGGAACTCGGCTGCCCCCAGGACCCCCGTCTAAATGCCACTAATACCGCTAAAAACGAGTGCGTTCCCCCTCTCACCGTGCCAAAAGGCACACCAATTTGGGCCCTCGCCCCCGGTGGCCTTAGGGCCCACTCTTAGGGCCCACCCGGGTGGTAGAAGTAGATTGGAAAACGAGCGGGGGACGTGTGGAAGGAGGGTGAAATTAGTTGCTTGTCGGAGCCGGAGAGGGAAACCGGAAAAGGTCTTATTGTCCTAATGAGCTACAAAAAATGGGGCTAGGGGTTGGCTGCTAAAATGCGCCTTCTCGGGCCGCGAGACAGCTACAGGCTACAAATTCCGGGCGACACCGTGCACTGAATCTGGCCTTTAGGAATTTCTAAAAATCCTGGTCTTACAGATCGGAGGCTACAGGCTACAGACTACAATTTCAGAATCTGGGTTATTGCATATTCCGTTGAAAAAAATAAATTTTGCAAGCTGTATTTAGTGGAAATCCTGAAACTGGAAGATTTCCGAATTTTCGTAAAAAAATGACGAAATCACCCTCTTAGCATCGCAAAATCACGTTTTCTTGATTTATTTTCAGAGCTTGGCCATTTGCAAATTAGGTTTAGAAAATTAATTTTATTAAAAATACGAATATTGAAATTGCTGAATATTTAAGATGTGACAATCTCAAAAACGTATCTCAAAAATTCGAAATTAATTATGCCGTTGATTTTCGTATTTTCCATTGTTGCAATCCAATATGCGGCCAAAAATCGCTAATTAAATTTAAAACTGATTTAAAAGGGCAGACTGAAAGCTAGATTTACTGAAAACCGCAGAAAATCGTGTCAATATCCTCATCCTTTCGGGCACCGAATATAGACGATAGCATAGACTCACCTCAATTTGATTAGGCGCGTCGGCGGAAGTGGGCGGAGGTAGATAAAATTATTTTCCTTTCCGTTCAGGCGTAGCGCGTCGGAATCAAGGTGGTTTTTCGATTTTTTCGGGCCCAAATAGAATCAAATAGATGTGCCACCGCTCCTGCTGAGGGCTTTACGATGATTGGTGTCGACAAAAATTGGGCCGTATCGCCGCGTAGTGGTCGTGGTGGTGGTGGGCAAATGCGAGGCGCAATTACGCAAATGCCCCCAGGGCATCGAGGAGGGAAAAGTCAAGTAGCCGGGGCGCATTTGTGAGAGTGGAAGGAGGCCCAGCAACGGGCGGAAATCTCGCCGGTAAATCTGACCAAATGACCACCCCGGGTTGTGGCAGGGCTTTGAGGAGAATTGTTTAGAGAAAGGGCGCGGGACACTGTGAAAAATTACGACTTTAGTGGTCCTTTAACGGCGAAGTCTGTAATAAACCGACTTGGAAAAAGAAACATAGAATCATAACTTCAACTGTCCTTTAAAGCCGAAAAAACTGGCTTTAATGGCCGTTGAAAACCACGAAAAATCTAATAAAATTATTTTTTTTTTACGAATAACAATAAAAATTAAAAAATTTTGAAAATGGCTTCAGTGCTCCTTTAAATCGTCTAAAGGTTCCAGAAAACCCCTTGGAAGTACCCAAAAATGAAAAAATTAAAACGTGACTTCAAAGGTCCTCGAAAACCTCAAAAAGTCTAATAAAATTTGTTTTATGATAAGCCAGAAATCCAAAATTTCAAAAAGTGGATTCAATGGTCCTTTAAAACGTTAAAAATAGTAGTAAAAAATGCACGAAACTGTCTTTACTTTACTAATAACAAAAACGGAAAAATGAGAAAATTCGTTGAGCGAGATAACGACGAAACACACAACAAAACACTACAGACAACACTCGTAAAAAATTGAACATGCATGCCATTTTATGAATACGATAACTTAATGATATATTTAATACGAAATTCACCCCTACCAGTCATCTGCCGGCAGATGAACGTGGAATACTCATCAAATTGAGCCCAAGCCTCGCGGATCTGTTCCGTATTTGAGACGTGGTATTTCCAGCCGGCGGATAATTTGTCGAGAACTGCTTCTACGTCTTCGAGCATACGATTCTTGCATCGATGGGGTGAGAGCTGACCCTCTTCCCCATCTACAACACCGTCTACCGCCTCGACAAGGTCTTCAAGGAGGGATGAAGGGGAGGTGTCGTCATCCCCTGTTGAAGACGAGGTATCCGCCGTCTCGCCCGACATCTGGGGACTGGAATTTCTTGAGATATAGAGGCGAGAGAGAGAGAGCGAGACCTAGAGAGAGCATGAGACAGCGTGTTAGGAAAACTCTTAAAAACACAAAAAATGTTTACTCGCTTTGAAAAAGTCTAAATTTCCGAAAACGTGAAGGCGAGAGAGAGAGAGAGAGAGTGAGAGAGAGAGAGAGGGAGAGAGAAAGAGAAAGAGAGCGAGTGGGTGAGAAAGTGAGAAAGCGAAAGAGAGAAAACAGAGCATGAGAGTCAAACCAAAAAAAGCTACCGCTCCTCTGATGCCCCCAGGATTGATCGAAAATGCAAGGAACTAGAGTCGTAAGCCACCAGAAAATAGCCTTGTGGTCATTTTAAAGGGATTGGCAAGGCAAAAAAGACAGAAAATTCTTAAAATGGCCTCTAGAGCAACTTTGCTGGCGGCATAAACACCACCTATGAATGGAGTTGCACTCGGAATGTGCTTGTAGCGGCGGAGCATGAGTATGAGAGGATGGGCGACAAATCGGCATGAATTATGGATAAGAATCGGGATGGCCGAGGCCCTAGGGCCCAGTTAGGACCCGGTAGGGCCCAGAAGAGTGCGTAAGCCGGGAGTTAAATAAGTACGAAGAATTCGTTGAATAGAAAGCCTAAGCCTAAGCCAAGGCTAAGCTAAGCCTAAGCTAAGCCTAAGGCAAGCCTAAGCCAAGCCAAGCTAAGCCTAAGTTAAGCCTAAGCCAAGCCTAAGCCAAGCCTGAACCAAGCCTAAACTAAGCCTATCCTAAGCCTAAGCCTACGCCTAAGCCTAAGCCTAAGCCTAAGCTAAGCCTAAGCTAACCCTAAGCCAAGCCTAAGCGAAGCGTAAGCCACGCCCAAGCCAAGAAAAAAGGTAAGTAGAATTCCCAGGACGGAAAAAACATATCCCGAGGGCATCTGCCCCCGGGGGTCCCCACAGTATTTTGGGACCGGAAATGGGTGGGATAACGGCGATTATCTCGCTGTCTCCCTATTTCTACGCCAGGGCCCATCCGGGTTTCCGGTCGGCCGGGGGAAGAATCCCCACTGCCGACCGGAAAACCGTCGTCCACATTTAGATGCTGATCGGATTAGGAAGTCCTTGCACTAGATTTTTTAGGGACTTGCCAAGTACAAAAAAAAACAGTAAAAACTACGACCTGAAAATTAAGGAAAATCGATAATCAAATTTTAAAAGCTGCAATTTTCATGGCTATACATAAAAGTTTATGAAAAATCGATGCAGCCCCGGAACTTTCGGAAAAACAATTAGAAAAACGCGGGCCAACTTCGACAGGTGCAAATTTCCGGCAAAAGAATGGGGTGTAAGCAGTACAGAAGCGGAATGACTGGCGCTGTCAAGAGGAGCCCATCGGAATAAAGAGACCCCCAGGAGGTGGCTAATCCAAAATGTGTATAATCTCGGTCCCGCAAGAGAGAGAGAGAGAGAGAGAGAGAGAGAGAGAGACGGATTCCTCTATCCCATCTCTTTCTCTGTTGCCAGGTGCTTCTCCCATCCCATATCCGCTAGTGCAAAGCAAAACCAATGCAGCGCATCGATCTTCTTTCATCGAATTTATTAACATGTTTATTTAAAGGTAGTTTTAGGACATATTTGGCTAAATTCTACCTGCTCTGAGATTTACAAACAGAAGCAAAAAAAATAAGTTTTTTCGCCTAAAATAGCTAATAATTTGTAGAAAACTGTTCAAAAGATTAAGATCACAAGTTTCTGAACTGCTCTCTCTCTCTCATTCTCTCTCTCTCTCTCTCTCGCCGCCCCAAATAGCTCCGGCCCCAAAGTTCTACTGGTCGTACGCAAAGTGCTACAATAGAATCAGAATAGAATCAGAGTTTGCACCGCGAAGTCGAAGAAAAATGGAGAAAGAGAGACAGGGAGAGCGAGAGAGAGAGATTAAAACTAATTTCAGCCCTAATCCCCTCACTTCACTTGTGATGTATAACTTCATTTCCGGTTGATTGCGCTCGCTTTAGCGCCCAAGTTTTCGGTTTCGCAAAAAAGTAAAAAAATATCGTAATCCGCGCAAAACTAGCGCAATTTAAACCCCTACAAATCCCTATTTTTAACTTGAAAACCTAATAATCAAAATCGCTGTAAAAATCGGGTTTTTTATCGATTTTCCAGAAAGTTGTGGCTACGAAAGGCTACGTAAAAACGTGCAGTTTCCAAACGTAAGTTTTGTCGCATATTACGAAAATCTGGGGGATATTTTGCGCCTACCGCGCTAATAAGCCCCACCGGCCGTCCGCGCCAAAATTCTATTATTTTACTGAGGGCCCAACCGGGTGGAAAACGAATTCGATTTTTTGCGCGCGTTTGGCGGCGTTTGAATACGGAATTTTAGGCAAATTTTAGGGATGAGAGCTTCTTACAAAAAATCTTGAAAATAAATCTGGAAATTTTGGAAGAAAAAGTGAAGAAAAAATTCATATTAAAAATTTCCAGGATTTTCAAGTTATTCAAAGGTGTCAAATTTTCACTTATCTAGGTGTTAATAGCCGCTGGTTTCATAGCTGAATGATTTATAAAGATAATTGCGATAATTTTGAAACAGACAAATTTTTTAGGAAAATCAAGTTTCAGATTTAATTATGTGTTTCGATATTTTCTTAGTTTTTAGATCGGTTAACTACATCTTCAATCAAATATCAGCATTAATTTCCATATGACAAAAAAATGGAATACGCAATTTTTAAAAAAGATTTAATAATTTTTGAGTTTTAAATTGTTGCATTTTCTATTTTTCTAAATTTATCAAGCTCCATGGTTAAAGTTTATCATAATAAAAAGCAACCAAAAATCCATATTCCGCCAAAAGCCGAGGGCGCAAAAACAAATACGGGTCACTCAGGGTGAGTGCGTGAAATGGCTGCTGGCCAGCGCCCGCCGATAGCCCACGGGGGCGCTAAAAGCCTAAAAGGCGCTCCGAGGGGGGGGCGCTGAAAAATAAATAAAGCGCCCCGAATATGGGCATCGGCATGCAGGTAGTGGCTAGTGGCCGACGAGATTCCGAAATACTCCAAGCGAAGTAGTAACGAGTTGTAGGCTTAGGCTTGGCTTCGGCTTAGGTTTGGCTTAGACTTGGCTTAGGCTTAGGCGGTGGCTTATGCTTAGGTTTAGGCTTCGCTTCGGTTTGGGCTTAATCTTAGAACGTCGGCTTAGGCTTAGGCTTGCGTTTACGCTTCCGTTTGGGCTTGGACTTGGCTTAGGTTTGGCTTAGGCTTAGGCTGGAGCAGCGTTAAGCTTCGGTGACTTCGTCTAAACCTTGAGTCCGCTCAAGCTTAGATCTAGGCTTAGCTTTGGCTTAGGAGGCTTGGGATTAGGCTTAGGATACCTTAGTCATTGCTGGATTAATCTACTCCAATTTTCGGCTATTTATAGAGAGAGCGACGGAAAGAACAAGAAACGCCTCAATTTTCGCCTAAACAATCTAGAATTTTGTCACCAAACCAATTAAAGTACGCTACACTACGCTACGTTCCTCCGAACACCCACCCGTTTGGGGCATTAGCCAAATGTTGGGGACATAGCCTGGGGCAACGAGTGTGCATCGGAAAGCTGAAAACCAGTCGCCCCAGCTCTTCCCCCTCCCAGATGAGTTATGACTTTCCAAACCCGGGCTGGCCCCGCGGCGGCTTTTCCTTGTTTTTAGCTTCGAAAATTCACAAAATGATGTAAAAGCCGACTTCAGGGAGAGTCGGACCCGCCGGGATTTTTGGTGAGCTCTCGAAATTCGAGCCAACGCTACCGGAAGTGGCGGAAGAACCCGGAAAAACGCCAGAATCTGCGTTTGAAAAATTATTGGGGGAAAATTTAGAACCGAATGGAAAGAATTAGAAGGTCAAAACATCAGTAAGTTCTTAATTATATAAATTTTTGTAGTTTGTAGTCGCCCAGGTTTTAAAGGGACCAAGACAGCAAAAAAAATCAAGATTACGGTATGAAACCCTGAAAAAAAATGCACTTTCTAGTCTAAAAAAGCGGAAATATTCACCTCGAACGAAAATAGGCTTTAAAGGGCTGCCGACGGCATGTGTCGATCCCCCCCTCATCAACAAATTGGCAAGTAGCCAACAGGGGAGAGAGCGCGCCCAGGGGAGAGGCGCAGAGACATTTTCTTTTCCGCGCGTAACCGATTGACTATGCCGTCGGCATCCCTTTAAAGAAATGTGAAAGTCAAAATATATCCATTTACGCTAGGAAATACGTCCGAAAAAGTTGTAGTTCGTAGTGTAACTTCGATTTTCGAGTCAAAAAGTCCAAGAATTTCCGCTATTACGGCAAAGTGTCGGGGGTGTAGCGTTGCGGAATGCGATTCGTAGTGTCGTTTGGAGTGTAGCGGAGGTGGAGCTGGAGGGTGGGGCTTTTGCCTCTCTGTGAGGACGAGGTGTCAGCGCAGATCAAGTGGAAAAACGAATTTGGGGTGTTGAAGTGGGGGGCTTCTGCCCTGCCAGCTGGGGGGGATGGAACGGCTTTTCCGGAAGGAATTCCGGGATGCTACACGTTGCGAAGAGTTCAGTGCGTACAGCTTCGGAGTTTTACTCCAGTTCCACAAAGACGCAAAACTAAAACGATAAAAAATTCCACAGTACTACAGTACACACTACAGTACCCCAAGCAAACTTTGCGATATATCCAAAAAAAACCCCTAGAAACCAACCGGTCGGGTCGGGGTTGATCGTCAAGACGGGCGAGTACGGCCCGTAGCCCTTCATCGTGGCGGCGGCGACCTGAAAAGTGGGTTTTAAAGGAACTGTGAAGTGAAATGGAGCTTTTGAGGTGTCAAAACTTACCTTGAAAGTGTAGCTCTTGCGCGGCTCGATGTTGAAAACGGCCGCCTTGTCACTGCCAGCCACCTGGAAAAGATGGGTTTAGGAATGTTGCGGAATAGGAAATTGTAGGGCTGTCAGAAACAGGAACGAGAGAGAGAGAGAGAGAGAGAGAGAGTGAGAGAGAGAGCAAGATCCCAACAAAACCTAGTCCAAAAGCTGTAAGCTGCTACATTTTGGAAGAGGCTGAGTCTCCCCATGGCCTTCCAAAAGTTGTGAACAGATGTGATGTCCGCCCCGATACTCAAGACGCCTATTTGCCATTCGACACGCGAATTCGCTCGCCCAGAGGGGCCATCATCAAGCCTTGGACATATGCCAAAAGTTAGGAAGACACTTAGAACTTCTCTCTCTGCCTTTCTGACTAGTTCTCTCTCTTTCTCTCTCTCTCTCTTTCTCTCTCTTCCCATCTCGATGCACACCTCTACACGGTAAAAGTGCTTAAAAACTATAAAACCGCCCTACCTACCCGACGGCCCGAAAAAATGGCGGCATTTATCGGATTTCAGAGGGGGCCTTAAGAAAAATGGATGGCCCACAAGGAGACGAGCCGACACATGGCTATAAATTGGGCCCTTAGAAGGGCCCAACAAGGGACCACTAGGGTTGTAGATGCGAGAGAGAGAGAGAGCGAGAGAGCGAGTGATAGTGAGATAGAGAGAGAAAGAATGGCCCATCCAATTACTCACTTCAAGACTCAACCCCGGGGGCACGGCTTTTCTTTTCGAGCAACACAGCCCCTAAGAAGATGGCCACTACCGATTGTTGCACCTCTTTTTTGGGAGAGGGAGAAAGAAAGAGCGAAAGAGAGAGAGAGAGAGACCGGGTGAGAGAGAGAGAGCGAAAGAGACAACAATTAAAAAAATTAGAGGGAAGTCCAGAAAATTTCCTTAAAATCTTACGTATTAAGAATTAAGCTGTTTTTATGCATAGAAAGCATAAAAATTAACATCTTAAAGATACTTAGAAGCGGCAATTTTTCATAGATTACCCAAAAACTTCGAAAAAACGTAATTTTTGCTTAAAATTTTGCTCCCCAGATTCTGCAAATGTTGTAGATTTCCCATAAATATATCCACAAAAATCCATAAAAATTTCATGGGCCAAAATCGAAAGTCTATTTGCCTGGCAACGCGCCAAAGTTTGGGGGATGGGCCCCCGGAGGAGGGCCCACGGCATGTAAATTGCCCCCCTGGAAGGTGGGAATTAAGGGAAGGCAGGGATCAAGCCACTCAAGAAATGGCAATACGAATTTTAGAAAAATTGAACTGATGATTTTGATCTTTGTCAGTGTGTCAAAAATTAGGGATTGCCGTGGAATTTAATTTTTACAGGGAACCTAAAATATTTAGAAAAAGCAGTTTTTTATTTTAGAGGATTTTATGATACTACAGTATAATCTTTACAGTGGCCCGAAAAGCGACAAAACACAGCCTTTTTAGTAATTTTGAAAGTTCTACACTTTTATATTGCCAAATTTCTATATTATCGTAAACAATTAGAGGTAGTATGCGTAGGGTTTTACAGTACATCCGGTAAATCCGAAAAAATGCAACCATTTCCCAGCCGGTGGCGTCAGATTCGGGGTGCGGATTTCTGCCGGGCCGGCGCCGCGGTCAATTCAATTATCGGGTTCCCGGGGGTGAGGCCCGGAATGGGAAAATCTGATATTTTAGAAAGTGTAAGGAGGAAAAGGCGGAAACTGCAAAAACACCGCTAAAAAACTGCTTTAAAAAGGCTTGGAAGAAAAAGATTTTCAGAAATGCATAGAAGAGCGCGCGAGACAGGGTGAGGGAGAGAATGAGAGAGAAAGAGAGAGAGAGAGAGAGAGAGAGAGAGAGAGAGAGAGAGAGAAAAGCGGAGCCGGTGATAAAAAGAAGGAGCTTGAGAGTAAAATTTTGCCTTCCAAGTCTCTTTAAAAACACTCCAAATCTAAATTTGGTTATATAGCCGATTTCTTACGAGTAAAGGAGACCCAGCGAATGAGTGAAGCTGCCCTGCCCGACTTCCCTTCAATTTTCCCATGATTTTCAAGCGGGAAAGGGGGATAAAAAGTGAGGCGGTGAGAGAGAGAGGGTGAGAGAGAGAGAGAGAGAGAGAGAGTAGAGAGAGCAAGAGAGAGAGAGAGGGAGGGAGAGAGATGGAGAACACACCAATTTCCTGCGGGTAGCCCCCGTTGGCCCCGACAAACAAATATCCCCTAGGGGGGCCCACATAGCTTGGCCCATCGAGCATGACGGCGATGGGACGCGGCTCAATTTGAGGGCGAGATTTTTGAGGGGGAGGATGAGGTTATGAGGGTTTAAAGGGGCTGAGAAGGGTAAGAGAGAAGTAGTCAATTACACCAACCGTTTTCTCGACAGGTTGCCCCTCGGAGTGCATGGGAGTCAGAATGGCTCGGTAGGAGGTGATCTCGCCGTTTCGTCGCTCTTCTGCTGGCGGCTCCCACGAAATTCGCATCTGAAAATAGAAAATTGTGGTTTATTTGGTTTTTAAAAAGTGTTATTATGGGATTAATTACGTTAATTTTAATGCGATATTGTAAAAAAAATTAAATCTTTAGGAAAATTCCATAAGCCGATTGTTTCAACCGTATAAAAAATATGTTTAAAAAAATGTTTTAAAATTGTTTCAAAACTTTTTAAAAAAGTTTTAAAAAATATTGTAAAGGCGAATATATAGCCGGTGAACCTTCCTTGCTCCTTTAAGGACAGATACGCAAATCCAGGGCCGACAAGGCTTCCTAGTGCCTTTAAAACGGATTTTCCGTAAAAAATTTGGATGAAATGAGTGTTTAATCGCTTAGAAATATATTTTAAAGAGCGTAGCAAGGCAAATTTATAGCTATCTAAGCTACCTAAGCTAGAAAGTGTCTTTTAAATAGGACAGGAAGCCAAGTATATCGGCCGTATGTCTTGCAAGTTCCTTTAAAATTGTTTTTTTTCAGGAAATTTCGACAACCATGTGCCAATAGTATAATAATGTCTTTTAAAGGGACCAGGAAGACAACAATATGAGCCGTATGCCTTCCAAGTTCCTTTAAAAGCTATTTGCTGCGAAATGTCGACAATCAACTGTGTAAATAGTATAGTAATGTCTTTTAAAGGAACCAGGAAGCCAAATAAACGGGAAGTAAACCTTTCAAATTGCTTAAAATTTATTTTCTAAGAAATTTCGACGACAAAATGTGTCAATAGTATAGTAATGGAGTGCTTTGAGGGTGGATGAGTGTTCCTGACTCATCCCATCGACACCCCCAGCACCACGAGAAGCCCCCCCTCCGGCCAGGAAATGCCAACGACACATGGGGGTCTCTATGGCCGCCAGAAAGACGGAATGAAAGAAAGGTTATGGCCAACCCTCGGGGAAACTCTGGTGCTGTACCAACTTCACCACCACTAGCCCCGTCATTAAATTTTGTCGAAAATGACCCGCGGGATGGCCGATTTTCTCGCTTCCGGGGATCTTTAAAAGCCGAGAATCTGGTCTTTTTGCAAACTTTGTGAAAAATACGGTTGGTACAAACTACTTCCATAACAATTTTTAACTGAATTAATAAATTTTTTCGAAAATGACCTGGGTATACTGGCCGATTTTCTGGCTTCCTGGCACCTTTAAAGACGCGTAATTATTTTTATTTTATTCCTTTAAAATTTTGGCCATTAATGCGCCAAAATATTATCGAAATCTAAAAAAGTTTTCACATTTATGGTAGAAATTTCAATAAGTTTCAAGGTAAAACAGCGAAGTTACGAGCAGTTAAAGGTACACCCAAGTCGGAAAAGCGGCCAAATTCCCATTTTTAAAATTCTAAAATACTAAAGGCCCGTGCTATGTAATTTTCAGCCTTCTATAAATGTGCCATTAGTGCTGTATAAATTTTGAGGGCATGCGGGAAGGGCAAAAATTACAGCAATCGGGCAGGACATGCCCTCGGGCTCGCGGCTCAATTAATCTCGGATCATGGCCGGTGACGAGGCGAGTGAGTGATGGGAGATTGATGATTGGACAAGATGTAAAAAATCTCGAGATTTAAGGAGAGAGAGACAGAGAGAGAGAGAGAGAGAGAGAGAGAGAGAGAGAGAGAGAGAGAGAAGAAAAAAGCAAGATAGTCGTGAGAGACGATAAAACCGAGGAGATAGACAGAGAGAGAGAGAGAGAGAGAGAGAGAGAGAGGGCGAGAATGGCAGAGAGCGTAAGAGAGAGAGAGAGAGAGAGAGAGAGAGAGAGAGAGAGAGCGAGAGAGAGAGAGAGAGCGCGTGAGAAAGAGCTTCAAAATTACCATTACCTTCTGTGGCGGCGATCGAAAAACATTCTTCGACCTCGACAAATCCATCAAATTCGGCATTTTTTTCAAGCTCAGATATTTCAAGTTTAGAATAAAGTGTTCCCAGCGTTTCGTCGGAATTTTTAGTTGCCAGGCTTCGAATTGCACGTACAAATAGGCAGTGGAGAGGTGGAATGGATATCTGGACGGGGTTCGGCCAAAAAACCACCCGAAAAGCGGCTCAATTTCCCATTCCCGGCATCGAGTTGCCGGGCGGAATAACATGGAAAGTAAGTGGAAAATCGGCCATGGTAAAATTTGGAAAGTTAGCTAAAACATTACTGTAGGCCGGGCTACGGTAGAAATATTGTAATTTGTTGCAAATTTACTGCGTTAGCTGAGGCTTAGCTTAGGCTTAGCTTAGGCTTAGCTTAGGCTTAGCTTAGGCATAGCTTAGGCTTAGCTTAGGCATAGCTTAGGCGTAGCATAGGCTTAGCTTAGGCTTAGCTTAGGCTTAGCTTAGGCTTAGCTTAGGCTTAGCTTAGGCATAGCTTAGGCGTAGCATAGGCTTAGCTTAGGCTTAGCTTAGGCTTAGCTTAGGCTTAGCTTAGGCTTAGCTTAGGCTTAGCTTAGGCTTAGCTTAGGCTTAGCTTAGGCTTAGCTTAGGCTTAGACTTACAATTAGTCTAGATGTTTGCTCAAGCTCATGCTCACCTGTCCATCGGCGACTTCGTAGTGTACGCCCTGCGGCTCTGCATCCGGGGTCCCAATCGGTGTCACCAGCCTTTCGGTCACGTTAAACGATGCCCCCTCCGCGTTTTCGGCGCAGATCATGATTTCGTAGGTCTTGCCGAGCCATAGTCCTGGAATTTAGTTTAAGGCGTTAGGGACAAAAGCGGGTACCTGTTAGCCAGGCCTCCGTTTCGGTACCGTTGACGACGAGTTTTGTGTACTCCTTGCCCTCGACGCGGTACCATAAGAGATATCTGGAATTGGGAAGGATTAAGACGTTTCAGAGAGAGCGAGAGAGAGAGAGAGAGAGAGCAAGTGTGAGCGAGAGCGAGAGTCGATTAATTCCAAAACCCACCTATCCACCGGCTGCTCATGCGAACTCTTCAACTCCGGCGTGGCCCAAGATACGCGAGCTTTCACCGGATACCCATCCGGATCCCTCGGCTCCACCGAAACGGAGACGATTTGCGGAGGCGGTGGCGCTAAAAAAGCTACCGTGTCGTACTGAAGCGTATCCTTACGTATCCCTCCAGTCATGATCGTTCGGCTCTCCGAAAATTCGCCATCGCCATGTCTATTAAAAGCATTGACGCGGAACGCGTACTCGGTGTTCGGTTCTAGGCGCTCGACGATGAACTCGGTTTTCTGGAATGCAAAATAGTGAATTCCCTAGCTTTCTCGCTCGCGCGCGCTCTCTCTCTCTCGCTCTCTCTTTCGCTCATCCTTCTCTCGCCCTTTACCTCCGGATCTTGAATTGCGGCCACTTTGTGTAGTTTGTCATGCACCGGCACACCGTTCACGAGCTTCTCCTTGTAGACGTAGAATCCACGGAGGGCCCCGTTTGAAGATATTGGCGCATCCCACTGTAGTCGCGCCTCATTTGCATCTGTCAATTCCACGCGAAGATTCAGGGGAGGAGAAGGAACTAGAAAATTTGATTAAGCCAATTTTTTGGAACCACCCATTTTTGCTTTTTTTACTGATTTTCATACCGATTTTTTCGGGTTTTTTGGAAAGTTGCCAGTCCCTTTAAACCCTCAAAATTTTTTTAGACGCTAATTTGCATAATTTAACCCTTGTCAATCCCTTTATATGCGGACCCGGGGATGATTTTTGCCGACAATTTGGCCAGGCAAGCTAGCAGCGATCCTTAAGGAATTTTTGGCCTCATTTTAGAGTCCCTTTAAAGTGCTGACATCCGGTGCCCTGAGCCGGCAGCATGTTTTTCCGGCCTCCGTCCATCTGTTTGCCCCCGTTGGCTAATGGCCCTTGACCCAACCCGGGCAAAAGGATCATAGGGGAGGAGACCCCCCGAGGGAAATGAGTAAGGAGCTGCAGATCCGGATATGGGCAAAATTATATATGCAAATTAGGTGGGGGATGAAGTCAAAGGGGCCGCGAATGGCTGTGATTGGATGCTGGGAAATTACGAATATCGCTTGGTACAAAATCTTGCTCTCTCTCTCTCACTCCCTCTCTCTCTCTCTCTTTCTCTAACGCTCTCTCTCTCACTCCCTCTCTCTCTTTCTTTATATCTCTCACTATCGTAGTATATCTCTCTCTTTTCTCTCTCATTCTCTTTGTATCTCCCTCTCTCTCTCCCTATCTCTTTCTCTATAGCTCTCTCTCTCTTTCTTGATCTCTCCTATCGTTGTATCTCTCTCTTTTCTCTCTCATTCTCTTTGTATCTCCCTCTCTCTCTATCTCTCTCGCTCTCTCTCCCTCTCTCTTTCGCTCTCTCTCTCTTTCTCACTCGCTCTCTCTCGCTTTATTTCAGTCTCTCTGGCCTGCATTTTATTAATATTACATTTTCCACAATTCTACACATCCACCCTCTGCGGGTGGGTCCCGTAAATATTTGCTAGCGTGGGAATTTTTTTGCGGGCGTGTGTGGTGGTGACACGGGTATCTCTAGCGCCGCGTAACGCATAATAATGGACCGATGGGAATTGGGCTGCATTTTAGAGGGGCTATATGCAATTTTGCCGTGTTAAAGGGGCTGGGACAGCTAGTTTCTAACCCGAAAAAAGGCTTTAAAAAGTCAGAAAAAATATTTTCTAGTGATTGAACAGAGCCGGAAGACATTTTTTGCAGATTTTATCTTAAAATGCCAATCTAATATTTTCAGAAATTGCCCTGAATTTAAAGGCGGAGGGGCAGCTATCTTTTTAACCCAAAAACAACCAAAAATCGGCAGAAAATCAATTTTTTTCGACGTTTCAAGGGACCGGGAACCTATTTTTCGGCATATTCTTACTCTATTTTCTTTATCTCTCCTGACCTTCCAAATTGACCACTAGCTGGTCGGTCTCTTTTTTATCTGAAGTGTGACCCCTCCTGGCCGATCCGCATGTGCCCTGGGGTCACGAAAATATCGATCGACCCGGGGTGGGCGATGGTGCAAGAGTGCCATTGTTCGACTCAATGGCCAGGGCATCGAGGCCACACACCATAATTATCCAGCCTTTTATGGGGTTATAGACCGGCTGATGGCTACGTTATGATCCTATTTACAGGCGAATCGACCTTTTAAAGGGATTGGCAAGTGAAAAATGGGGGGATTCCTAGGTTTTCCCAGCTATCAATTTGCATCCAGCCCCTCTGGGTGAAGCATTGGCTAATAAGTGAGGTGGGAAAGGGGGGCCGGCGGTGGAGAGAGAGAGAGAGAGAGAGAGAGAGAGAGAGAGTGAAACCTCACAGCTGACCAAGAAAGGAACAAAATCCGGGGCACCCTCGATGGGTACGAATTTTCAGGGCCTTAGGGAGTAAATTTGATGGGCAGGCGAGCAGAGATTCCTTGGGAGCGATAGGGGAAAAATTTTACCGATTACTTTAAAGCGCAGTAAATTGTAAAAAGTCTACTTTCCTAAACGAGCTCTGCTAGACTGCTCGATTTTAGAGCTTTCGATTCCCTTTAAAGGCTTCCAAAACACGACGAAAAATTTCCTAAAAAAATTCTGCTAGCTTGCCATGTCCCTAGGGTTTCCCATCGCACTAAAAAACGGAAATTTCAAAAACCTCGGTTTTGCTCAAGGGTTTTGGCTAGTTTGTCCAATTTTCGGGTTCGGCATGTTTTTCTTGCATTAGCCTTGCAAAAGGAATTTCCTGAAGGATCTCTGCTAGTTACCCAGGTCAGTTTTCCCAAAAAATCCCCGCACGTTCGCTTTTTACCCTTTCCGGGGGATTCGGCTCACATCCTGGTCAGCCATTTTTCGGCCTACTCGGCTCATAAATTTCAGGAGAGAGATAGAGAGAGAAAGAGAGCAAGCAAGAGATACAGAGAGAGACGACATGTTCAGATCATTTCGCAGTCGACTGGTCAGCCGATGCGGGACATTTTGAAAGGATGCTGGGGTTGTCACTTGCATCCCGCTCCCCCGGAAAGGGTCTGTGCATAGGAGCTTCTCGTAGCTAAGGGGATAAAGCCGTGCAGTGGCCGTCAAATGGCCCCAGGGGAGGGGAGGGAGGAATAACCCGTTTACTCGACACAATGCTGCTCCTAGCTTTCCGGGAGGCTTCTTCCTCTACTAGTGGGGTCCCGCCACGAAGGAAGTCGGGTGGAAAATGAGTCGGGATGGATGGAGTAGTTTTTGTTAGTGAAAAACTCTTGGAGGGGCAGAGAGAGAGAGAAAGAGAGAGAGTGAGAGAGAGTGAGAGAGAGAGAGAGAAAGAGAGAGAGCGAGACTAGAGAAGTCAACTGGCATAGATTCTTGGGGAAATCGAAGTGGCCAAGTGGTTTTCGTGGAAATGAAAAAGCCTGGCTGTAAACGCCAAAGCTCTTTAGAAAGAGAGTGAACCAAAGCGATAGATATAGAAGAGAGAGAAAGAGAGAGCGAGAGAGAGAGCGAGAGAATGAAAGATAGAGAGAGAGAGAGCTAATCAGAGGAAGCAGCAAATTACAATCATCCAAATAACGTAAACACCCCAAAAAAAATCACCTTTCCGCCGCTTTGCATGCACCCCGGCCAGGTACAGGCTGAGAAAAATCAGAATAATTTGCGTTTTCCGGCTCATCTGCGGGCCATAAATCGTGGAATACGGTAGGAAAAAGCCCTGAATTTGTCAGAAAATCGCATATTGAATTCAGAAATTCAGAAAAACAAGGAATTAGGAAAATCTAAAAATACCAAAATTCGCACAAGAATGAGTGGAAATTCTTTGCGAGGGGCTAGAAAATACAAATTTGCATATGCTAGTGGTTTAATCAAGAAAAATCCAGCGAAACCACAGAAAAGATAAGAAAAATTAGGATTTTAGGTTTCCACGTTCAGAAATTAACGCGTTTGCAGGAATAATTTGAGATAACTAGGCAGTAAATACAAACGTTAAAATTATTAATAGAATTAGCGCTTATATATGCAAATTTCCGGGCGGCTAGTGGCCACCGCAATCGGGTGGGGGTGGTTGCATAGTGGTTGGGGGGGGGGATGTGGCTCCGTATTTGGGGGGAGGGGCTAGGAGAAAGAGAGCGGGAAAGGGAGGGTACCATGGGGAAGAGGGAGAGAGATAGAGAGAGAGAGAGAGATTTTTTGGCTGGAATGGTGCCCGGTCGAGGCCGTCCAGTCATCACCTCCCCCCTTTCATCATGTTGATCCATAAATTGGCACCCACCCAGTCAACGGCCCGGGGAATAATTTTTTGGATCTGGATAAAAATTGGAATGACCGGATTTTCGAGCAATTTCTCTCGCTCGCTCTCACTCTCTCACTCACTTTCTTTTTCGCTATCTCTCTCGCTCTCTCTAACCCGCTCTCACTCTCTCTCTCATTCTCTCTAGCTCTCTCTCTCTATCTCTCTATCTCTCTAGCTCGCTTTCTATCGCCTTTATCACAACTTACGCGCCAAATATGCAAAAAAGTTCATAAAAGCACTACCGACTAGGGCCCTATCGTGGGCCCTAAGGGCCGCGGGAAGAGTTGTCCGGGTGCGTGCGGCGTGTAATTAATTTAGGGGCCCATGAAGTGGGCACAAATGAGCCGGACTCCCGGGGTGGGCTCCCGGGCACTGGGAGCCCCAAACTTTTTAGGGCCCAGACGTGGTTGGGCCATTTTGAGGGGCATTTGGCAGCGTGGCAAAAATAGTCGAAAATGGTATGTGGAGAGAGCTAGTGAGAAAGAGTGAGAAAGATCGTGAACCTCGAAGAATAAGCGCTCAATCACCGGCCCGGAAATCTGGCGGGATGTGTCGGCCGGGCCCAAGAAAAAGGATTATGCAAATTAGGGATCGACGGGATAGTGAGAGAGACGCAGAGAAATAGAGAGGGACCAGCTGGATGGGCTGTTATAAGGAGCCGAGATTATTGAGAGTGGAGGGCACGGCATAACAGGAGCTCAATTTCCACCCAGCCCCTTTAGGAGGCCATCTGGTGCGGGTTTCCGGGTTTTTAGGAACAAACGGGTGGTAGGCCGAGACGGATGAGGCGTTCTAACCTTTTTAAAAGTTTAGAATTTAGAATCTAGCTTTCTCTCTCGCGCTCTCTCTTGCTCTCTTCTCGCTCTATCGCCCACTCTCACTCTCTCTCTCGCCCGCTCTCACTCTCTCACTCACTCTCTCACTCACTCTCTCTCCCCCGCTCTCTATCTCGCTCTCTCTCCGTCTCTTTCTCCCCAAATCAAAAATCGTAAAGCCAAAATTCAGAAATCCCGTTTTGAGATCCAAACCGAACGGCCGACTACAAATGACGGCGCGTAGGAAAAGTGAGTGTGGGAATGAGAAGGCAAGGCCCAATAGAGGACCCATGGGTCCTCCCCCTCCCCTCCTCCTCCTCGTTCTCCGCGTTGTCGTGAATTATGTGGCGGGTAGGGGGCGAACGTCGAACGCCAAAACAACGAATTCCGTCCCAGGGCCCCGGCCACGATTTCAGAGCCGACTGGAATTTGGAGGGAATTGGAAATAGGCGAGGATTCTACGGGAATTTGGGCGCTTAAAGGGACTAGGAAGTCAGCAAAAATGCTCAAAAATATTGTCAGAGAGCGTACTTTTTCCGTATCGTAATTTTGACTTTTAAACGCCTTTAAACCCTTCAAAAACATCGTTTAATTGTGCTTTAAATAGACGAAAAAGATGTTCTTCTGCTGCCCTTCAAAATTAGCATAAAAATTGCGAAAGCGCGTGTGTACTGTATTTAAAGGGACCGGGAAGATAGTGAACGGAATTTCACCGCTAGAAATGAACATAAAATCAAGCGTACGAGAGTTTCCTATCGACACCTGGGCGGATAACAAAAGGCCATCTCCAGGGGCGAGCAGTAGTATCCATCGGGCCAAGGCACGCTAATTACTGGGCGGCGACGGCAACTTCGAACTCCCGTCGCGCGAAATTCGAGACGAAATGAAGGGGGTGAGAGAGAGAGAGACAGAGAGAGACAGAGAGAGAGAGAGAGAGAGAGAGAGAGAGAGAGCGAGAGAGATCCCGAGTGTGCTATGTAGAACAATGCGCTCATTCACGTCACACACCCATACCCAAATATTCGCCCCTTGGGAGGTTACGCAGTAGGGAGTCGGGCTTAAAAGTCGTATTGTTCCGTGTATGTGCATTTTCGGAGAAAGGATATATATGCAAATATTGAGATTTTAAAGGTATTGGAATACGAAAATCTGCTCAAAAATTTGGACATTTGAAAGCGCGAAAAACACAAAAATTTGCATAAAAAAATGGCGTAAAAATCCAAATTTTTTAGTTTTTGAAGTGCTAACCGCGTTAAAATTACTTTAGAATTAGCATACCTACCACCAAATTTACTGTAAATTTTTATAGAATTTCTTTTAAGTAAAAAATTCGGGCTAAAAGCTACCAAAACCCAAAAAATTCCATTATTCCCCGATGGCAAAATTCGGTCTCATGAACTTTTTAGAACGTTAAAAATATGCAAATAACTTTTTAGAGGCATTCGCAACTTTTTAAAAATCCACCAGAATTACCGTAACCCAAAAATCAAAAACCCGAAAAAAATCCAATTTTCCCGCCACCACTCCCCGAAACGACACGACATTTTTGTACCAACCTGGCGTCACCGTTTCGCCGGCTACTGAAAAAATTTGCATTTTATAAAATGTCCATCAGCACGTTAGAATATCAAAAATGACAAGTACACAACACTACGATATTACGATAGATTTACAGGACCCCAAAGTAAAATCAAAAAATTAAATTCGTTACCGGTCTCCAGCGTCCGGGCGGTTTTTGAGTTGCTCTCCCGGCCCATGCCCTTCTTCGACATCCCGGCTACGGTAACCTCGTAAGTAGTATCGGCGCGTAGTCCTTCTAGCGTCGTAGTTCGCGAGTTTCCGAGGATCTCCAGCGTCTCCCATTCCAACGGCTTTCCATTTTTTGGCTTTTTCGATTTCGGGCGTTCAATGGAGTCCTCATCTTCGTCAGATTTTTTCGAAGAATCGGTGATTTGTCGGTATTGGAGTCGAAAGCCCGTGATGGAGTCGCTTTTGGCAAGTTGCCAAGTGGCGGTGAGGGTATGTGGGGAGTCGGAGGTGAGGCTCAGGAGTTTCGGCTGAGGGACGGGGGCTGGAACACGATACAATACGACACGATACGGTACGGTATGAAGCCATACGAAACGATACGCTAGGATACGATTCTACTTCGAGAAAGCCACGGCACTGAACGCTACGAAATGGCGCTACAAAGTACGCTACGCAACGGCACTATACGATACCAAGATTGGCCCGATACGACATATTGCGAAAAGGTACGCTACGTGTGCTACGCGGCGATACGGTTTAGGTATGATATTTTACGCAATGCTCCGTTACAATACGACCAAAAGTGATAACTGTGCAAAAGAGATGGGGAAAACTGACCACTGGGGAGCGTCTGAGCAACTACGGTAGGGCAGAACGGTCCACGGCCGCGTTGCGTCTCTGCGGCGACCCTAAAAATTTAATTAAAAATATGTAAAAATTAAAGTTAATAAACCAACTTATAAACTTATAAAAATGAATTAACAATTTAAAACTCAGAAAAATTATCAGCGCTCACCGAAAAGCGTAGTAAGTGTTTGGGTCGAGGCCGGTGACCGTATACTTCTCCTGGGCTGTGGTGAGGGTCAGTTCCTGAAAAATTCCGATAAACTCCAAGTAAGTACTGTACACATTACGCTAGCTACAGTAGCCTGAAAAACTAACCCTTTCCCCGTCGGTTCCGTTCATCCAGACGACGTAGCGGAGTATCGGTTGTACCTGGAAAAATGCGTAGTCGTGAGTACTGGAAGGAAATTTCCAAAAATGATGGTTCCAATCCCATAAACTTGATTTCTAGCCGTTTAAAGGAACTGGGAAACCAAAATCCACTAAAACCATGCTCGCTAGGTCCCTTTAAGGCCAGAAAATTACCTGAAGTGGCTGCTCCCAAATCAGCTGGATACTTCGCGAGTCCTGCGCCTTCCCGACGACGGCTTGAGGCTGGCCGGGGACTGAAAAAATGAGTCAAAATTAGCTTAAAATTTAATTCTTACTGCCTTGAGTAGTGATTACGGTGGCCTGCTGGCTCAGCGGGCTTAGGCCTTTCCGGTTTCGGGCCTGTAAATGGGTTATATGGGTCCATAAAGAAAACATGGTTATGATTTGATGGATTCTCTACGGAGGAGCGTGGCACGCAACCCGCTACCTAACAAACGCGATACCTAATGCGCAACGTAACGCGACACGCAACGCGGTACGTAACGTTTTAACGCGATAAGCCGCGCTCTTTGTAAGACGACACGATCGCGATGCGCAACGCCGCAATGCGGTACGAAACGCAACACGCCACGCGATGCGTAACGCGCCGTATAACACGATAAATGACGCGTCGCCGCGACACACAACGCTCTTTGTAATGCGGCACGCGCGATACGCAACGCGCCGTGTTTCGCGATACACGCCGCGGCACACGAAGCCACACGCAACAAGATTCTCGGGTTTTGGCTTAAGCCTCCAAATTTTTACCAAAAATTCGCCACAAATTTGCTGACCTGCACGTGCAAGTAGTAGATAGCGTCGATTTTGAGCTCGTGCAGCTGTGATGGCGGTTGGCCGGTGACTTCTTTCTAAAAAACGAATAAAATGGCGAAAAATTCCGAGACGTTCCGTCTGGATTCCGGATTCCGTCAGAATACTTTTCGCGGAGCGCTCGGGAATGCTTGCCGGTTCTTAGATTTGGCCTGAAACCCGATAGCCGGAGGGCAAATTGGGCTGGGCCTTTTTTGTCGGAGGATATATTCGGAATTCCAAGGCGCTACGTTCCGTAAATTGTCAAAAACGTACCGTTTGCCACTGTTCGATGGGGGCATTTTTGTCCTTGTCGGTGTAGAGGATCCGGTAGCCGATCGTTTCGCCATTCGGATGCTCGCTCGGCTCCCAGGTTACGTAGATCGCTCCACGATTCATCGCACGGGCTTGCACCTAAAAAAGCACGGTAATCCGGGCAACAAAAATTTAAAAAACTTAAAAAAGTAAATTATCGGGGGAGGGCTTTTTAGGATCTAATTTTTTAATATGTAAGTGTAGATATAATGAAATTTTGTAATTTGTATTTTATCATTCTTAAACGCAAAAACTTTACAAATTTTTCTCAAAATCTAGAAAAATATCGATTTTTCGACCAAAAATGGCCGTTTTTGCGCAAAACTTCGACTTTTCGAAAAATTTTCAAGTTTTTTGATAGTTTCTCTAGTTTCGATACAGCCGTTTTATTTCGCTAAAAACATTATGAAAACACTTTTAATTAAGTCAATAGACATTTCTAGATTAATACAAAAAAAATTTGCACCCCCCGATAACGCAAAAGAACCGCTTAAGAAGACATTTAAAAGAAAAAATCCCTCAAAAAAACTTGCTATGCCCAAAAATTTTTTAAATTTGCCTTGACAGTCCCTTCAAAATATACCTTTCTGGGCGGTGTACTCGGAGCGGCTTCAGCGGTTTGCGCCTCCCTTGGTGGTGAAGGATTTCCGGGCCCGATATTGTTGACGGTAGAGATCGTGAATTCGTACAACTAAAAAGGAAAATTTAGGCTTTGATTGCCTCAAGGATCTTCGCTAGCTTTCCCGAACAAAATTCCATCGCTAATTCCATACCGTAAACGGTTCCAGGTCGCCAATCGTCGCTCGCAACAACTCCGGCGAGATTTCCTTTACGCGAAATTTCGAAGAGTCGCCGTATCTGGAAAAAGAAGTTGAACATAGATACAGTAGTCCGAGCCAAACGTTTTTTGAGGAGTTACCATAATTTCCCTTAAACGTGACCTTTTTAGTTGAATTTAGAAGTGTTTGAACCTTTTTACGAGCTAAATTGAATAGTTTTGATGGCTAAATTTGAATTAAATTTTCCCCTAATTAAATTCATAAAAATTCATGCACGAAAACCACAAGCACGAGCCGGAAAACTTACTGGGTTGTCGACTCGGCTCCCCCAGCTCGTGGGCCTTTTCTGGAAATAACACAATGGTTAGAAAACACATGCAAATGCGGCGAGAGAGACAATGAGCGAGAGTGAGAGTGAGAGAGAGAGACAGGGAGAAGGAGCGTGAGAAAGAGAGAGGGAAAGAGAGAGCGAGAGAGCGAGAGAGAGTGAGTGAGAGCAAGATTGATGAGAGAGAGTAAAAAATTTAGGGCTTAATGTATTTTCAAATCGCAAAAACGCATGCCAAAGATCATCTTAATATCGACAGCACACCATTCATAAAATATAAATTCCAAATAATTACTTTTGACGGTATTTGACGATGTACTTGACGACCTCTTCGCCGTCGGGCAGTTTTGGGGCATGCCAAGCCAAAGTTACGGATCCACCGGTGACTCCATCGACTCGAAGAGCTGAGGGAGGGGGAGGAGCAGCTAAAAAAAAGGTTTGGTGGATCATGGATGGCAGAAAGATTCGCAAAAAATTCATGTTACGTGCCCAGATTTCAAAGAAGAACCTCTGCTTGCTTGCTAGAATCTAGAAAATTCAGAAAAACTCAAGGATGCTGCCAGTTTTCCCGTGTCTGTAAGACCTACAAAAGCCAAATAAAAGGATTCCCCCGATTCCCGAAGAACCTCTGCTTGTTCGCCCTTCAAAAATGGTAAAAACATTTTTAAAAATTTTTTTAAACCCACGTCTCGCCTCGACGGTCGTCGTGGCCTCAATATTGCCGAGTTTGCTGACCGCGACGCATGTGAAATTCTCCGATCGCTCGACAGCGCTGAGCGTCAAGATATTCTTGCCAATTGGGGCGGTCAGCGGGTCGCCAAGGGCTACTAAAACGTCGAGAAAATTAAAATAAGAAATGTTAAAACGGACGAATGGCAAAAATGGAATTTCTGCAATTTAAGAACTAATTTAATTACAAAAACAAAGCTTACCGTCTCCGCTTTTTCTCCAGAATACCCTTGGCATGGGGTAGCCGACGGCGACACACGTCAAATTCAACCCGCCGCCCTGGTGTACACGGTACTGCTTCTCCAGCTTGAACGAGAAGTAGGGAGGGACGCGACGGACTGAAAAATAAGATGTCTTATTGGTGCTTAAAGTACGCGGTTTCCGCAACTTTTGTGTTGTTTTTTCAAGGGCCCGTCAAAGCATAGCTATGGATTTTTGTCGATCCAGATCGCACTAAATTTTTACGCGCCGCGACACGTGACGCGTACGCCGATGGGGCTTGGGAAGGAGCTTGTATTCCATTACGTATTGAAAATTATTTTCGCGCGTTGCGGGTCGCGGAGTTACTGGTCGCATTGCGGATCGCGCTTCGGGCGCGTTGCGGGTCTCGGTGCGGCAAAATTCGAGGAATTATTAAGGCTTTGCCCGTCCCCTTTAAAAGCCCTATGAAGCCAGCAGCAGCTCATTCATATTTTTGTGCTAATTTATCTCCCATTGCCTCCTATACCGGTATATTCTTTCTCGGGATGCGGCTTCCCAGCCCTCCTCGCATCTTTCTGATTATTCGCCGGCTCATGGTCGATATTCTCGAATATATGCAGTGGCAGGGTGTTGCCGAGGAACGGCTCCACCACCCCGCACAGTATCGCGAGTGTACACAGGAGTGGCGTGTAGTTGTTGAGCATCGTACGGCATTAGTACATGGGCTGAGAAAATTCGGTAAAAATGGCAAAAAAAGAAGAAAAATGAGGAGAACTGGATATAGAATAACTTTAGTAAAGTAGGAGCCAAGTCTGAGCCTAAGCCTAAGCTAAGCCTAAGCAAAACCTAAGCTAAGCCTAAGCTAAGCCTAAGCTAAGCCTAAGCTAAGCCTAAGCTAAGCCTAAGCTAAGCCTAAGCTAAGCCTAAGCAAAACCTAAGCTAAGCCTAAGCTAAGCCTAAGCAAAACCTAAGCTAAGCCTAAGCTAAGCCTAAGCTAAGCCTAAGCAAAACCTAAGCTAAGCCTAAGCTAAGCCTAAGCTAAGCCTAAGCTAAGCCTAAGCAAAACCTAAGCTAAGCCTAAGCTAAGCCTAAGCCAAAGCCTAGGCCAAGCCCAAGCTAACCCTAAGCCAAGCCTAGGCCTGGAAACAAAAAAAAAGATAAAACTTGAAAAGTTGAAAAATAAAACCGTCGAAATACGGAAAAATATATGGATAATTTTTAAAAATTCTAAACGATAATAATTCAAAAATGCTCGATTTCCAGGTGAGACGAGGGGGAGGCAAATGGGGCAACGGCCGATTAAATATTCGAGGAAAACAGCCGCTCCGGGGCCCCGTCCGGGGCGCCAACATGAAAAATGGGGCCCATGATTTTTGGGGCACCAGGGCAAAGGTGTGGGGATTGATTGGGGTTATAAAACAATATTAAAAACGTAGTAAACAAAAAGTTAGGTCAGGGAATTGAGTTTAAAGGAATAAGGAAAGTAGGAAAATTTTAGCTTAAGCTTCGGCTTAGGGTAGGCTTAGCTTAGCATCGCGTAGGGTTAGGCTTTGGTTAGGCTTAAGCTCAAGGCCAAGCTTAGCTGAAGCTTGGGGTAGCTTAGGTTTACATCAAATGAGCGCCAACTAGCAGAGAATCGAATGGTGCCCCGGGTAGGCCCGAAATCGAAGGGTATTCCGCGCGACGGCGCCATTCGACCGTGGCGAATATGGGGCGCCCCATGAATGCTTGGACACACCATTTTGGACCCATTTTGGGCCATGGGCCCCTGCTTAGGGCCCAGCCCCGTCGGGCCGTGCTTTTGCCATGGGAACATCCAGTCGGATTGCTGTCAAACGGCGGGGGCAGCTGGATTCAAATGGTGGTGTTCTGGTTTTTAAGCTCAGGTGCCTAAGCTTAAGATGAAGTGGTTGTAAAAAATCGCCAAAAACGTAAATTAACGCAAAAATTTGGGCATTCCTGGGTTGTCAAATTTTTTCGGCTAATGAAGTGTGTGAAAAACTATCGGAAAAATTTGCTATTTTTCAGGAATAGGTATCAAGCAAGAAAAGTGAGGCGGTGGATGAGGGGGGCCCATAATTAGACGCTTTTGGGGGGTGCCGGGTGGAAAGGCATCGTATCAAGTAAGGAAAAGGAAAGGAAGGCCCAATGAAGGGAATGGGGCATCTGTTTGGCGTTAGATTTCTTCGTCAGCTTCTTCTCCTCGCCCCCGAGAAGCCCCGCTCGAAACTCATCCGGCCCCCTCCCCTTCCCTGGCCCTCCCGTATGCAAATTGGAGTGTGGCGTGTTGGCCCCCGACCCCGGGGCCCACCCCTGGGCCCCTGGGCCACACGGTAAAAAGCGTCAATTGGAGCTCGCCGTGTACACCAGTCGTGTGTAAAACACATGTCCGGAGATCGGAAATCCCATTCTGAGCTACGGGCGGCGTCACTTTTCAGGCTGGCCATGGGGGGTTATGCTAATTAGTTATCGGCTCTGGTTTAAAGGAGATTTGAGGGAGAGAGAGAAAACGAGAGAGAGAGAGAGAGCGAGTGAGAGTGTGCTAGAGAGAAAGAGAGAGAGAGAGAGAGAGAGAGTGAGTGTGAGAGAGAGCACAGATTCCTTAGGAAATCTAGAGGACAAGTAGCAAAGATTCTTTAGGAGCAAGAGAACGCAGCGACGCCGAGACAGGTTAGGAAATGGAGCTAGAGCTAGAGCAATTTTTGAGAAAATTTCTCTGAAGGGCCAGCTAGCAGTGATTCTTGAGGAATTTTGTTTCAGGTGGCAATCTAGCAGTGAGAGAATTCGCTTTTAAGGGGCAGGCTAGCAGAAATTTTTTGAGGAATTCGGTGAGTTACAGTCTAAAGGCGGCAAGCTAGCCGAGATTTTTGAGGAATTTTGTATCAAGTATCAAAGCTTCTTTACGCGAAAAATCAGACCTATTCAAGGTTAAACAGGGCAAGCTAGCAGAAACCCTTTGCCCACCCGAATCAAAGGACAATGAAGTACTGGCCGAGAGAAACGGCGAGAATTGGTCGTTTTCGTGGCCTTCGAAGGCGGGAAAGGCCCGGCGTCTCGGAGACAAAACGGATTACCCTCTTCGCGGCCAGTTTTGAGGGGGCAGCAACAGCAGCAGGCGGTCAACTTTAGAATGGCTAAATAGTCGGCGGGAACCTCCTTGAAAGGGTACAAAGTCTTGGAGAAAAATCAGCGTTCGTTTTGTTTTTGGCGGTTCTTTTGCATTATCAGGGGGGCTGACGGGAGGGCATTATACTTCCGATCCAATTTTAATACGAATTACGTACACGTTTCGGCATTATTTTTCCAAAGTAAGTATTTTAGAAATTTTACAAACAAATACCAAAATTTCGATGCTAAGATGGCCGATTTTCGATAATTTTTAACTTTTTCAAAACTGTTTAGGCTTGCTAAGCAGACTAATGTAACGTTAAATGCGCTCCCCTAGCATCCCGCGGCTCTCCATTAATTTTAAGCGAGTGCATAATAAATACAAACTCTGGAAACGCTGGAAACTTTGCCTTCAATGCTCCTTTAAAATAGCTTGAAACTGTCAAGGCAATGTTTCAAAAGTTGGCCGGCCAATGGGAGGGGGAATTGAAATGCCAGATGTGAGGCTGTGGATTTGGATAAACGAACGGAATGCAATGGAACGGAATGAATCGACCATATGCAATTGGGTGAGAAATGGGGGTGGCCGAATAGCGCTCCGGAACGTTCCGGTGGTCGATTGACAAAAAATTAGCGATTTGTCAAAGCGAGAGAGAGAGAGATAGAGAGCGAGAGCGAGAAAGGGCGAGAGATAGAGGGAGATAGAGATAGAGTTAGAGAGAGAGCAAGATTTTTAATGGATCTTCCAATAATGGCACAAGAATGACAGCCAAAAGCGCCAGAAGCCTACCAATCCCGGCTATCCCACCCAGTTAGCCAGCTAGAGGCTGGGCTGGATTATGCAAAAAGTGGTTGATAGCCTGGGAAGGGGGAATAGCTTAAGAGTGCCTACAACCTAATCGAATCATCCATTTGCTGGGACACATCTCTCTCTCACTCTCTCTCTCTCTCGGTCTCTCTGTCTCACTCTTCTTCTCTCTCGATCTCACTCTATCGCACTCTCTCTCTCTTTCTCTCTCTCCCTCTCCTTCTCGATCTCACCCTATCTCACTCTCTCGCTCTCTCTCTCACTCTCCCTCTCTCTCTCTCTCTCGATCTCATTCTATCTCACTCTTTCTCTCCTGTCTCTCTCTCACTCAAGCTATAAAACTCTAGATCAAATTTGCATATTAACGATATTTTTTGGGCATTCTTAAATAAATTTTCCAGAAAAACCGTAAATTCGCGAGCAGCTGTACTCGCGCAGATTTCACATGCAAACGAAGGGCAGCCACCGGCGGGGGGGAAAGTGACATTACAGGGGATGTTCAATTTTATGACCCGCACCGGGCAGCAGGGGTTAGTGGTTCCAGATGTGCGCAAAATAGAGCGAGAGAAAAGCAGGCTTGACCATGCCGTCTAGAGTACAATTGCGCAGGCCCGGAAAAATGAAGCAGGAGGATTTTTAAAGGGGCCGCGACCTGGAGTAAGCGGAAACTCATAAAAATTGGCATACGCAACCGATTACGCTGCGTAAAAAGTTCTGTCAAACCGGTGGCGTCACGAAAAATTCTGTTTAAATCTAATCTATCCGAAAATGGCCTAAGGAATCGATTACGCTATGTAAATAATCTTTTTTAATCGATTACGCCATGTAGAGGGAATTTTCGCGCCGATTACGCTATGTAAATCACCAACGATTACGCAGTTAAATCTTAGCCACAAAATCGATTTAGCCGTGAAAAGTAGCCTCATTAATTTTTTATGCACTTGGAAAGGGCTAAAGAATCGATTACGCGATGAAAAATCGGGCTAGATAATCGATTACGCTACAAAAAATGCAGGATGATCAATTACGACATGGAAAACAAGGACTTAATCTATTACGTCATTAAATTGTACTTTTCAGCTCCGTTAAAAAATGGCCCAGAGGGAGTTTTTTCCGTTTTTTGTGGTTGCTGGGTGGGAAATTGAAGGGTGTGTGGCTGGGACGATAAAATGGACGTAAATTTGTCACTGAGCCAAGGCCAGGGGGCTAGCGACACACCCTCCTCTCTATCTTTTGCACCCCAAAAAACCCGAAAAAACAGCTGGTTGCCCAATTTGCATGCAGATTTATTGAAAATTCTAGGGCAGGCTAGCTAGCGGTGATTCTTGGGGAACTTTGGGCTGAAATTTTTTAGAGGCAGGCTAGCAGAGAATATTTGGAAAGCGCGGGTCTAAAGTTTAAAAGAATTCTAGCAGGGATCGTTCCAGAAAAGCTGGGAAGCTAGCAGAAAACTTTTAGGAAATTGCAAAGCCGAAGGCACGCTAACAGAGAGTATTCAGGAATTGTTGTAAATTGTGAAGAAGATGTAACAAGGAGCGAGAGAAAAAGGGAGAGAGCCTGAGCGAGATTGACAGAGAGACAGAAAGTGAGAAAGAACAAGAGTGAGAGAGAGACAGAGTGAGAGAGAGAGAGAATGAAAATCGGATTTTTGTCGAACCTCTAAAAAACAGAAAAAAGCAAGATATGCAAATTTGGCCGTTTTAATGATTAGCGATTTATTGGCAGGAAGGGGCAAGCTTGCAGAGATCATTCCGGAACCTCAATAACGTGTAAACTCTGGCTAAAAATAGTAAACTATGCAACACCCGGGGGGTGGCAATAAGTTCAGCTGTGGGGTGCCAATTAGGGGGGATGGGTGAGATGAGACATCTGGGATGGCCA